TTTTTTTTGGGGGGGGGGGGGGGGGGGAGTTGGCGGGATGGTGGTGGGCGTTGCAGACAACACCAGTCCAAGTGGACGGTGAAGTTGGCACGCTGGAAGCCTTGATGCTGTATAGTTCACGTGTCAATGATGGGAAGCAAGAAGAAGGCAAAGGAAACAGCAAAAGAGGAGAAGGGATTCGCAGTGGCGGCGCCAAGGTCTGACGTGAGACACCCGCGCGGGTTGTTTTTCTGCCCTGCTAAAATCACCATAGGGTGGCGGTATTGGATGTGCACGTGATACAACACCACACCACCTCAGGACTAAGCCAAGCAGCGCCCTGGGGCGACTGTCTCCTTGTGGCCACGTTCGCCTCAAGCTCCTGGAGCCGTCTCGTGCCTGATCGTTCAGCTTTGCGGCGCTCGCAAAATGGAGTCACCCACGACCGCGCGGCATCGCCGCACCAAAAGTGAAACATCAATGGAGGCTAAAGCACAGCAAAACTCGGATGATGATGTCGATTTGCGCCAGGAGATTGAGCGCATGCGTCGTGCCTCGGGCATCGCCGACGTGCTTCCAGCCGAGCCTCTCCGCCGACGCAGCAAGAGCATCCCGGCCTATGAAATGCCCGCGCACGCCGTTCGAGACTCGCTTCTACACTCACGATCGGGCTTCACCAACTATCGTGGCATCTACAACCTCGCCATCATTATGCTGGTCAGTGGCTTGCTTCCTAGCCCAGCAAAATCTCGCGGCCGCGGCACAACTAACTCGGGTGTGCACGTGGCACTTTTCGCAACGACACGGGACATTGCCCATCACTCGTGGTTCATAGCTCGTGTCCGGCGCGCGCATCGCGTTTCAAAACTTGCAAAAGTTTGTAGTTTTGACTTGTTTATCCCTTCATCGCTCGTGGACCGATTGGCTGGCAACCCCTCACGTCCCGGACTGGTATGTCTGCACAGATATGGCCTGTTGATCTCGCCAACGCAAACCTTGCTGGTCTTGCACGACATGACCAACACAACCGTGCTGCTCCTCCTTGTGGCCATCCACATTGTGCCCTTTCTGATTGTCGCCCTAGAGAAGGTACTCACTTGTTCTGGTGAACGGCTCTGGTTTCTCATCGACTCTTTAGCCTAAAGAGCCTTCCAAGTCTGCTCATCCATGCTCATTGCCTTTCAAATCTTGTCGGGTGTGGCCGGCTCCATCCTTTTATCGCTCGCTAGGCCTTGTCCAAACACTACATCGGTCCCAAAGTGGGCCTGGCGTGAGTCAAGCTCGCGTTCTGTCCTGTTTCCTGACTGGTCTCTTGCTGGTCCATTTCCTTCGTCAGCGTTCTTGATCTCATGGACCTCGTCGCACTTCCTGCAACGCTGCATGTTTGTGGGAATTTGAATTTGACTGTTAGCTTTCACATGGCACTGGTGACTGGAGGCCTGATCGCGCCCGTCCTTGTTATTCTCTATGAGCACCCTCCGCCTGTGGCTTCTTTCATGGTTATGTTTCAGGCCTCGATTCTTTGGATGAAGCTGTTCTCCTACGTTGCCGTCAATCGGGTCAGTACCTTGTATCTTGTCTGATTAACGAAACAAAACACACGCATACGTATCTCAATGTGAGGTGGCCCTGGCTCGCGTCGGCTCCGCAGCACTATCGTCTCAAGAAGAAAGGCGATGAAAAGCCTGATAGCCGCCCGGATTTTGTCGTTTACCCCAACAACCTCACTGCTTCTGACATGGCCTATTTCATTGCGGCCCCAACCCTGTGTTACGAGCTCAACTTCCCGCTGTAGGTCATGTTACAGCGTCTTGCCCGACTTCACGTCACCTCGATCCGGTCTCAACCAGCGAGCGCTCTCGTATTTGCCGCGTAGGACGGAACGCATCCGCTGGCGGTTCCTCGCGCGCCGATTGTTTGAGATGCTGGTCATGTCTGCCATGATTCTAAGCATTGGGCAGCAGTGGATCGAGCCTACCGTACTGAATACATTCAAGGACACGACTCATCCTTCCCTCTTCTCTCTGATTGACCGAGCCCTCAAGTTGTCCCTGCCCAACAACCTCATGTGTATGTGAGACCGCGCCTTTCATGTTCGATCTGGCGATGCTGATGCTCATGACCGGACCGCCAACCGACAGGGCTTTGTCTGTTCTTCATGTATTTCCATTCCACGCTGAATGCAATGGGCGAGGTTTTGCGCTTTGGTGATCGCCAATTCTATCGTGACTGGTAGGACGGGCTAACCGCAGCGCACCCTCTTGCGGTGCCTAGGCTACAAGCTCATAACAAACGCCTGCTCGCGTATAGGTGGAACGCCACCTCCGTCACATACTTTTGGAAGAATTGGAACATCCCAGTGCACAAGTGGGCCGTGCGCCACGTCTATCGCCCACTCGTTGGACAGGGGTTCTCCAAGCTCCAGGTGGGTGGTCTCGAGTTCTCGGTGGACATGGCACGCGCGCATTCAGTCTGACTCATGTTTGCGCTTGCTATTCAGGCGCAATTGGCGGTTTTCTTTCTCTCTGCCGTTTTCCATGAGCTGCTCGTCAGCGTACCTCTGTGCATGTTCCGCATGTGGGCTTTTACTGCCATGGCCATGCAGGTGCCCCTGGCCCTCTTTGCCGATCGGTATGCCCCACCGCCTGTGCCCGACTGCCCAAGGTCACCATCGCTATGCGTTCATTGCAAACCCTCACATCTTGCACGATGCCCGGATCCATCTGGTGATACGAACAGGCATTTCAACGGCTCGCAGTATGGCAACGTTGTGGTTTGGGCATCGCTATTTTTCGGCCAGCCAGCCGCAGTCATGCTTTATGTGCAGGCTTACCTTGCCCAACAACAGCGCGAGCAATAATCGCTTGCTACCTTCATCTAGACCTGCATTCTCCATCAAGACGTGTGCTTTTGGTATTCACTTGCCACCACACTCCATCGGTCCTTTGCCTTGGCTAGAGAAACACCACCGCGCTTGATTCCAACTTTTGCCATTCATAAACTTGCGCAGTGCCACATGAGATGAATCGCACCAAGCCCGGTTCAGTTGCTATCCACCAGATGGAAAAACCGCCAACGTCTAGACTCTCGCAGTCCAGCGTGGTCACGCGTTGTCTTGAGTCTGCATGCCTGCCTGTGTGGATGCTTGTCAGCTGAGAGAAGAAGAAGAATTGAACAATGGCCCGAAAGGAATGGAACCAGCTCTGGCGGATGGAGAATTTGTTTCAAGGATAACACTTGAATTTCTTGAACGAACTGGCGACCTTGATATATTATTGTTAACATAATGATATCGTATCAGGGTCAAAAGGAACACGCAGCGATCAGACAGGGGCTCGATTAAAACGATGACGCGCACAATAGCTTTAGACAAGTGGAAAAGGTGTTTGCGAACCAAAAAGAGAAAGAAGGAAAGAAATTAAAGACAAAAAAAAAAAAAATCAAAGAAGAGAATCGTCGGAGCTGGTGGACAGAAGCTGCCGACGAGAGGTGGATGAATCCATCGAGCTGTGTGACTGGGCATCCTCGGGCACATCGTAGCCACTCAGCGCTCGTAGACGCGGTGATGTGGCAACCGGACCGGCATCAATGGCCCCGTAGCCTCGAATTGGGCTGGGCGAGGAACCTGAGGCGGCCACGGGTGCTGGGAGAACGCTGGCAGTCATGGGCAAGGCTCCCTCTGAACCCACCATTTGGATGGCACCAAGGGACGCGGGGGCTACGGGCGCCGGACTGGGAGCCGGATTTTCAATGTCAATAGCTTGGCCGCGTCGGCCAAAGGGATTCCACCTGCTGCGCGGGGTACGGGTGGAAGGGGTGCCAGCATCTGCCGCAGCCGCATTCTCCTGGCTATTTATGGCCTCGAGCACATCGATTTTACAGAGCGGGCAGGTGCGTCGCTCCGTGAGCCAGGGGTCACAACACTCCTTGTGATACTCGTGCTTACACGGGAGCGTGCGTACGACATCCCCTGTTTCGAACTCAGCAAGGCAGATGGCACACATGGGCTCCTCGTCCTCGTCACACGCCGCGGCAGCAGAGGCCACGACCGTGGTAGCTGTGGCTACGGAGAGAGCATCGTCGTCCTCCACGGCGGCGGCCGACGCAGGCATGCTTTGGTCCACACAACTCTCTCCTTCGTTCTGAGGCGATTGTTGGGTCACGTGCGTGTCATCTGACGCCTGAGTGGACTCCTTGCCCTGAAACTCGCGGGTGGGGATGCGGTCAAGAATGTTGGTGACCTCCCGGCGTGTCGTGTTCTGCTCCATACGTGTAAGCAGGGAGCGGCAGTAGTAGGTGCCCAAAACACAGCCACTCAAAACGAAGACCAAGACACTGGAGGGTGGCAGTACGGGTGAGCTGGGCAAAGGGGGCAGCAGCAAGCGCGAGTTGGAGAGACACGAAGGGAAATGAGAAGAACATGTCACTCACCCAAAGACGATGATGTGACCAAAGAGCCAATTGCTTAGATCGATGGACGTGTCATCGGGATCAACCTGACGCAGTGGCTCCACCCGCACCTTCAAGTCATTCGTCTGCGATGGATGATCATCATACGCCATCACGAACAAAGGCAACGTCAAAACGTAGGGGTTATTAAAAGAAGAAAAAAAAAACCGAAAGAGAAGAGTGGTCGCCCATGGGTTTGGCTTGAGCAGAGCAGGCGCACAGGCGCATACCGTGTCAGCCAGCTGCTTGATGGTGGTAGCCATGTCTTGCGTGATACTGATGGACACAATGTCGGTGGATGATTCGCCAGACATGACGGGCGGCGCATCCCTGCACGCGCGCGATCCATACAGACACAAGCAGACAAGTGTGTTTCAAAAAACAAATGAGCACGATGATGACGACACCACCAAGTCGGGGAGAAATGAGTGCGAGGCATTGGCAGAAGGAGAGCAGTCCTTACGCATCAAAATCGTTGGCAATGAGAATCCCGACAGCATTAGGCAGAGTCGCTAGCTGCGTGACCTTCTCGTCAAAAGAACATTGGCCTCGCAGTACCATGAGAATGAAAGACTCATTCGTAGGTGCCGGATATGGCTGGCAGCCGGGGGCCAAGGTCTGACCATCGTCCTCGGTCAAAACGTAAAAGGCGGCCTGCATACCACAGGAAAAAGTGGGGTGAGTGGCGAGATGAGATTTGACATCCAGGGACGAACGGCGGTTGCGAGGCGCATGGTGGGCAAAAGAACGAGGGCCCGTGGAGATGTTTGATGAAGGCGTACCTCGATAGACTTGATGTCACTAAAGAGGCTGTAGTAGGCCGTGTCGGATAGGACTTGGCGGTTGCCGTTGGGGAGCATGGCGGTGACGCCGGCCAACCAAACCTTGCTTGTTGCGGTTGCATAAGTAGCAAGGCTCAACAGCAAAAAGGCGGCGCCCGCCACACTTGCTCGCTGCAACATGATGCTTGAGAAGAGCACACCAAAGGAGAAACCGCCGTTTGAGGCTGGCCAGAGGTGTGTGGCCTTGGGGCCAGGGCTGCGATGGCACAAAAGGCAGCGTGGGGATTCGATCGATTAGACTGCCGGAGCTGGCTCATAGGGCAGAGTCTGTGAGACAAAAGAAAAAAAATGGCAGCCGACGGCTGTGATGGTACATCGGTGTGACGAGGGGTGGGGGAGAACGAACGAGCAAACAAGAGAAGCCACGCCCCCGTGATGGCGATCAAGCGCGGTCACGGGGTGCAGCGAAACGACGACTTTGTGACGATGACGTCGAGCGTGCGAGTGTGCGGGATGAGCTTACGTTCTTGTTCCAAAGTGGCGCGGCAGACTTCCCCCAAATGCACGGAAATCAAAATTGACCCCAGCAGGTATTCCCCCGAAACACACACACACACACACACACACACACACGCGCGCGTATGCCAACGACGGAGCACGAAGCGTCAGCGCAAAAGAGGACTATCGGATAGACAGAGGCAGCCAGCCGCCAGCAACCAGCAGCACACTTGTCAAGGAGAACCAACAAAATGGGCAACCGTCCTGTGCCGTCTTCTTTTGTTGTTTTGTTGGTTTGTTGGTTTGTTGAGTGAAGTCTGTCTCTCTTTCTCTCTTTCTGTCGCTCTCTGTCTCGATGACTCTCGATGACTCTCTCTCTCTTTCTGTTTATTTTCTCTTCCTCTCTTCTCCAACAATCTCTGTCTCTGTCTCTGTCTCTGTCTCTGTCTCTGTCTCTGTCTCTGTCTCTGTCTCTGTCTCTGTCTCTTGGGTTGAAGCACAATGTCATGATATGCATGTCATGTAAGATGGAGAGGGATGCTCTGCGATGGGGGGTGTTTGAAGGGTGTTGTCAAAGGGAACGACGTTGGGGCACGCAACATGATGAGCGGACGCCCTGACGACCAGCTCGTGATGGTGGGTGGTTGACAGTTAACGTCCATTCATCACAGCGGGTAGGGCTTGGCGGCGAGGACCCTCTAAAGTACACCATCACACACCTTCTTTGACGTGTCAAGCTGGTTGCTCAAATAAAGCAAAACAGCGGCTTTTGGCTGACCGGTGTTCTCATAGCCGTGTATTCCCATTCAAGGTCAACCTATGACAGCCAGCAGCAGCCGTCTCTTGACAGTGCGGAGTGCGAGCACCTCTCATCCTGACGGCTGCTATTCCACATTATTTGAAATTGACAACACGTTAACGAGGGTACATAAAGTATTTTACATCTTGAACCTGTTTTCTGACATTTATTATGTCTGACAAATATTTCATCCTTCTTCTTCTGGAACAACACACAGGGTTAGTTAGCCTGTGTGTGTGTGTGTGTGTGTGTGTGTGTGTGTGTGTGTGTGTGTGTGTGTGTGTGTGTGTGTGTGTGTGTGTGTGTGTGTGTGTGTGTGTGTGTGTGTGTGTGTGTGTGTGTGTGTGTGTGTGCTTTCTTATGGATGCTTGTCATTCGTTAAGGGTAGACACTGGTGCTTTTGAATTGCTGCTATTGTTGTTATTTTCAAAGTCATCGACTGGTAGCTGCTGGTGGTGGCAGTGGCAGTGGTGGTCGATAGCCGGGTTGCAGCCTGCTTGCTTGACTTGCCCCACGGACTGGGACGTTGCTCCTGGTTGGTCCATGCATTGGGTGCTGGGACGCGGGTTGTCCAAGAGAGTGCATCCCCGTGGTGCGTTGCGCGCCAGCCGCGGACGATTGATAACTCCGCTGGCGTGGGCCCATCATCATGGCAGCAAGGTTGGTCTGGGTTGAGGCATGCGCGCCGGGCTTCGACCTCTGCAAGCGGTCTGGCATCCTGTCCTTGCTTCACACTGGCTTGTACCGCTTCTAGCACGGAGCTTCCGGTGCTGGTCAAGCAGTACTTTCATCAAATGACGGATGGTACGTCGGCTGCTCGGTGCTTTCGAGCTGCCTCGTGTTTTATGCGCGCGCGCGCGCGTATGTGTGTGCATGCTGTCTTGGCCGCGACTGGACCCCTCACTGGCTGGGCATTGTAGGCTGCAATGATCCTACCAACACCCACACATGCTATTGCCCCCGTTCTGCCACCCCCACCATTGTACGTGTCCTGGCTCGACATGCATCTTGCCGCACGCTCCTCGGCGCCCCCCTTGCCCTGACCTGTTTGCTGATGCTACAACCCTCATTGCCCTTGTCCAGCCCCCAAGCCCAAATGAACGCTTCACTCTGGCTGTAGAATTGGCGTGCGTGACGTTGTCAATTTGACGTCTGCTCCTTGTTTCTACTGCGCGCCGCTTCGCGCCTCGCCTCAATGCCGGTGTTCATGGCTCGCCTGCAGACAAGCTGGCACTCAAGCTCTGTGTCAGCCCCCCAGTGCAAGTGCCAATCCCCCCGCCCCTGCCGTGGACCCCCTGGACTTGCCCGGTACACCATCAGACTCGTGCTGCTCTGTCTTGTTTTATTTATTGACATGTTCAACTCGTTGTCGTCCTCGTCCTTGCCCTCACCTGCCCCCCCTCGTCGGTGCCCTCGCCTGCGTCACTTTCAGCCGACGACGCGAGCACGGAGCAGATTGAAGCTTACAAAAACGCCTTGATGCAACTGGCTCAGAAACCAGGTATACTCCTGCTTTCATCTTTGTTGGCCACGGCCAACTCGTAGCAATGCATTGGCCATGGTCCCGTGGTATGACTTGACCGGGATGCTTGCAGAGAGTTTTGTGCAAGCTTTTCGCGACACCAATGCGGCCACCTGCTCCTGGGACAAGGTTCTTCGCTATGGGCAGCGTCTTCAACAGAGCACCGTGGCCGAGCTGCAAAACGCTGTTGGCGTCATGGCTCGGCAACTGCTGCAGGTAAGCTCCGGCTTGTTCTGCTCGCTCGAGGCCTTCCCATTTTGCTGTCTCTGCTCCCATTTTGCTGTCTCTGCCGGTCCCTCTCTTGCTCAAACCCCACCAGTGGCTGATCGATGCGAATGCTCTGCGCCTGGCGTCCTCACACGTGTAGCCTGGTAAAACGGGCGCCCTACCACAACGAGACGTTTTTGACCTGATTGCCATTGTACGCCAGCCACATGCCATTGCTCGCGGGCCTGCCCACCCCTGCGTCTCCCATGCCAGCTCACGAGCATGTATGAACCACAGCTCATGTTCACGCCGGCGTACGAAGACCCGGACACGGACGAATGCATCGTTCCCACCTTGGGGGGTCTTCTGCCTGAATCCGTGGTCGAGGCTCGTGCGCTACATCGCCATTTGGCTCGGCTTCCCGATGATGTGCTTCTGGAACGGGTCCGGGCAACACACCAGTTTATTACCGTGCAAGTGCTTGTCGGCAGTGCGGCCAACGACGAGCATGAGCCACCCGAATACATTGTAACCAAAGACATGGCGGCCATCAAAGCCATTCGCCTCTTGGGAGCGCTGCGCGAAGCCGCCATGATTCCCCGGGCCGAGGTTGAGCCTTCGGCCTTGGACACGAGCGACGATCCAGCAGTTGACGTGCAGGTCCCGACCAGTCCCACGCAGCGTGAGGCGTCGGGGTTGCAAGCCACGAGCGCAAGTGCCACAACTGGGGGTGCCGCAGCATCGCCGCCTTCTTCTTCATGCCGCCTTCCGGCCTCGGAGTTTCTCAACGAGGCCGTGACAACCACTTCACTCGATCCGCTGATTGAATTTGTGACCTGGCAAAACCTCAATTCGCCGTACGTGAGACCATGATGCCTTTGTATCCCCAGCGCACTTCCTTTTGGCGGCGCTTGAATGGTTTGGCCCCTCGCTGGCCGCACCCGCTTGTAGACTCAAGGCACAATACTCGCTTGCAAAAATGGCGCCTTGGATTCTCGAACTCGCTTACAAGGTTTGGCTCGGGCTCATCGGCTCCCTCAAAGGTGCGGCTGGCTCCATAAGTGCACTCATCTCGGCCCTGTGCCCATAGTCGGAGCTTTTTCGTGTCGAGAACAAGGTCGCCCACGTGCTGGAGCAGCAGCAACTGAATCCGCTGCAGATGATGCTCAATGGCCGTGACAGTCGCTACCTGAAAATCTCGGTGCGGCGCGCATTTCTGGTGCGCGACGCGATCACAAGTCTGTCTTCAGTCGCCTTGACAGACCCAGATCGGCTGCGCCGCCAGCTTCGAGTGGAATTTGTTGGCGAGGAGGTTCGTGCTGCGCCCGTCTGCGACTCCATTTTCTGCTGCTGCGACTGCCATCCCGTGTCGACCGGAGCACGAGGCAGCGCCAAGCTAGTCCTGCACAATGCCAACTCATCACCGACTGTGACACAGGGCATTGATGAAGGTGGCGTGCAAAAGGAGTTTTTCCAGCTTCTCTTGGCGGGGCTCTTCGACCCCAACTATGGCATGTTTGTGCACAATGAAAAGACAAACCTTTATTGGTTCAATGGCCACACGCTCGAAGCACCAGAAGAATTTAGTCTCCTTGGGCTGCTTCTCGGCGTCGCCCTCTACAACAATGTGATTCTAGACTTACACTTTCCCGACGCCGTCTACAAGAAGGTTTGTGCCCGTGTACGCAATGACTCCAGCGACACGGCATCAAGAGGGAGAGCCACCATCGCAGAAATATAGATAGCACACCTCATAAGCCGTGTGTCATGTTGTTATGTTTGGTACAGCTCCGAGAGCAAAGCGTAGATTTGGAAGATTTGCGCGAGGTAAATCTTTTGGCTCTTCCATGCGGGCTGACCGTCTTTTGTTGGCTTTGTATCTTCGGGGGAGGGCAAGGGAGCGGGCGGTTGGTGGTTGGTGGTTTGGGGTGGTTGGCTGGTAGCTTCAGCTGAACTCAATGCTTGCTGTTTGCTTTTTGCGCGTCTGACCCCGCGGTGTGCGGGGATGGGGCATCGGTGCAGGTGGATCCAGAGCTGGCCGATGGTTTCCGCGCGTTGCTGGAATATGACGGCGAGGACATTTACGATGTATTTCCCTACGAGTTTGTTGTCGAATTTGAGGGTATGTTGGCGGTTTTGTTCGGGAGAGCGCCATTTTGGTTCAGCTGGACGATTGATGTTCTCATCAGGGCTTGCTCTGCTGGGCGGCTGCCTTGGTTCCAGTGTTTGGGGAGAAGCAGCATCACGAGCTGTGCCCGGGAGGGGCCAAGCGGTCGTTGTCGCAAGCCAATAAGCATGAGTTTGTGCGCTTGTACACGGACTGGGTTCTTAACGTGAGCGTTGAGCATCAATTTGCTGCGTTCAAGTACGTGAGCGCGGGTGACGGCGTGTGGGGGAGCTTGTGTTGTCCCTGCAAACGATTGCGGAATTCTGTGTTCGTCTTGGCCTTACAACCCAGGTGTGTCTGCAGGGAGGGCTTTATGACCGTCATGGCTCAGTCGGCGACCTTGCGCATGATTGATGTGTCGGAGATGCGGGCATTGATCTGTGGCCTGGAGGACTTGGATCTCAATCAGCTGCGCGAGGTGGCGCGGTATGAGGGCGGTTACAATGCCAACAGCCCAGTTATCAAGTGGTTTTGGGAAGTGGCCTTGAACTTCAGCGGTCGGTCCCACCTTTGCAATTGCTTTTGTTCCCGTGACTCGGTCTGAGAATGCTGGACGGGGGCCGCGATATCTCATGGTATTCTTCCTTTGCTCTTGGTTGGTGGCACATCATTTCTCATCCCGACAGATAATGAAAAGCGGGCCTTCCTGCAGTTTACTACAGGTGCGTGATTCGGGCAGGTCGCACATTGACTCGATGGCGGTGAGGCAGGTTTCGGACATCAAAGCGCCAGCGACTGCTTACACATAGCGCCCAACTTCTTGACGGCCGGGTGGCAATAGGAACGCGGCGTGCGCCGGTTGGCGGCCTGCGTACGATGAAGTTTATCATTGCCAAGCAGGTGAGGATTTCGTTCTTGTGGGGCTCATTCATGTCTGAATCCTCAGTCGCTGCACTAACAAAGAGAGGCAGAATGGAGGCCCGATTTCAAGGGCTTGCTCATGCTGGCACGTTTACTCCCATAGGGCGCGGACTCGGAGCGCCTGCCCACCTCCCATACCTGTTTCAACGCTCTCATGATCCCAGAGGTAAGCGGCGTTTTGTTTTGTTTGTTTAGTTTTTCCGAAGCAAGCAACGAGGGGCCCAATGCTTGTTTGCGCAGAACCTCGCCTGGGTCGTTGTCGTTGTCGCTGACTACCGGGCGCTTGCTGCGCATTGTGCATGTCATGGATTGTGGTGTATCGCGAACAGTACTCTAGCAAGGAGAAGTTGGAGCAGCTACTGAAGAAGGCCATTCAGTATTCAGAAGGGTTTGGCATGCTCTAGTTTGGTGTATTTTAGTTGCCAACGTGTGTGTAAGCACGGGATTCAGTCCCGGGTGGTTGGTTGATCATGCCATCGTAGCGCGCTCGGCACACACACTGGAGCCAATTGACAGTGTAGGTTTTTCTTTTCTTTCCTTATTCTTATCCTTATTGATGATGGTCATGGCAAGATGGGACGTCCTGGTTTCGACAAATGGCAACGCCCTGTTTTGATGGAAAAAAGAAGGCACGGAGCAGTTGGTCTGGTCAGGCCAATGCAAGAACTCAAAGAAATAACCAATCATCGGTGGAACTTGCGCGACGAGGGCGGCATGGAAGACAGCAGTCGCAAGATTTGGAATGGCGACTTCATAATGACTTGCTCTAGCCCAACCATACCTCCCCCCATGTGCCCCGATGCCCTTTCCGTGGGGCACGGACACAGCAAGAGTTGCGCATGCCCCCCCTCGTACCCCGACCAGCTTGCCCATGCACCAAAAGGCTCATATGGACGTAACGGTCTCCTTCTTCTTCTGTTTCAACAGAAGCTTTTTTATCTGACATTTGACTGATTCAGCCAGGGGGGTCATTATGTATATATCGTCCAAAAGGCTCAGGAACACTCTCGACCCTCTCTCGTCACATGCGCAACTCTGACCCGTAATGACGTTGACGCGAGGATACATGTGCTGCTTTATTTGACCAACTCGACTCTTTGTGTGTGTGTGTGTGTGTGTGTGTGTGGGTGCATGGTCAATCTTACAAACAAAAGAAAACAAAAAGGAAAGGGAGAGAGAGAGAGTGTGTGTGTTCAGTGGAGGGCTCGCGCGGGAAAGTCCCGAAACGAAACACCACAAAAGGCGGCGGTCGGGGTGAGATGGCGCGGTGCAAATGGCGGCGCCTCGAGGTGTGGGTGAAGGTCAAATTTGCTGTCAAGATGCAACTGGATGGCAGTTGGGAGCCATGATAAGCGACGTTGCCAAACGCCGTGTCGAATGGCAGTCGTTTTAAGACCCTTTTCTCCACCCACCTCCTCCCTTTCGCAGTCCACACACACACACACACACACACACACAAGAGAGAGAGAGCGGCGTCAATTTTCTTTTTGCACTCCAAGAGGCAACAACTCCTCTCCCTCTCCCTCTGTCTCTCTCTCTCTTCTGCCTCTGCCTCTCTCGTGCGCTGCATCGCGCCGCTGCTCTTCGTTCCCCCTTTTGGCAGGTATGGTCTACAACTCTGGCCTTGTTCTGCTCTTAACTGTCCTTCATTTGCAACGCAAGAACCAGCCGCACAGAAACTCAACGCGTGGGCGATCAAACTTGAAAAGGCGCCATCAACGCTCTCAATGCGAAACACGCGCGCGCATCCCCCTCACCCCCCCTCCCTCTCACACACAGAAGCGCAAGCCTCCACACCTCCGCCTCCACCACCTCTTCTCAAACCCCTCCTCCTTCCCTCCTTCCCTCCTTCCCTCCTTCCCCTCTCAGCAAAACACGCAATTTTCCGTTTGGCAGCGTTGTCGTCACCTCATCGCTTCCTACCCTCACAACACTCGCTCTTCCTTGTGCCATCGACACGTTCTGGTTCTGTGTGATGCTCATGATACATGGACCCCTGTGTTCCTTGCTGTTTTCCCAACGCTTCCCTTAACCACTTTGCAGGCCTCCGCCCGTAACTGGTTTCACGAGTCCAGACTGTGGCCGTTCGTTGCCGCTGCGCCCCTCCCACGCGCTCAAGCGACGTATCTGTCCCAACACATCTTCCCTTGTGGGCATTCGACGTGGTCAATCCGACCCGGTCCTTGTCATTTTCCATCTGCACTTGGTGCACTTGTGACGCCACCAGACCCCGCCACAATGCCGTTGGCCAACCCCGTCGGCTTTCTCTTTGATGCTGCCAGCACTCAAAACGACGACGTGCTTGAAGGCGAAGATCCTGCACTTATTCAAGCCAGCGCGGTAAGCCCTCCTCTCTCACAGCCGTCTCGAAACCTCCCTGGTCGAACCCCTTCTCACTCTTGTTGCACTCACTCTGTTGCGCGACCCCTCTTCAGCCTCCCGAAAAGATGGAGCCGCCTCATGGCGCCGAAGGCCAGGAAGGCACTGAAGTCGAGATTCGTAACGTCAACATGACTGAATCAAACGACCATGTCGACCAAGGAAACTTTGATCTCCTCAAAGTTCTCGGCCAGGGCTCCTTTGGCCGTGTCTTTCTCGTGCGCAAGCGTGATGGTCATGATGCCGGAACCATGTATGCCATGAAGGTCCTCAAAAAAGCCTCACTCAAAGTCCGCGATCGTTTCCGCACCAAGGCCGAGCGTGACCTTCTCGCCGCCATCCACCATCCCTTTATCGTACACCTCCATTACGGTCGGTTTTACCTCGTGCCACTCCCTTCTCGCTCTTCGGGCGCTGGAAACCTTCTGTTGGCTCAAAGGCTCCTGATTTTTTTTTTATGGCTTTGGTTTTGCGCAGCTTTTCAAACAGAGGGCAAGGTCTACCTCATTCTCGACTTTTTGCGCGGCGGTGACCTGTTCAACCGCCTCTCCAATGAAGTTATGTTTACGGAGAAGGATGTGCAATTTTACCTGGCAGAGCTGGCGCTCGCCCTCGAGCACCTCCACAACCTTGGCATCATCTATCGTGACCTCAAGCCCGAGAACATTCTTCTCGACGCCGGTGGCCATATTGCCCTCACCGACTTTGGTCTCTGCAAGGAGTACACGGAAGAAGGTGGCAAAACATACAGCTTTTGCGGCACGCAACAGTACATGGCCCCCGAGGTCATCAATCGCAAGGGCCACGATACCAGTGCCGACTGGTGGTCATTTGGTACGTGCATTTCTGCCCCTGATTGATGACGCGCAGACCATCTTGCTCAATGCGCCGCCGGGCCCTCCTCCTCACTCTTGTGCTGCCTTGACTAGGTGTGCTGATGTACGAAATGTTGACGGGCGATTTGCCTTTTGACTCGGATAACCGCAAGACCCTGATGCAGATGATTCTCAAGTATGCTTTGCCTTTTTGCTGGCGCTTTTTTTTTCCCCGTGCTACGCCTCCCGACTCCTTCCCAGCTCTCGCCATCCTGCCCAAAACACTCACATGCTGCCCCTTGCACATGGTCAGGGCACGTCTGTCAATGCCCCAGCACTTGTCACCCGAAGCCCAGTCACTGCTGCGCAAGCTCTTCAAGCGCGTACCATCAGCCCGTCTTGGTGAGTGGGTTGCTTTGTGCGTCGTCGTTTGCCGGGAGCACAAGATCAGGTCTATTCAGTGCTAGCTTGAGGTCATCGGGTTTGCGTGCTCTCATGTTGCCGTTCCTGACACGTAGGCTACAACGGAGCGGATGAAATCAAGCAGCACCCGTTCTTCGCCACCATCGACTTTGACGTGCGTTTTACCTGCTTGCCGACCCGTTGAATGCCATCCCGGTGTTCTCGTCACCTGCCTCAATGTGTTGCATGCCAATGCCTGCGGATGTGACATGACGATAGAAATTGTTCCGCAAGGAGCTCGAGCCTCCCTTTAAGCCCAATCTTACTGGCCAGGAGGACCTCCACTACTTTGATCGCGATTTTCTGAAGATGGCGGCAGTCGACTCGCCCGTGCCTCCACCTAGCGCCAATCACGTGGAAATGTTCCGTGGCTTTAGCTACATTTCCCCCTCGGTCATTGAAGACGTACCACGCAGTCGCCCCATCCGCCCCCTCCGCGCCGACCTGCATCCCAAGATTCGCCAAGGCCCGCCTACCATTGAGTACGAGGTGCTCGAAGAAGTGCTGGGTGCCGGCACGTTCTCCGTCTGCAAGCGCGCCATTCACAAGCAGACTCGCGTCGAGTATGCCGTCAAAATCATTGACAAGACCAAGCGCAACCCCGAGGAGGAGATTGACATTTTGTTCCGCTATGGCGGTCATCCCAACATCATGACGTTGCACGAGGTCTTTGATGACGGCGACAAGGCGTACCTCATCACCGAAATGTTGCGCGGCGGCGAGCTGCTTGACCGCATTCTCGAGCAAGGCTGTTTGCAAGAAAAGGAGGCAGCCGAGATTATGCGCAAGCTGGGCGAGGTGGTCGAGTACCTGCACAGCCAGGGAATTGTTCACCGCGACCTCAAGGTACGATCTTTGTTTCATTTGTGCAGCTTTTGTCCAGGTGTCTTGGGCTCCATTCAGCTCACTTCTGCATCAACCATCCTTTGCTCCCTTTGCTATCATGGTCACTTGCAATTTTTAGCCATCCAACATTCTGTATGCCAGCCCAGACCGCCACGTGGACAGTATTCGCATTGCCGACTTTGGCTTTGCCAAGCAGCTGACGGCAGAAAACGGCATGCTCATGACCCCCTGCTACACGGCCAACTTTGTGGCACCAGAGGTGCTGAAGCGTCAGGGCTATGACAAGGCTTGCGACATTTGGTCCCTGGGTGTTCTTTTGCATACTTGCCTCGTTGGTTATCCGCCCTTTGCCACTGCGCCCAGTGACACATCAGACAAGATTTTGGCCCGCATCACCGGCGTAAGTTTTCCTGGCGCTCGTCTCGCTGCAGTCCATGTGCCGCGCTCGCCTTTGTGGTTGCTTCCGTTGTCCCGCTGTGCTTGCTCACCACGGCTTGACATGTGCTTTTACGTTGGCGGCACTGGCTTCTCATCAATCTTAGGGCTCGATTGACTTTGAGCAAAAGGGCTGGAACCACATTAGCAACGAGGCCAAGCAGCTGATTTTGAGCATGCTGCAGGCCGACCCCGCGCAGCGCATCACAGCCTCGCAGTTGCTGCGACACACGTGGCTGCACATGCCCCACGGCTCGACTGGCATTGCTCCCCGTCGGGGCTCCCCCTCGACCATCAACCAGGTTAAGCACGCCGTTGAGGCCGCCTTTTCTGCCATGAACCCGAACCCCGAGGTGCCCTCGCTCGGTAACATCAAGGAGTCAACGCTGGCCCGTCGTCGCGGCACGGCTCCCAACCTGCCCAAGCTCAGCGAGTAATCTGGCACCCGTCTGTGGCTTGCTGGAACGCCGTGTCACCGACGACCCGGTGGTGTCGTCACCCCTCTCCACTGAGAGCTTTTCCTGGACTTTCCTGTTCACCCCGACCCTGGTCGGAACCAGGAGCGAGGTTGTGAGGGTCTTCACGGTCCTCCGCTCCTCGCAAACTCCACCCAGGTGCTGCTTCCCCCCATACATAAAGTTTGACGACTCGTTTTTTGTCCTTTGTCGTTTCCATGTCACATCCCATGATTGTCAGGAGGAAAGAAGCAAGTGGCTTGCAGCCATATTTCTGTACTCGAAGCTTTGTACTCTAAACAGCAGAGGCTTTTAGAGCTGGACCTTTCCCTCTCCCTCACAAATGAACCTTTGTGAAGGGGCCAAGGGTTGGGCCTTGGGCGCCGTGCGACCCCGTGGTTCTCTGCTTGTCCACTCTGTGTGCCTGTTTTTCCGACTAAACCTTGTGTTTGGACACTTAATTGATGCGCACTTATCCCCTATTCTTTTCTCTCTCTCTTCAGTTCAAGCACAGACACAGACACACACGCTGAGCACCTTTCTTTGTCAAAAAAAAAAAAAAAATTGAAGGCAGTCACTTTCGTTTTTGTCAGCAAACACGTTGTCACTCGCCTCAACTGTAGCTCCTGCTCCGCCTGGTGCTCAGTGCTCAGTGCTCAGCGGCGGTGCAGAGCAAGCTGTGACAGCATGGCGCGCCCGTTGCCCAGGATGCCTGGCTTGCCAGAGCTGCTGCGTATTTTTAATGTCCGAGCCAAGAAAAAGCTCAGTCAAAACTTTATTCTCCATCAACCGTGTGCTGGTATGTGCTACCTGTGATGGTTGGAGTTGCGGCGCCGCGTTAGGCGCGCTGTGCGGGAGTCCTCGATGGGCGCTGCTGTTAACTCGGGGGTATGGCACGGCTTTCGTTGGATGGTAGACAAATTTGTGCGCGCAGCCGGTGACCTGCGCGACCGCGTTGTTGTGGAGATTGGTGGTGGCCCCGGCAGTCTCACCCGTGCCATCCTCGAGGTCAGCACTGTTGCCTCGTCACGCCTTTCTCGCCTCGGCGTGCGGCATGTCTTTGATCCTCACGCTACCTTTTGATTGGCACGGGCGCCTTCCGGTTTGCGACTACGTGCGGTGGAGCCAGCGTGATCCTCGCAAGGTTATTGTCGTCGAGAAGGATCGCCGATTCGCTCCCTTCCTTGACGTATGTCATCCTCGCATGTCCAGGCAGCAGACTCGTTCCACGCGTCGGCCAGTCAATACGCGCCAACAATTTGAAAAAAAGCCATGCCTGGTCGACTCCTTCTGCCTCATTTCACCCTTCTTCTCACCTCTTGTCGCATCCTTCATCCCTCTGGTGCTCGCGCGCCTACACGCCAGATGTTGACCGAAGCACGGCCCGAGCAGTGCCAAGTTGTGTATGGAGATGCCCTGAAACTTGACTATGCAGAGCTGATGGCAGAGGCAACTTCACTCGCTCCGTTGGCCGAGCCCACAGCCTCCACGCTCGGCATGCCGCCAATCCATGTGGTGGCTAACCTGCCCTTTAACGTGTCCACGCCCCTGCTGGTCATGTTGGTACGTCAGGCTGCGCGACGGGAGGGGCTGGCGGCTTATGGACCTTTGGCCATGACCCTCATCTTCCAGCGCGAGTATGGTGAGCGCCTCTTCGCGCCTCCCAACTCGCTGCACCGAGCCAAAATCTCAGCCTTTGTCCAGCAGTACTGCAATGTGTCACCGGGCTACCTTCTACCGCGCAATGTCTTTGTTCCTGAACCTCGGGTTGATACCATGGTGGTGCATCTCGAGTCCAAGCCTGAGCCGCCAGCCGTCGATCCTGCTGTGTTTGAGGACGTGCTGCGCCACCTCTTTACGACGCCACGACGCCTCTTGCGCAACGGCATGCAGCCTTTGCTTGGGGTGGCCACCTGTGCCGAGGCCGATGACGTGATGGCGGCTCACTTGCCATGGTTTGATCGTGACAATTGCCGTCCCAAAAGCGTGCACAACGACCAGCTCACCGACTTGGCCCTACTTGTTCAGCAAATGCGCCCGGTTCCCCCACCACAGTAGCTCAGAGCAGCACCCGTCCAATCCGATTTGCTTGTTTTGTTTTTTTTTTCGAAATGTAATCGGCCTCTCCAATTCAATAAGTGCAACCCATAAATTCCTTTGAGCCACACCGACCACCGGCCGCGATCCCCAGTCATAGCCACAGACAACAGACAGCAGACAACAGCTGGATTGGAACAAGCGAAGGATGGAGAGACAACCCCCCCCCCCCACTTCAAACAATTTGGCCACCGTTCATCATCATGAGTCGTTTTTTTTTCGTTTTTTTTCTGACTTTCTATGTGTGTGTGTGTGTGTGTGTGTGTGTGTGTGTGTGTGTGTGTGTGTGTGTGTGTGTGTTACGTTCTTATTGCTGTCTTCTTATGTGATCATCATTTTGACGGCAGCTGTGTGTGGCTGGATGAGCGACAGCTGTGCGCGCAGAAGGATTCCGACCACTTGGGTGCGTGTCTGGTGTTTGCTCCAGTGCTTGGCCTTTTGGCGTGCCTGCCGGCCTGATGGGAAAGTGGTAGGGGGTTGTCCTTATCCCGGGGGAACAGGGCAACAGGCGTGCTGGGTGCACCGGCGAGCCTTTGCACACACTGGCGCGCTGCTGCTGCTCCCCTACCTCACACCATCCGACCAGGCCCGTTGGGCACCCGATTCAAGGCAGAGCCCGCTTCCGTCATACTGACCATCATCCTGCATTGCATTGTTCTTTTCCTGCTCTGCCCGACCCCATCATTTTGACTCGATTTGCAGCACGCACGTACGCTTCAATGCCGAACATAGTTCCTCGCCAACACCCACCATGACCCTCTTGCTGCTGCGCTCTGCCTTTCGCAACCAGCTGCCGACGGGCACCTGGCTGCGTGAAGCTCGTGGGTGGTACCGTCATAGCGGCCCTGGCCTTCCCGCACCCAAGGGCCTCGGAACGGCCTCGCGTCCTCAACCTCTCCGTCGTTGGGCCAGCACTGACGCGAAAGCTCCCAAACCCACAACTGCAGCGGCCGAGACAAAGTCCCCGAGCCCATTGCGCTCTGCCAACGTACGTGGTGGTTTGGCGGTCTTGGGGTGGGGGAAGAACAGGGTATGCCACCACATCCCATTGATATCGCTCCCGCTCTCACTGGCTCATCTTCTCCCTTGCGGCCCACGGCTTGCGTCTTGGGCCTCTACACGTTGCACGTGCACCTGCAACACAGCCTGTGGCCGAGAGCACCACCTCCAATCGGGACATGCTCGTTGGGCTGCTCAAACTCATTTGGCCCGCCGGTCGCACGGATCTCAAACTCCGCGTTTTAGCTGCCCTTGGTCTCTTGGTCGGCTCCAAGGTATGCTTGCGTCTCTCAACTCACTGGCCAGCATGGTCCATGCTACATCCTCGTGCATCGTTGGCGGGTTCGTGACTGACCATGACCACTCCGCCCAGGTTCTGAATGTGCAAGTTCCCTTCTTCTTCAAATATGCCGTGGACATCCTCAATGACCCTGTCGCCACCATGGCCTCTTTGCCTGTGGGGTTTGCCCTCCTCACCTCGGCCGGAGCCATGCTGATCGGCTGTGCGTGAATAAATGCCAACATGGCGGGCTCGCTCGCTGCTGCTGTTCTCCTGACAATCTTTATCTTTGGGTGGCTCATATCCACCACACACCCCTCGGCTCTCGCAGACGGTATTGCGCGCACGGGTGCCTCAATGTTCAACGAGTTACGCAGTGCCGTTTTCGCCAAGGTCGAGGAAGCTCGTCCCCGTCACAGCGCAGTCTGTACGCAGGGCCTTCTGCTGCGGGTGGTAGCACTCACTTGCTTTGTCTTAGGTATCTCAAGCTGGCATTCGCCACATTGCCAAGAGAACCTTTCTTCAACTGCATGGCTTGGATCTCAATTATCATCTCTCCCGCCAAACCGGTGCCTTATCGCGCGCCATTGATCGAGGTTCACGGTGCGTCACACTCACGACAGGGGTTCTCCTGTGCCCTGCCTGCTTCAAGTTCCTGCTGAGCCAGCCCAGCTGGCGACTATCCTGCGGTGCCGCTCTGCACCACTCCTCACCTACACGCGCACGTTGGGCAACCCATCCTTTGTCGTCGCCACCGCCGTGGTCACTCGCACCTGGCTGGGCAGGGGCATTAATTTTATCCTCAATTCGCTCGTCTTCAACGTGCTCCCCATTATTCTGGAGGTCTCCATGGTGGCTGGACTGCTCGCCTACAACTGTGGCCCCGCCTTTGCGGCCGTGACAGTGGCCAGCATTGGTGCCTACACCGCTTTCACCGTGGGCGTTACCCAGTGGCGCACGCGCTTTCGTAAGGAAATGAACCAAGCCGAGAACGAGGGGGGCGCCAAAGCCATTGACTCGCTCCTTAACTTTGAAACCGTCAAGGTGAGGTTCTCGACGTCCTATCCCGCTAGTTCAGCAAGAGCGCGTCTTGTTGACAATGGTGCCAACTGTTCTGTTTGACCCTCTTTCAAAGTACTTTGGAAACGAAACCCATGAAGCCGAACGTTACGACAAGGCGCTCAAGAAATACGAGCATGCCTCTCTCAAAACAGCCACGAGGTAGGCTTCTTTATCAACGAGTTGGCACTCGAATTCGTTCTGCGCTTTGCCACTCATGACACCTCCTCTGCACAAACGTCCGAATCGTATACTTGCATCGGGCTGTGCCGCTTGGGCGGATGGGGCTCTGCCACAGTTTGGCGCTGCTCAACTTTGGCCAAAATGCAGTGCTCAGCATGGGGCTCACAGCTGTCATGCTCATGTCAGCTCACCAAATCCAAACAGGTGTGCCCTGCCCATGCCGGCGCCCGCGAGCGTCGTTTGCTGCCCTCGCATGGCGTCATGCTCATGCTTCCTTTTAAACACATGGTTTTACAGGAGCGGTCAGCGTGGGTGATCTCGTCATGGTCAACGGCCTCTTGTTCCAGCTGGCCATGCCTCTCAACTTCTTGGGCACCGTGTATCGTGAGGTGAAGCAATCCCTGATTGACCTCAACACTCTTTTTGACATCTTGGCCCTCAAACCCAAAATATCGGTGCGCTGCCTGAACCTTGTTCCCCCGTTGTGTTTCAGCATCAGAGGGCCGGCAACACAACCGAAGCGTAGTCATCAGACCTCGTTGGCCCTCACCTGAACGGGTGGTATTGCGCACTGCAGAACTCGCCCAAGGCCAAGCCGTTGATGTTACCCGATTACATTTTGAAGAAGGCACCCGCTATCCATGTGTCAGGCGAAGCTCCTGCTGTTGAGTTTGAAAACGTGGCCTTTGGTTACGACCAGCGGTCACCCATCTTCAAGGATGTGTCACTACGCATTCCTTTTGGCCACAAGGCAGCGCTAGTGGGCCCCAGCGGATCAGGGTATGGACTGCGCCAAGAGATGTCGTTCTTTTGAGATCTATTCATGGGCGTTGGCGATATACTGCGTGGGTGGACTGTGGCTCATCGCCCTCCGCCTTTGTTTTTAAATTGTTTTTCTTATTTACCTTGCCTTGCTCGTGCACAGGAAGAGCACAGTGTTGCGTTTGATGTATCGGTTCTACGAGCCCACCGACGGTGTCATCCGCATCAACGGCCAGGTGCGTCTGCCCTCCTTACCGCTCAATGTTGGAGCGAGCCAGAGCACACATTCTCAGTCCTCCTCCTCCTCGCACCCGTGCCTTAGGATGTGCGCGATGTTACTCTGGAGAGTTTGCGAAAAGCCATCGGTGTGGTCCCCCAAGTGAGGACGCCTCGATTGTATTCCGACCTGTGTGCGCCTGGGATGGAGACATGTCTTGCTCACGGGTGATACGGGCGACAAACGTCACAGGACTGTGTCCTATTTAACGACACGATTCGCTACAACATTGGTTATGGCAACCTCAATGCTGACCAAGCCATGGTGGAGGAAGCTGCCCGCGCGGCAGACATTCATAACATCATTCAACGGATGCCCCACGGCTACGACACTCAAGTGGGCGAGCGCGGACTCAAGCTGTCCGGCGGTGAAAAGCAGCGAGTCGCCATCGCGCGGTACGGCCTGCTGGCGGCCGGGCTCTGCAGGCGTGTTGCAAACGCAATTGTGCACATCTTGATAGCCGTTGTGACTCACACTGGGCGTGGTTGGCACCTGTCCACTTTTGGTCATATCTCATGGATAGTACCGTGCTGAAGGATGCCCCAATTCTCCTCTATGATGAGGCAACAAGCTCTCTTGATGCCATTACCGAGGCCAATATTCTTGGTGCCGTGGTATGGGCTGCCGTGAAGACATTTGATGATGGCATGCATGACTGTAGCACCCGTTTCATTTGTTGTTCATTGTTGTGAGGTCCTGAGTTGGCCAAGACTGATCTTACTCTTGCGTCTTGCACCATGACGAACGCTATACTGCGTCAACAGGAGAGCCTGGCATCCGACCGCACCATGCTGGCCGTGGCGCATCGTCTCTCGACAATTGTGCATTCAGACATCATCTTTGTACGTCCTCATTATGGCTATTTCGTCCTCTTGTTTCTTTGGCGACTTGATAATTTGGTTCTTTATTCTCGGAGCTTGCTCACGCGACCACGTGCCCTACCTGACCAGGTGTTGATTGACGGACGTGTGGCCGAGTCTGGTTCGCACGAGGAGCTGCTGAAAGATAGCAACTCATACTATGCCTACATGTGGCACAACCAACAAAAGACACCAGCACGCCGTTCCAGCCAGAACAGCTCCTCCGCTACCACCATTATCACCGAATAGGCATCCTCCCGTCGCGCCATACCCTGATACCCTGATCCCTGATTCGGCGCAACCATATGCTGCTTTCACCTCGGACGCTCACTGCAGCCTTGGCGAGTTGCGGCAGCCTCGAAGCCCGTCTGTCAGGCCTGCTAGCCCCCGTTTCCATCGTGCCGTGGCAAGAGAAGGATGGCATGGGTGCTGCCATCTTGAAGTTGAATGTTTCTGATTCTAGGTTGAAATCCGGGGTTGACCCGACGTGGATGGAATTGATTTTGAGAGAAAAAAGACTTCGTGAATCGAAATGCTGACATGCTGATAATTGTTTTGTGTGTACCCAAGGGAAAGGCACTCCATGTCCGCCAGACAGGAATGCGCGGCATGGCGCTGGAACAGCTCACCAAACGCCCGACGCCAAGAAGCTTGCTGCTGCGATGGGCAAGATGCATGCATGTGTGTCTTGCTTTCTCGGCCTTGTCCCTTTCCTAAGAAGGAGCATTGGGAGCTGTGTTACCTCCCACCATTTTCCCCCCTTGCTTTTCCCCTTGGGCCCACGGCTGGACCTGTCCTTGAATTTGCATCGGCCAGCACCGCCTTTCCTGGTTGCGTTGACGACCCTCCGATTGTCAGGACGCGCGCCCAAACCAAGTGCGCGCCATTTCTACAGAGTGGCACTGAACGCCCCATTCGCCTCTCTTTTCATGTCCCACTTGCCCAGTCCGCGCGGCAGACTTTCTTCTGCCCTCCCACTCGTGCCGACATTACCACCTTGCCGGACAGGCCCGGGATCATCACTCACCTTGTTTCCTTTGACGCCCACGCCAAGGGCGCCTTGACAGCGGTGGATCTTGCGTGTGCAGGGCCGGCATCAATGCTGCAGCACGCCCGGCCTCTCCCTCGCGTACAATTTTACTCATCTCTCTGCCCAACCCTTGGTGCCGTTTGGCGGGCCCGCATTTTGCTTCTCGGGTGCCGGGCTTGACCTCCCTCCGCATCAGCAACATGCCTTTGTCAAACGTGATTGAGGCCAAGGTGCAGCTTTTCATGCCCGATGGCCCATCACGAGCCCCTGCCCGGCCCGTCAACCTACCACCGAGCCAGAGCAGTGAGCACCAGTCTTCATGCCCAGACGGCCAATCGTCGTCGCGTGGGTTGAAACTGGAGGACAGCGGCCGTCGCTGCAGCATCGTGGTGGATGATCCGGCCCTAGTCGCTGGTGACAATGTGGGAGACAAGGAAACCAAAGCCTTGGACACCCAGAACGCCTTGGCTGAAACCGCATCTGTCAATCTACCTGCCTCTGCATGGCATGCCCTCTTGGAACAGCAGCATGAGCTGCAGCACACGGTCACTCAGCTACGCGATCAATTGGAAGAGGAGCGAGAGGCCCGCGAAGCGCTGCGGGATGAGCTTCTGGCAGCCCGTGCATCCCATGATATGGACCTTGTCCAGCTCCACAACGAGATGGACGACCTCAAAGATCAACTGCTAGAGCTTCAGCGCGTCGCCCCCGGGGGGCAGGCCTCGCCCAAGCGCCTGTCTGATGGTGGATACATGCAGATGCTACCCATGAACACACCTTTTCCCAGTAAAGTCCTGCGCACCGCCTCCCACTACGCCTCCCAGATGGCCCTGCATGCCGACCAGGAAGCAAACCCGGAGCTTGAGGGCATGGAAGTGGACAGCGATGGTCTACCAATGTGTGCCTCAGCGCATCCGCCGCTCTCCCGGCACCAGTCGGACAGCTCGGTGGTGGAGAGTGCCTCCGCGGATGGCGGCAAAAAACTGCGGCGCCGCTGGTCCTTCTTCCGCCGCAAATCACAACCGGCCCTGCAAGAACACAAGGCTGCCAAGACGAGCAAGACACCAAACAAGAGCAACAAAGGTCATCGCCGCTCGCGGCGCAGCAAGCGTCAAAATGTCCCAGCCAGCACCAATAGCAGCCGGGGTCCCTCGCGTCGAGGCTCCAAGGTTGCCCAAGAAGACGAGCTGCCCCTCGTTGATCCCGTTGCAACGGAAGACAGCCCTGGTCATAATCAAGAAACCGACCAGGCACAGCAGGCGCCGGCCCAGCCTTCGCCCGCCTTTGTTACGCCGGCCGAGCTTCCACAGGAGGGAGCCACCAACATGACAACACACCGCCTATGCTCGGAAGCGCCTAAACCCAAGCCCAAACCCAAACCCAAACCCAAACCCTCTGCCCAGGCTACTGCCCAGGCTGCTGCCCGGCCTGACTCGCCGGTCCACGGCCACCCGTCCGACTCCGCAACAGCAACGGCTGCTGCAGTGGATGAGCGAGAAGCCAAGCGTCGCGCCCTGGCCGAACGCCGAGCCCGCATCAAAGCCGACCGTACAGCCAAAGAAGAAGCCGTTCTGCATGACGCTTTGGCTGTGATCGATGGTTTGATCCTGACGGACGATGAGGACGACGCGTGAACATGCCCTTCACATGAGATGTATTATACAGGTTGTCCCGCAGATGGCCACACGCTAACTTGTCCCCAACAATAAGCTTTGAGGCTTGCCAATTTGTTTGACAAGCACCTGCACCCGATGAGTTACACCAGTCAAACCCATGTCAATTCATGATCAATTTCCAACAACCAGCTTGCCTTTAATGATGAGACGAGTGACACCGACAACGACGCGCAGTCACGCTTGGCGTGATAAGTGTGGATGCGCTAAACGCTGAGACCAGACAGGCTGTTGAACAGGAGGACTTAATCCCCCCAACCCTCCCCTCCCTGGTCACCACAGAGATTCGTGACTCGAGCTAGGGCCGAGCATACTTCAAAGTCCATTCCCGCGCAGTGGCATTGAAGGCCTCGCGATCCTTCACGTACTGACGGGCCACGTCGGGCACAAGAGGGTCATCGGGGTTGGGATCTGTTAGCAGCGACGAGATGGAAAGCAGCACCTTGGATACTGTCAACGCCTGGGGTAATTGCAACGCACGCGGCAGAGCGGGGTAGCGAATGAATGAAGTGACGTGAAAATAAATAAAGCATTGAACCAACCCGGCATGGGCCAATGGTACGAACGGGGCTCCACTCCTTTTTCAAAATGTCGAGGCAAATGCCACCACTGCTGGACACGTTGGGGTGATACAACTTGGTTCTGCCAGCGAAAGAGCTGTGAGATGCTACATCAGCAGGTCTTGTCTCTCAACCATGAGGCGACACATCAACCTACCGAAAGGCACACTTGGGTGGCTTAAAGGGGTAGTCCGGGGGAAACTTGATCTCTAGCTGAAAAATGCCACCCTGCATCAAGTTTGCATTGAGTGTGTCACACACACACACACAAACATACACGACCGTCAGATCAGCAAAAGCACAAGGCGCGCAAGCAGGCTGCGAGCATCGCTGCGACCGCAGCGGGAGAGCTGGCGTACTGCATAAGGACTGTCTTCTGGTCCCACAATGGTGCCTTGCCAGTGGAAAACATCATCCTCCTTGATGGGTCCAGCCGAAATGTTGGTGGGAGGATCTCGCCGCAGCTCCTTGAGCTCACGATTCACCCGTTTCAGAGCCTGCGCCATGATCGCAATGCTGCAGCAAACCCTGACCAAGGGCAGGACGCGTCACGCTTGATGAGCATCACATTGAACCGCCGCACACCTCTCGCTCAGACACCTCCCATGCCTCCAGCATACTATCACAAAAAGGAAGAACGGAACGGATCCCAAGGACCATCATCATTTCCCCGCCCAAGCCATTCAGCCCGTGCTCGGTCAATGAATACCAACAAGAGTGACGCCGTCGCCAATGAAAGCAGCCAAGCTCCTTCGGGGTTGTTAAAAAGTAAAATACCTCGCTAGTTGTGGCTGTTACGACCAACTCGCCTACAAAAAGGTGAAGTATTTTCAGTATTTTCGTTTGTTGCGGAAAACACGTGTTGCGAACGAAAAATCTTCCGCTCACGGTGCGAAAAGAGAAAAAAAAAAAAAAAAAAAAAAAGAGAGACAGCGCGCGAAAGAGAGAAGTGGCAGTCGGGCTGGAGCAAGCAGCCTCTTCTTCTGCTCCTTGTCCTGCCTGTCCGCGCATGAGATAGCAGGACTTGTTTGAATCATATCTTTGGCTAACAGATGGGTTGGTGTGCTGGTCTTGATCCTGGCCGCGGCAGGTTTTCAAGGCGTGCAGAAGACCGCCAGCCCCAACCTGCGCTCGACGTCAACGCTGCCACCAACCGATAACATGTCGGCCCTCGCCCGGTAGGATGGACTTGAAGCTGAATCTTGGTGACGGTGTTCTTCCAGCATACTTGATGCCATTTGCATGCACTTCTCTCGCTTTTGCGGGCCCATTGCGCGGTGGCTGCAACTCTTGGTTTCGACCACCTTTATTCTGATGGTTGATTGTTGTTCTCCGCTTTGGGCAATGTACCTAGTCTTCTTCCCCGCCCGGTGCATGCCGAGGAGGACGATGAGCCAGAAGAGCAACTTGAGCAGGCCATTCAGGTACATCTTCCCTTCCTCTCAGCTTCTTCTGTGCATCCTGTCTGAACGGGTTGAGTGTCTTTCTCTCCCATGTTTGCCAGCGCCGCGTCTTGCGCCAAAATCTCAGCAGCTGGTGCTTAATATGCGGCCGTGTTTGCCCCACGTTCTCATGCCCGATTGTTGTTGATGTTTTTCTCTCTCTCTTAACCTTCATTCTTTCTTTTTTTGGCCCGATGTCATGGCGTCATTGCTGCCCGAATGCATTTTTTCTGGGGCTGAGCAGACTGTCGCATCGCGAATCCCCGCGTACGGCAAGCGTAAAGGCTATCTTCCCCGCAAACCTGAGGTGTGCCGCATGCTGTGGTGCTCTGGCTTGCTGTTCCCCACGGGGAACCTTGAGGCAAAAGGCTTGCATTGGCTGGCCCCGCTCAGGCCCGCTGTTACCACAGGACTTTGGCGATGGCGGCGCGTTTCCCGAGCTGCACTTTGCCCAGTATCCTTTGGGCATGGGCTTGAAGGATAAGCAGGGCAACTCCAAGGCTGTGGTACCTGTGCAAGTGGATCAAAACGGCAAGATTCGCTATGACGCTCTGCTTCGCCATGGTCAGCGTAGCGACAAGATTGTGCACTCGACCTACGACAGTCTGGCTGCTGTGGACGTCACAAACGATGAAGAACGTCGTCAGGTTGGTCATTCTCATTTGCTTTGTGTGTGTGTGTGTGTGTGTGTTGGTGTGTGTGCATGCACACTGCCTCTTTGCGCTCTCTTGCTTCGCGCCCTCGTGCGTGTAGTTGACCCATCAAAGCCATGGCATGCCAGTTATGCCTCGCCAATGTCGCTTCTCACCTTTGCTCTGCTCAACGCGCCACGACGAATGCAGATGCCCTCGGAAGACACGGTGGAAGAGACAACGCTAAAGACGAAACAAGCTTTGGAAGAGCTCGTCAATGGCAAAATTCAAAACGTTCGCACCACACACGTGGACAAGGTCAACCGAGATGCCACCTACATCCGCTACACGCCTGGACAGATTGATCAGCAGCACAACTCGGGTGCGCAGCAGCGCATCATCCGCATGGTCGATGTGCAGGTGGACCCGATGCAGCCACCCAAGTTTCGCACAAACAAAAAGATTCCCCGCGGCCCACCCTCGCCCCCGGCACCCGTGCTGCACTCGCCACCCCGCAAGGTGACGGCTGACGAGCAGCGCAACATGCGCATCCCACCGTGCATTTCCAATTGGAAAAACTCCAAGGGTTTTGTGGTGCCGCTGGACAAGCGCATGGCAGCCGACGGCCGTGCGCTGCAGGATGTGACGATCAATGACAAATTTGCCAAGCTCTCCGAGGCCTTGCACATTGCTGAGCGCAAATCACGCGAGGATATTGCCATGCGTCAAGACATTCAGAAGCGGGCGGCCCAAAAGGAGAAGGAGCGCAAGGAAGAGGTGCTGGCCAACATGGCGCGTCGGGCTCGTGAGGAGCGTGCGGGCATCCGCCACGAGCTTGAGGACGAGGATGAGGAAGATTTGGAGCAGGTGGAGGCTCGCGAGCAGATCCGTCGCGAACGCGAGCGTGAACGCCGCCGTCAGATGAACATTGCCAATGCGGCGCCAGACAAGCGCAACCGCCTAAACCGGGACAAGGAGCGCGATGTGTCGGAGCGCATTGCTTTGGGCCTGCCGGCTCCCAGCGCCGCGCAGCAGAGTGGTGGCTACGATACTCGTCTGTTTGGGCAGTCGCAGGGCATGGATGCAGGCTTCGGTGCAGATGACGGCTACAATGTGTACGACAAGCCGTTCCGTGGTGAACAAGCGCAAAGCATTTACAAGCCCAGCAAGGTGGACAACGTGTCGGCGGAGGACGAGTATGAAGCCATTGTACGTATGCACCCGCCGCGCGTGTTCGAGCAACATGTTCGACCCAAGCAAGGACCGACTCTTGTTGATGGGGAGGGGTTCGTGTGACTCGTCACCCTCGAGACGGAATGGAGAAAATGCCATCTCACTTGGTCTGCCCTGTTGGCACTGCTTTGTGTGTTTACAGAAAACTACGGATCGCTTCCGAGCCGACAAGGGATTCTCGGGTACAGAGTCGGGCTCCAAGCGCGGCGCGGCGCCTGTGCAGTTTGAAAAGTCCAACGATGACCTCTTTGGCCTCAATTCTTTCCTGGAAGAGGCCAAGGATGGCAAGCGCGGTGCTTCTGGGTAAGATTAGCTGGCTGCGCATTCACGCTCCCTGTTTCTGGTGCCTGATCCTGTGCCTGTGCCGCCCGCTCGTGCGTGCATGAAACAACTGATGGCCGGCGGTCTGGTGCTGTGTTCTTCCTTGTGTAGGCGTGACGGTGATACGGATGCCAAACGCTCGGCGCGTTAGTGCGAATGATTGCTTTTTTTTTTTTTTACATCTTGATCCTCTGCCCGTGCCTACTTTCTAGCCATTGTGGTCTCAGAGCTTGTCGAGCAGTGTAGTGTGGTCGAATGACACACAGTCCGGCAATTGATCGAGCAAACTTGAGTTGTCTTTTTTTTTTTCTTGGCCTCGCCCCTCAGGATGCTTGCGGACAATCCTGAATTGGATTGTGATACTTTTCTACCACAAATCTATTCCCTTCCCTCAGATCCAGATTGCCTGTCGCCGATTGTAAGACAAAACCCGTTTCTCTCACTTTCTCTCCTCTCTGTTGCATTTCTCTCTCTCTCTCTCTCTCTCTCTCTCTCTCTCTCTTCTCTCTCTCTCAAAAAAAAAAAAAAAAGGGCAGCGGAGAGCGTGCCTCGTCGGGAAGGCACTGCGTTGTTGTGTTGGTATAGTTTTTGATGGATCGTTGGTCACATTTGGAGGAGGGCAGGGGTGCCATTTGAGCTGAGCATGAAGCACTCTGCATTTTGAGTCGTCGGATCAGCTTGCATCGCGACCGCGAAGCGACGCAACGCCAGTGCTCATGAAATTGCCGCTGCTCGATTCTTGGCCGCCGCCTCCTTGGCTGTCTCCTTGGCCGATGCCTGCAATATAGCTCTTATCTTTGGACTTTGGCACCGTCATCATGGCCAAGTGGTTGAACAAGCGTACCCAGGTTCGACTGGCCACTCGGCGCTCGAGGCTAACTTCTTTTCAACTCTGCGTTTTGGCAGTGTGCATCCACACTGCCAAGAGCAATGCCAACCCCACTTCCCACTCACGTTTCTGGCTTCTTGATCCCATGACCGCTCCTCCCCGTACACTTGACCCGCTCGCAGGCTGTCACTGAGCGCCTGAACAAGGACACCAAGCGCACCGAGTATGAAACGGATTTCCAAGAACTTATCGATGTGAGAGCGCACTGATGGCGGACAAATGCTTGCTTCACCTCTTTCCCAGCTTCAGTCCTTGCGCACTGCTCACGTTTGTCGCCTCATTATGGCATTGTACAGCAAACCGAGGCTACTCGCGCAGCTATTCAACGCCTTTTCAAGGATGTGCCGGTCTTTCTTCATCCCAACCCGGGTACGAAGCCATTGCACTGTTTCAACATCGACACTCGCGCCAATCACTCTCTCATCCCACTTTCAATTTTTTTTTAACAATTCCTATTCAATCTCTGTGACATGGATAGCCGCTCGTGCCAAGGCGGCGATGGGCACGACGTACGCCAAAATGCGCAAGACAGCCTGTATGTCTTTTTTGAATCCGCATCAGATGCACCGTCCTCACCCTCCCGAGACAGCGCAGCTCAGACTTTGGAGCTCAACCACTCCCGCCTCAACCTGTTGATGTGGTTCCCTGCTCATCATCACCTATAGCCGAGCGCCGGTATCCTCATCATACCGGAGAGCTGGCTACAGTTTTGACCAAGAGTGCTGAGGAGTTTCCACCCGACTCAGGCTTTGGTAAGTCGTGTTTGCTAGCCCACAGCTCAGTTACGGGTACGCATTTGCCTGACAGCTTGCGACCCTCTCACGCCTCCTTGTAGGACAAGCCATGCGCCACGTCGGCGAGGCTCTTCAGAAAATTTGCGAAGCCCACCATGAGATGGTCTGTTTCAACCCGTTTGCAAATTACATTCCCTTTTTCACTCGCGTTTCATATTCAACCAATCGATCCCATCGACAAGGACTGGCTGTTTCATGTTTCTTGTGGCACCGCATCTGTAGGATGACGACGTGATGCAGCATTTGCTGGCCCCGATCAAGGAGACCCAGGATGGTGTTCTCAAGGACTTGGCCAAGGAGCGCAAGAAAATGGAATCTCGCCGTCTGGATTACGATTACAAGGTTCTGCTCTCGTCGCGCGTTTGAACCACCAAATCGCACGAAAAGCCAAATTCCCGGCTCATTTAGGCACGTTGGCCCCTACTTTTAGAAGCGCAAGATTGAAACGGGCAAGAGCAGTTTCACAAACGATGACGTGAAGCAGGCTGAGGAAAAGTTTGCCGCCTCGCGCGAGATCTACGAAAACTCGATGCTCAACTTTTTGGACAACGACGTATGTACCTGCTCTTGGTCTAGCGCTGCCTTGTCCTGTCTTGCACTGTTTTGCATTGCCTTGCCTCCCAGCCTCGAACCAACCTGGCGTGCCAACCTGACATGGAAACCTGCACTTGATGGCTCGCATTTCCCGGGTCCGGCTATAGTCAGAGCAAGTGGGTCAGCTGCAAGCTTTCGTCAACGCCTACCTCAATGTGGCACGCCAATCTGTGGCAGCTCTCGAGGAAGCCCAAGAAGCCCTTGCGGAAACGTGCGTGATTTCTTGCCGCGTACCCACCCTCTAGCCAGTGCATGCGCGCTTAAGTTGGCGGCCAGCACACAACTTAACGCTGATGACTTGCCACCCCGCAGCCTTTCGGATGTGCAGAGCCGCCCACGCCGCGAGCCTCGCCCCCAGTCCACTTACAACTTTGACGACGATGACGACGACGACGATTATGATGACGATGATGCGCGAGGTTGGCTTGCTGTCGATATAGTGTGCGTCCTAATAATAAACCACAATTTGAGTCTCATGTTTCGGCATGCCTTGTGTGCCCCACACAATCAGATATCCCGGCCGGCACCGGCCCTTGTTGCATTGCTGCCTATGACTTTGAAGCCGAGGCAGAAGGCGAGCTCAGCTTTGCCGAGGTAGGCCCCATGGTCCCGAGCCATTTACGGTGTTCAAAAGTACGATGAGTGACGCATGCTTTGCTTTGCCTTTGTTTCTTCATCACTCCTGCAGGGCCAGACCATCCGCCTTCTTAGCCGCCTTGATGAAAACTGGCTCGAGGGCGAACTCAACGGTCGCACCGGCATTTTCCCCTCCACCTGTAAGTTGTCAAGCTGCTCACAGTGCTCTGCGACCCTTCACAAACAAAAACCATGTCTCACGTCCGACACTGTTGTTAAACTTGCAGATGTTGAAATTGTGCGCGACCTGTAAAGCCTGGGGCAGCTCTCCGATGCTTTGCACAAAACCACTGCTCACGCTTGTTTGATTTTCAATGACATGGCCGACCACGTTGTTCAGAAGCTTGATCTTCCCTATCTTCAGCAATACCGCTTTCCATTGATCAGATTTTGTTTGCTTCTTTTTCTTTCCTGCCCGTCACGCTTTTTTTTTTGCGTTTATTCCTTCTCTTTTTGCACCGCCCTTTTCTGCCTCGTTGTTTGTCAATTGATGAAGGGCAGCACGTCCAGCGTAAAAGATGCTTCGCAAGCTGGCTGGATCAAGCGGCCATGATTTGAATCGACTTGTGTTCTGTACGCCAAAAGTCCAATAAATCGATCAATTGTCGAGCGGCGTTCGCAACCGCATTGCGCACCGCTTGAAGCGCCCGTTGTTGGTGGTCGATGACGTCCTCGTGCCACGTCCCAACATGGCACACAGTACCAGACGCTCAAAATGATGGAATGTCCCAGGTCTTTCAAAAAAGGAGAAAACTTGGTTGAAACGAACAAGACGTACACAAGAGCCTATGCCGCACATGACACTACTACTCAAACTGGACTCACGCCGAGGCGGTCATACGCTCCTTCACAAGCGGCTGAACCACCGAGCACACGCCCGTACCACCCGCCGTGACAGCACCCAGCACCAGGCGTGAAGAGTTGGACTGCAAGCAACGAGACACGCCCCATGCCGTGAGCTAGCGGTTTTGTCACTCGCCTCAAGGAGGATGCCACCATAGCGCATTGGCACCACCATGCATCTGCTGGCCATGACAAGTTCGTATTGGTGCTTACCTGCAATGTGTCATGGTCACCACGGAGGGTCGAAGCGCGCAAAAAGTCAGTCGTTGACTCGAAGCTCATCTTCAAGAAGGGATCCGTGCTTGAACGCATCGAGATGCGGTTCATCCCACGATAATCTCCCTCAAAGGCCTGCGAGTGTCACGAAAGGGGAATGGAAATCGTGAGAAGAGAACACACATCGGCGCCGCTCTAATAGAGCCCTGGCATGTCATGACATCTGTCGTCGTTGGTAGCGATCGAACAAAAGCTTCGACATACCATGTAGTCGGCCACCAGGGACAAATGACGATGGTTGACAGCAATACCGTACACGTCGAACACGGCGGACAACTCGCGAATGATAGAACGCTGGCCGGCCTCCACGCCATACGTCTCGAACATCTGTGGTTCAACAAGCATTAGGTAAGTCTTGGGACGCCAAATTCAGCCAAAAGGTTGGAGCAATACCCAGTCGGCACAAGTGCAGTCACCACTCACAGCGTTGACGTCGTTACACTTGAGGCTGTTCAGCTCCAACAACTCGGCATGTTGCCACAGCTCATAAATGTTCAAACCCTCCACTTGCAGTGTGTCTGGCTCGGGCACGTGCTGGATTCAAAAATGTTTGTGCCGGGTGAGCCCGCCACAAAACAGAGCCCCACGCCAGTAAAGTTTACAAATGTACAAGTGACGACACTTACATCCTGGCTTTTGACAACACGGCAAGACTTGATGCCCTTGGTCTCGCGGAGCATAATCTTCTTGGCGCTATTCTCCAGGATGGTCACAAACAGCATCTTTTGCATGCTTGCGGGAACCGCAAGCTCCACCTCCAGCCAGCGGCCCTTGGAATCGTAGTCGTAGTCGGCAATGGCCGGGCTCAATGCAATGACACGCTCACGATGCTTGCGACGGGCGGCCTTTTGCTTCTACACACATAACCCAAGCAAACAATCATGTTCATCGTTAAAACTCGTGCATGAGACACACCAGGGCCATTTTCAGCAAAAGTGCACGATAAAAAACGCAATTTCGTACCGAGGTCGGCGCCACAGAAGTAGCAACGGCAATCTTGGCCAATTCTGCCACTTGCTGATCAGTCGCGTGCTCCAGGTCATTGTCAGAACCATGACCTTCATCGGCTTCCATGTCCACGTCGTTGGCGAATGCTTCGTCATCATCAGAATCGCCGGCATTTTGATCTTCATCCTGACGCGGCGCGGCCAGCGTACCATCACCCTCACCAATCTCTTCAGCATCGCTATTCTCGTCCTCGGGTTCACTCTATGTATGGGTGTAAACACAATATCGAAACGCGTAAGCAAAAGTGTGATTCCACATTCCAAAACCAGTCCCGTGCATCAAGCTGCCATCAGCCTCACCTCGGCACCACCGCGGTTCGCCTCCACATCTGCTCCGTCAGCATCGTCGCCACCCTCTTGATCATGAGCTTCAGCGTCATCGCCATCGCCCTGAGCAATGATCTTGTCGCTGCTGCTGGTCACGATGCTGCGATGGCCCATTTTGAAGAGGCGGGCCACGACCTTGTTTTCCAATGCCTTGAAAAGCTCCTTGCGACCAATACCAAAGACTTCTTCGTACTCCTCCTTGTCGATCAAGGAGAGGCGAATGCGATAGCTACGGAAGCGATCGCCGTCCCGGCTTGCCGCCAGTTTTGAGTGCACCTCAACGCGATCAAGCACGTCGCTGAGGCGCACAGGTGCCAGTCGGGCTGCCAGGGAGCGAGCACGCTCCTGGATCTGGGGCACGCTCAAGCGTAGAGGCACAATCATGATGGGCGTCTTGGCAGCCTTGCTGGCCGTCATGACAATTTCGCGCAAGCGCGGGATACCAAGCGTAACGTTGACGTCACCGCGACCGGCAAAGTGGAAGGTGTTGAGCGTCATCTGCGTGGAGGGTTCACCAATGGACTGGGCGGCCAAGATGCCCACAGGCTCGCCAGGCTCAGCCACCGCACGGCAGCTGATCAAGTACATGAGCTGCTCAAAGCGCTTGGCATCCAACCCCTTGCTGAGGTCGGCCAAGCGTGCTGGATCCTTGGTCAAGTAGCCTTGCAGCTTCTTGTAGAAATTCTCCGAGACGCAGCCAAAGTGTGTATCCGGGCGCAAGGTCGCCAAGACGGGGTCGTGCTTTGCAGGTTGTGCAATGGCCTCCTGTTGCATCTTGCCCGCTTGACGCTTGGCACGCTAGATATGGAAACGGAGAGCCATGCCCCACATTGAGTGAACTCCAGTCCGCGACACAAGACCAAGCAATAGACACCCTTCCCCTTTCGTGAAAGAAAGTAAAAAGCCAAATCATCATATTAAAAAAAAAAAAAAAAACTACCTTTCCGGGAAAGGCGTCACCCAGGGCCTCGACGTTGTAGCGGCTCAATAACGCCGGGTAATTGAGCGCCATAAAGTCAAAGTTGGTCAAAGAGTTTGTCTTTGTGACGTCCAAAGCATCCTCACCATAACTGAAACAAGCGAGAGCGAAAGAAGAAATAAAGTAAGTGAGTGGCAATCAAAACCAACATGTCAGACCCATCATGTGCTGCGCTTCAACGCAAAGCGGTCGAAACCCGAAACAACGGAAAGAAGTGAGCACCAACCGGAACTGAACGACGGAGCCGTCGCTGTCCCGCACGGTCAGATCGTAGTGAACCTTGATATCTTCCAGGTGCTTGATCAAGCAGCGCTGCAGGTATCCGGAGCGAGAAGTCTTTACAGCCGTATCAACCAAGCCCTCACGGCCGGCCATGCAATGGAAGAAGTACTCCTACAAGCGAAGACACACAGGGAAAGTGAAAGGAGAATAAAGGCATGTTAGGATGACGTAGCTATATCTACTTTTCGTGGATGAAAGTGGTGATGGCTATTGCACTGCCGACTGACCTGGGGGCGGAGACCGGTCAAGAAGCGGTCGGTGATAAGACCACCAGCACGCAGGCTGGCATCAAAGGCTGGGAACGAAGGCAGAGTTTTGCCACTGCTCATGACTGGGACACGGCGACCTTCCAGCATCTGCTGACCAAGCATACAGGAGATCTGGGTGGCGTTCACGTTGGAACCCTTGGCACCAGATTGCACAATCAACTGTGCAGAATGGGGCAGGCAGGGGTGGTGAGCATCTGGCTCGCGGCAATCCCTGGTTGCGATGTCAAGTGCCAAAACCTCGGGCATGCCGGACCTGGAAGTTGTTGTGAGGGAAGGGCTTGATGAGACCATGAGGCATGGTCTTTTCGATGACCTTGGATTGAATCTTGTTGGCAGCGCCGCTCATGGCGCTGTCCAAGCCCTTGCTCTCTCCAGGATCGCGCAAAATGGTTTGCAAGTTGGATTTGAGCAAGTCATCATCGCGCCAATCATCTTGCTTCACGTAGTTGGCTGCGGCCTCGTGGCCATGGGTTGTGCTGTCATCCAAAATCTCACGACGCCTATTTTGAAGGATGAAATTGCATGCAACCGTTTTTGGTGAATGGTTAAAACGAGATTGGGACGGTGCACATCCAGCAGAGCGCCCATTCAAGCCTTGCGGGCATGGTTCATGCAAGCACGTACGCTGCGTCAAATTCGGGCCGCAAGATCAAGTCGTCAATGCAAAGCGTATGCCCGTGCATTTTGAGCCACATGGTCCAGACACGGCCCAAGGCGCTCAAAAACTCGCCGGCGGTGCGCCCGCCGTATACCTCATAGACTGCGTGCACGATACCATACGTGGAGTTTCCGACTTGAGCCTTGTCTAGAATGCCGCACAAAAGTTCGCAGTTGCGCACAATGACCGTGCTCTCGCCCTCGAGGCCACCCTTGTCGTTGGCTGACCAGGCATTCTTGATCTTGGCCTTGCCATACAGGTTCATGCCTGTTTGGTTCAGCGTCAGATTCTTGAGAATTGTGGTGATGATCTGCTTGCCGGTCCAGAGACGTTGGGGCTTGATCATGGCCGGAGGCACCGTCACAATGCGAGTGCCCTTGTACTCATCCTTGAGGGCAGAGTACACAAATGTCTTCGTTCGCACGGTGAAGCGAGCACGACGTGAGTTTGATTGAATAAGAAGGTGGCGAAGAAGGCAAGAAGAACATGACCAAGGAAATGAATAACAAACCTGATAGTGATGACGATCATAAAAGGAGTCTTTGCAGCACATCTTCACGGCGGCAATCACGTGATCCTGGATCAAACCACGGAGCGGATCACCGGCCAAACCGATATACTATGCCAGAGCAACCATTCCAGACCAGCCACACCACATGGCCAAGATGAGTTGCCAGTCTATAGAAATCACTACATGCCCGACGCCGCGTGGTGATAAAAAGAATCGGGGCCAGACCTGGAAGTTGTTCGAGGCAATCTCCGAAGCTTCGGCACGCGCAAACTCGCTTTGCGGGAAGTGAAGGTTCATCTCGTCACCGTCAAAGTCAGCGTTGTAAGACTACAGGCAGCGATCGGGCAGCTGAGTGAGAAATGGCCGTTGGGGCGCCTTGCCATCCACCGGCTTGGTCACAAGTAGCGCTACCGTACCTTGCAGTTGGAGTAGTGCAGACGCATGGTGCGCTCGCCCGTGAGGACTCGGACTTGATGAGCCATGATACTGGACTTGTGGAGCGAGGGCTGACGGTTCATAAGCACCCAGTCGCCGTTCTTGATGTGACGCATGACAATCTTGGGGCGGTCAGAACGCGCTTTGGGCGAAGGCGTCAACAATTGGTCTGCAATGGGCACGCGCTTGGATAGTTCTCGACTGAGGACGGTCACGTGGCCATCCTCATCCTAAATGAAGCAGCATCAACCCACCCAACTTGGTGAGGTCTGGCCATATTGTGCGACCCCATGGTGCAGCGAAAAAATCAAAATCAAAAGTGGAGCGGAAGCAAACACTGACCATGACATGGGTGGCGCCGGGATGAACGTCGGGCCCGTTGAGCACGCATTGACGCAGGTAGTTGACATTCCAGGGAGTCACGGGCTGAGGATAGGTCAGGCGTGTGGCGAAGCAATCGGGCACGCCGACTTCATTGGTGCCGATCATGGGATCAGGCGAGATGACGGTTCTATAAGCCAAAAGAAAAAAGTGAGTACAATCTTCAAGAGGGGCGACGAGAAGGAGAGCCAAAAAAGAAAGAAGAAAGGCACAAATAGCCAAAGCAACGCACCGTGCGGCGTAGTTGACACGCTTGCCCATCATATGCATGCGGAACAGGCCCTCTTTGCGCTCCAGCAGCTGACGAATGCCCGGCTGTACGTCAAGTGCAGCCCGACCTCCCGCAAGCGAGCTGTCAATAAGGATGTTGACATGTGACTGGAGTTGTTGCCACGCTCGGTTGAGGTTCTCAACACGCTTGCGCTCATACTCTGCCACGTTGCCATCTTCCTCGGACATACGCATCTTGAAGATGTCACGCAACTGGTCCACATCTGTGGCGCCCGAAACACGATGAAGATAAGAAAACAAAGAAACATGGAGTGGCAGAAGGGCACGTTCAGCAGCGGCTTTGCCGTCGGTTGCTATGAAGCTGCTCGCCTTCTGGGTGCAAGGAACACACACACACACACACACACACACACACACACACACACACACACACAGAAAGCATATACGCACCTTTGATGATAGCACCCAAAGTAATTGTTTGGCTATTTTCAAACGTCTGGCCACCCATCAAGGAAGGAGGGCGAAAGCTGCAGACCAGGTCAGATACCAAAGCAAGCGTGAAAGGCACATGAATATGAGGGGGCTCAACACATCAAGGATGTCGACCAACAAGAAACGAGGCGCGAAAAAAAAAAAAAAAAAGGGAGGGATGCCCCAACCCGATCGAGAGCCAGATGCAGTGTGCTGCTGGCTGACACTTGGACTATAGATGATGGCGAAAGGACGTCAATCATACCGGTTGGGGGGCACGGGAAGGACCCGAAGGAAGAACGACTCATAGCTGCTAATGCGGGTGGCCGAGCCATCATCGTTGACGCCCAGCACGCGGCTGGCGAAAATGTTGGTGAGCAAGTCTGCGTGACGAGCCCAAAGCTCGCGCTGCGAAACACCAGCTCGGTTAGCATACTGTACAAGTATTGCATCGAATGGCGTGATGTTCACGCAGAGACGAAAGACAACGCCAGCGTACCAAATGTTCGCGCGCCTGGCTAGGAGAGATGTAAAGGCGCTCTTTGGGGTCGTGACTTTTGATTTGCTGAAGGACAGACTGGGCATAGTCTGACTCGACCGTCGCAACGGGACGCGCGGGTTTGCGGGCTCCTTCGTCACTCTCGTCGCCACTGCCCTCGGAGCTTTCATGGCCACTGTCCTCACCACGTGGCTCGTCACGATGACCCGAGGTCAAGTAAGCCTCGGCAATTGAGGGTAGCAAGGGCATTTCTTCGAGTTTTTGAGCGACCATGCGTGCGCGCTGTTTTTGGGGCAAAGGCTGCATGGGGACCAGATAAAGAGGCAGGGTACAGCACAATGGCATGGGCAAGCGACAACATTAGTGTGCGATGCATAAGTTGTAGTCTGAGTAAGACGCTGTTGGGCCATCCATATATGGTGATCCGCAAAACATACGTTGGCAAAAATCTTGACAGAAGCTTCGTGGGTGAGACGGCGAGAAGCGGCGCCGCAGTGCTACAGGAAATGCCATCAGCGTCAGCGAGAGACTAGCCGATGGGCAGCCAGGGACGTACGCCCTGTCCAAGCGCGCCAGTCGAATCAACAATTCCGGAAAACAAGGCAAGGGGAACATACAGCGCAAGATTTGATGTTGACGGTATTCTTGAGAAAGGCTTCAATGAGCTCACGACGATACTTGGCCACGTGGATGGAGTTGGCAGGATTAGGGCGCTCTGAGGCTTGACGCTCCATGACGCGGGCCATGCTAGCCTCAAAGGCTGCCCGAAGGTGCTCCGGGCCTTCACTGGGGTCTTGACCCTCATCACTGGGCAGGCGCGGGAGGTCGAGGGCATCCTCCAGGTTGCGGGCCTCGACCAGGGCGTCGCGAGCGAGCAGGTCCAATTGGTGCTGCAACAACTGAAGGGGAACGTCGCCGGCCTTGAATTTGTGACAGAGACGGCATTTGGCACGAAGAAGCTGGTACAACTGCTGGAAAAAGAGCGGGTGATACACATGCACGGGCAGCTCAATGTGGCCCATGTGGCCAGGGCAGTGTGTGCCCAAAAGATGGCAAGTGGTGCAGCGTTCCGAGTTGTCCACAGGGCCCAGGGCTGGGTCGTACAGACCCCCGATCATGGGGTTGTTCAACTCATCAAAACCATCGGCATGGCTGATGCCCTTGACGGAAAGACGACGCGTCGTGGCATCATCGAACATGCCAAAGGAAACGCCACGGACCTGTGGTTGACATTCCACGTAGTTGAGACCAGATAATGAGGAGGTAACACACGGCAAGAGGCATGGAAAGAGGCGATGTAGCAAGAACTTCGGAGGCCGGGCAGAGCAAGGCCGGGCAGAGCAAGGCCGAGCGGGGCAGGAGAAGGGCCGCCGTCAACTTACGTAGTGGTCCTGCAGCGGGGTTGGCTCCATGGCAGCGGTCGCGTCCACCCAAGTGGCAAGCGGGCCTGAGCACTAGGAGATGGAGACACACACGCCTCCCGAACCAAGGCCACGCTGAATCTTCCAAGGCTCACAGTTCACGCCAAAGCGCACGCATGCGCGCTCCCGAAGCAACGAGCTGTCCAGCCGACGAGACAACAACACAACGACTCGACCATGCGGCGAGCCGAGCGGGGCGACAGCACGCGGATGAATGAAGGTGAAGGTGTCACCAACAACTCTCAAGTGTATCCGCGACCATGTGTACGCAACACCATTTTGTTACACCTGTTGTTCCGGCCATTTTCGCCTCGAGATGTCAGATAAACTTTTGGTGCCTTTCTTTTGTTTGATTTCGTTGGATTTGATTCTTACGCTCAAGGCGTGATCGATTGGTGGTTGAGGGGGCTGCCCGGCTCGGCGGGGCGCCTAGAACCCATCCAACACGAGGCTTCCAGGCCTTCTTGCATACGCACTCGCATGCACACACGCACACAGACTATCATACTACAAACGCGTATGTGAAGAAGGCATCAATCAGCGGTACAAATCTTGAAATGAAACACATGGCCACAGGCGATCCGTGTCACAGTGCGTCGTCGTCAATATCATCAAAAGTTGCGTCGCCCACGAGATCCGCCCGCTGCTGCTTTGATCTCTTTTTCTTCCCGTGTGGACGGGTGGCCACCGCTGGTGCGGGGGCGGCAACGGCAGAAGCCACGGGCTCGGGTGCGTTGGTGGCAACTGGCGCTGCTTGTGGGTTGGGCATTGGATCCGCATGTGCGGGGCTCTTTTCTTCACCATCACTATTCTCGGGAACTGATGCCCAAGCATCTTCCTCGCCTTCATCCAGAATGGGCCCCGTGGCGTTAAAGCTGTCGCTGTCACAGGCAGATGCGGCCGTTCCTGCAAATCTCATCAAGTGGATCTGTATCGATGTCAATGATGAGATGCCCTGAACGTGCCCTCACGGCTGGACCCGGGGAGAGGAGCCACATGCCAAGAGGGAAGGCAAGTTTCAACACGTGACACACCTTGATGAAAATGTTGACTTCGTCAGAACGGGCCAAGTATGGGAAGTTGCCGCCCTCCTGGGAAATTGGCAGGAGGGAGAAAGAGTGAAGCAGAGACGGCGTGAGCAGCTAGCAATGAGCGGGTGGTTGCTTAAAAAGAATGAGCGAGAGCGCCGTACTTTGAGTTGCGCGAGCTTGGCCTGAGGAAAGCTCTTGTAAAGGTCGTCCTTGACGCGGTCAGAGATGACACAGTCGTCATTGACATCCATAATTGTCACCTGAGTCATGATACCCGAATGAATACTTGGGTGAGCAATACGGGTGCACTCGTCCCGTGTGTGTGTGTGTGTGTGTGTGTGTGTGTGTGTGTGTGTGTGTGTGTGTGTGTGTGTGTGTGTGTGTGTGTGTGTGTGTCTGTGTCTGTGTCTGTGTCTGTGTCTGTGTCTGTCTGTCTGTCTGTCTGTCTGTCTGTCTGTCTGTCTGTCTGTCTGTCTGTCTGTCTGTCTGTCTGTCTGTCTGTCTGTCTGTGTGTGTGTGTGTGTGTGTCTGTGTGTGTGTGTGTCTGTGTGTGTGTGTGTGTGTGTGTGTGTGTCTGTGTGTCTGTGTGTGTCTGTGTGTGTGTGTGTGTCTGTGTGTGTGTGTGTGTGTGTGTGTGTGTGTCTGTCTGTCTGTGTGTCTGTGTCTGTGTCTGTGTCTGTGTGTGATCGGCAAGCAGGCAGTGCAATTGGATGAAGCCAATGGCGTGATACCTTGACACCCTGATTGGTAATGTGGTGAGGCTCGACATAGGCAGGCTTGATGTTGAGCAGGAGACGTGAAAGCAAGTCCCGTCGTGTCAGCTCCTCCAACTGCAGCGCGACCAATTCGAAACGTGAGAGATCCAGCTCCACACAAATAACCTGGCCTGGCAAGCAAGCAAGCAAGCGACGGGCTCCAAACAACCTACCCGTTCAACCATAAAGTCAGTTGATTCAGCAATGTCCGGGTGAAGTCCATCAGCGCGCAGATTATCCAGCAGGAGCCAACGGAGAAAGAAGAGGGGCGAGCATTTGAGCCTGATCCAAAAAAAGGAATGCGATCGTTCAGGCAGGTTGTCAGGCAGGTTGTAAGAGAGAGAATGGCCGATCGCGTCCCGGATTGGCATGTCGTTGCTGCAAACTGCACAGTCAAGGGAAGGATAGACGACACCAAAAAAAAGGAGACATACAGTGTGGGGGGAGGAAGATCAAAGACGGCCGTATCGGTAAAGCCGTTGATGAGAAAGAGGGAGGCTACACGGATCCGTTGATCGGGCTGGGTACTCGTAAACTGGGCAAACTTTTGTGCCAGGAAAGCACCCAGGCTGGCACCAACCATGTGAAGCTGTACGGCGATAGACAGAAGGTGAGCGACGGACGAAGGCCTCAGCGCTGAGTGGCATGCTCGGCGAGTGCGAGTGCGCGTGCAAGGCAAAGGCAAAGGGCAGCACCTACGTTTTTAAGCTTGAGCTGACTGCAGAGTTGTGCTAGCGCCGTACAAAAAGTGTCGATATCTTGAATGCCCTCGGGATAGGAAAGCGCGATCGAGCGAAATCCGAGGCTGGCCAGTGGCATCATCTGACGAAACCAGACATCGGCCGTGCCAGAGACGGGCGGTAGGAAGACAATCGGGTTCTTGATGGTGCGTGGACCATGATCAAAGAGTCGCCATGTGAAAGTCTGTTTGCCAATCTGCACACTAATGTGTTGCAGGGGCACAGAAGAACGAAACGAACTGTACTCCACCGAACGAGCAATCTCGCTGCGATCGTCGCGCAAACTGCTCTCGGCCATGATGCAGCCTCACGGTATGGTACTCAAACCCCCCTATTCTAAGATCAGTGGTTGGAATTCCGATGGCCCTTTGCCCCAGGCCGTTCCTCTCAACACCACCGCCTTGGGATCTCTAGTGCGCGCTGATCCCGCTGTTCGTCGATTGAAAGTTTGAGCCGCAGCAAGCAAGGGGAACGGGGAAACTGTAAAGGCCGGATGCTCCAAGTGCGGAAGTGTAGCTTGATCACACTTTTACCGAGGTACTTAAATTATCTGACAATCGCTCGCTACCAACTGTGTCAACCCTTTCCAGTGGATGCTCAAAGAGGCTGTGTGCAAAAATTTGTATCATTGGAAGCCGGGTTTTCCTGGTTGACTGATTACGCAGGTGGCTAACCTTGAAGCCTGGGGGTGTAGGGAACAGGTGTTGCAGGTTCGGCAGGGGTGGGGCTGATTGGCAGCCGGCTCGTTGGCTTTGAAGCTGGCTGACTTGCGGGTTCGTAACGTGATCGTAGACTCAACAAGACGACAGAATGACTCAACGTGTGGCAGCGTTGATGAACAAGAGGATGCTTGTGCTCAACTAAAACTTTTGCCCTACGAAAGCGAAACTCGACTCGCGTTCATCGCCCCATGCCTCATACCCTCAAACTTGTCGCCTTCACCTCGCTTATCCCCTCTTCTCCCCTCTTCTCCCGCTCCTCCCCGCTCGCTCCTCCCCACTCTCTTCCAACCCGCCAGTTCTCCCGCCAGCCCCTGTGCTCCCGATCCCGACCCCAACCCTAACCCTAACCCTGCTTAGACACATGATTCATATGTGTGCTTGTTCACTCCTCTCCCTACGACTGTCCTTCGCATTTCACACAAACATCGAGGGAGGACAACAACTGTTTTCAACGGTACGTCAACTCTTGGCTCTGCTTCGTGACTAAGACGAGAGAGCCTGTAGGGCCCTTTTGGCGGTGCCGGGGTTCTTGGTCGGCTGTGCTCGGGCTTGCTCGGCTTCTTGCCGCGTTGCCTTGCTTGAGGGGCACCGGATGGGATGTGGCGTGTTGTTGTTGTTGTTTTTAGCCTTGTGACGCTGCTCTGAAACTTGCCCTGTCGGCTCACTTTTTTTTGCTGCCCTTGTGACCCCTTCATGTAGACACCCCACAGGCGTGCCTCATTGGGTCGGGCTCGCGTCTCTCGCCCTCGTCTTGCTTTGGCTTGCACAGCCCCGCCCGGTCGCTTGGTCATCCGGTCGCGCCACTTTTTTCCCGTCCGTATTCTTGGCTTGAGTGGTTGGGGTGTGGGAAGAAGTGCTTTTTGCCTGGGCTCTTGTCTTGGTGGGTTAGTGCAGGGTCCGCGGCCGTCGCCGGTGTTGGGGACACAACATCGGGACCAGGCGCCCCCTTCCCTCCCATCGGCAACATGGCCGACGATACAAGCAAATCCCACAAGCACCGCTTGGCCCATGCGCCGTCCCGCCAAGCTTTGGACGAGGCCGTGGACCTGCGTAAATCCGGTGTCACGTCACCAATCACCTCAGACCTTGAAAGCCAGCGCCCCTCTATGGCGGCGCTGCTCGAGAGCGGCGAGAGTGGGCCCAAAGATGAAGCCGGTGGCCGATCCAGTCCCTCAGCTCAGCTCCCATCTTCATTTCACAAGGGCGACTATGCTGTCGACTCGGATGAAGCCGAGGATACGGAATCAGCCGCCGAATATAAGCATGGAGGCTACCACTCCCTCAACTATGGCGATGTCTTTAAGCAGCGCTACCGCATCATCAAGAAGCTTGGCTGGGGTCACTTTTCCACCGTGTGGCTTGTGCATGACACCACCCGCTCCCACTATGGGGCCCTCAAAATTGTCAAGAGCGCCTCTCATTACACCGAGGCTGCTGAAGATGAGATCAAGCTGCTGCGCGCCGTTCGTGACACTGACAAAACAGCGCGAGGCCGCAACCGTGTGATTCAGCTCATTGATGACTTTGCCATTTTCGGTACAAACGGCACTCACGTGGCAATGGCTACCGAGCTACTCGGCTGCACGCTTCTGAAACTCATCAAGTGCTTTCACTACCGTGGTTTACCCCGCATGCTCGTGAAGCGCATCGTGCGCCAGGTCCTCGAGGGCCTTGACTATCTGCACACGAAATGCACCATCATTCACACTGACATCAAGCCCGAAAACATTCTTGTCCTCCTCACTGAAGAAGAGATTTCCCTGATGGGCAAAAACGCTCTGGAAACCTATCATGAACGTGGTCCTGCCACGCCAGGTGCCGCCCTCAATAAAACTCAGAAAAAGAACCGCCGTCGCCGTCAACAAGGCAAGCTGGCTTCTGGTGATGGCGAAGCACCGTCCGCCGCCGCCGCCGCCGCCGATGACGCTGAAAAGCCGACCACAACCCAGCCCCCAGTCAGCGGCGGTGATGCCGGCAGCCCCGGCGATGACGCTTCAGAAAGGAAGGCCGGTGCGGCCGAAGCCAGCCCTGATGCTTCCGGCGACCCAGATGCCAATGCCACAGCTGTTGTGTCCAAGCCCACACTAAGTACGTGCTGCCATGTTTTGCCCCCATGAGTGCATTTGGCACCACTCACACGTGCCCACCCCTGGTATCTGCTGCTTTGGGGAACGTTATTTCCAGGGACGTGGCGAGAGAAGTTGCATGACATGCAGTTTCTCGAGTCGTGCGATGTCAAGATTGCTGACTTGGGCAATGCATGCTGGGTTGACCAGCACTTTGCCAACGTGATCCAAACCCGCCAATACCGATCACTTGAAGTGCTGTTGGGAGCCCCCTATGACACCTCTGCCGATGTCTGGAGCGTTGCTTGCATGACTTTTGAGCTGCTCACTGGCGATTACCTCTTTGAACCGCGCAAGGGCCGAGACTTTAGCCGGGACGAAGGTTTGTCAGCCACGGCCTCTCTCTTCTCTCTCTTCTCTCTCTTCTCTCTCTTCTCTCTCTTCTCCCTCTTCTCCCTCTCTCCACCCCTTCGTTCGCCCCATATATAACTCTTGAATGTGGTTGTGATTGGATAGATCACGTGGCATTGATCACCGAGCTACTTGGTCCCATTCCCTCTTTCATCGCATTGTCTGGGAGCAACTCGCGCCGAATCTTTGCCAAGGGAGGCAAGGAGCTTCTGCACATCAAGGAGCTACGCTCCTGGCCCCTCTACAACGTCCTTTGTGAAAAATATAATTTTGATGCAAGCGAGGCAGAGGCATTGCAGTCCTTCATGCTGCCCATGCTTGATGTCAGCCCGGTACGTTCTTCCGCGGCTTGAATCCGACGAGCCTCACAGTCACCGCGCCATCTTTTCAAGAGAGCATTCTCCCTTGATCAATGCTCACCTTGTCATCGTGCTTGCAGGTGCGACGGGCTACAGCCGCCTTGTCTCTGCGTCATCCTTGGTTGGAAATTACCGAGGAGGACCGCATGTCAGCTGTTCGACACTTGGAGAAGATGCGCGAGCGCGAGGCTCGTCGTCATGCTAAGCGTTCCGGCGAGCTTCACTCATCGCACTGAGGGGTTTTCGACCGACACCATGCTTACATTTCAGCTTTACCCAATTGGATAGGCATCTTGTTAAACACAAAATCAACATCCGTTCGTTCATTTGTTTGAGACAGATGTTGAGCTTGCCTGCGGACATTTTCTCAAGTGCAACGACATGATACGGTGTGTGGATGAAGCGATGGGATGGGAACATGGTCGATGTACCATTCGCGTGCCAGGGCTTGACATCCTTGTGTCAACCACCCTGTGATCGGCGCACCCCCTGTCGTCGGCAACTAATATGATAAAATCACATAATACTGGTAATAATGTTATTATCAACATGCAAGTTATCAAGCGAGCGAGCGAGCGAGCGCGGCCTCCTCACCAGACTAGCAAACGCATGTCTTCCTGACACACCATATGGACCGCCGAAGTTGTGGGTACTTTTGAAACACAAGGAGGAATGCTAAAGATCATTCACACATACATGACTTTTGTATTTAAAGAGTTTAAGAGTGTGCCGAGTCGACAAACTAAATCAGCATGGAGCGAGAGACAGAGACAGAGACAGCGACAGAGACAGAGGAGACGGACTGAGCACACGCACAAAAAAAAAAAAAAAAGCCAAAATCCCCCCTAAAAAAAAAAAGAACTTGAGCTCAGCTTGTCAGACAACGCAATGCAAACTAGCCGTTACTTTTTTTTTTTTTTCCATGCATGCCGTCCAATGTTGAGTTAACAAAGTCGACAGCCAGTCATTCTGCGTCATATCACACCCAGCGCCTCCTACACGGTGCTTCACAAAGCACGCTGGGCAAGAGCCAGCGAGCTTCAGTGGTCTTCGTGATTAAAGTCAGGGCTTTTTAAATCTCTCGTCTCAGACGTGTACACAACGGCTTGCCATGGCGCGCGTGACGCTCCCCGTCGTCTTGCCTAGTACGTCATGCCCACCCGATGCTGGCTCGAGCGTGCCTCAGTCCCTCGTCACAAGACGGAATTTTGCCCGCAGGTGTCGTGGATGAACTTGAAGTCTTTAACCTTCCTAATCCAGCTTCAGGTGAGGCCAGTCATTAGGAGAATGTTGCTTGCGGCTCAAGGCAAAGCACGTCCCTTTGCGCTCAGGCGCGTCTGTTGCTCATGCACGGTTGACTGTTATCCGGTTCATCAGGCAAGCGCCAGTTTTACGGTCAAGATAAAAGCAGCAAGCGCCTTTACGAACTGATCCAAGTCGACAATGGCACCCCACGCTCCTGGCTGTTTGAGAAGCGTGTTCAATCAGGTGCCATGACCACCTTTTGCCCTGACGATGACTGTCTGCGTCCGAGGGCTCGGCAAGTGCTCACGCGGCCGGTACCGCCACGATGCTAGATGGCCGTCTCTTATTTGTAGCGCCGATCGACCCCCTCTTTCTCATGCTACCCGTACTCATGAGAGCTGTCCCTGCGGTTCGTGCATTCAAGCTTACTTGCCTTTTGTCTTTCGTGCCCAAGCTTGATCCGCCCGCGCTTCCGAAATGTGTCATCATTTCGTACTGTCTTGGTGAGCGGTGCTTATTTGCATCAAACATGTGCATTTCCCTTAGGATGAACAATTCACCACAGCTGACAACATCTTCCACGACCCTGAAAACCCGGCGGTGACGCGCCTTGAGCATGTGCCTCAACTGGGTATGTCATCGCAGCCTGCTTGCAAATCCAATGCGATTGGTATGCCCGTCGCGCCGAAGCGGTGTTGGCTCAATCCAAGCTGACATGTCCGCAGATGCCATGCTGAGTTTGGTGTGTGATGCCAAGGGGGACGATGATTTCCGTGTTTATCGCATTAATGATGCCAAATTGCTGCAGTGGCTAATCGCCAAGGTATCCCTCGTGGCTTCTTGGCCCCTCTTCAATACAGCCGATGGGCTTTTCAAATGCCTTGCACGCTACTCAATCTTCTTCTGATCTCTGACACGCTTCCCTAGCTGGATACAATGGCCGATGGCATCGCTGCCAACGAGGTATGTCTGCTGAACTGGCTCAAGCGCACGAGTCTGGAGGGCCTGTTCAACACCGTTCCCTGCCCATCAAAGGTTTCTCATGAACTCGATCGGGCTGGCTCACAGATCACACCTTCAGGCGTGGCCAGCGCCTCCTTCAAGGCGATAAGCACCCCAAGCAATGTCACTGCCCGCCAACGCTACAGCTATGCTGCCGGTATTGCGTTATTGACCATACACGACCAGGCCTCTGGAAGTCGATCACCGTTCATATCGATGCATCTTGGAAACACTTCACCCTAGGCATGCTGGGAGAATATGTGTCCAAGGACTTGCTTGTGCGCTTGCAACAAGAGCTTGGGTAAGCTGACTAGCACCTCGCGGTAGACCCAACGCTTCAATCGCTCACGGCTTGAATCTGTATGGTCGGTGCCGGGACAGACTTGAAGTGAGCAGCCGCGCAAAGCGCACACCCACTGCGGCGTCTGGCGATGGTGGCAAGTATGCTGGTCTGGCGCCCCTGGAAGACTATTCAAAAGTGGAGGCCAAAAAGGCCAAAAAGGTAATCACGAATTCAAGGAACATTCCTGCCCATTAATTCAGTCAATCAGAGAGGAATCAACACAGTGCCCTTGATCAGAGTGCATTGCTCTTTCACATCGTTTCGCACTCCTTTCATGTGTAATTGCCTTTGTTTTCCTCTTAGGTCGCGGTAGCTACCGCTCCGAAAGGCTGTGTTGGTATCATGGCGGCGTTTGCAAAGGCAGCCAGCAAGAAACCTCCAGCGAAAAAGACGAGCACAACCAAGAAGAGCAAATGAACCGGTGCCGGAGTTGACATCTCATTCTCGACTCAAAGATGATTTTCTTTTTTTTCCGTGTGTTTTTTGCCACTCTTCGTTTTGGTTTCATTCATTTTTTAGCCTGCCTGAGCAATTGCTCTCTCCTCTGCAATTGTTAAAAAGGTGTATGTGGCGATGGTGATGGTGATTTACACAGCTCAGCATGGGCACAGAGGCTCAGCTGGATGTAAATTTCGATTTGAAGCAGTATCTGGAAGATGGGTCAGGTTGCGTGAGCTTTCGGACGCGTTTTGAGGTGAGGTGAGGTGAGCGCTACAAATCCTCCACAAAGTTTGCCGGGACAAAGCCTTCGCGGCCATCTGCAGTGCGTGCAAACATCCAGTCAGTGTTTCCTGCCGGATCCGTGCGTGACAAGATGTCGAGCACGTCGCCTTCCGCACACTATAGAACACAGCGTAGGCAGGTGAGAATGGGTGGCAAATCGCTGGCAATTAGCGCTGCCAAAAGGGTTTACGGTGGGGCGAGCATGGCAGGCCAGCAACACACCGCTAGCTCTTCCTCAGAGGAAGGTTCGCACTCGTACAGGACTTTGACCTGTCCCAGAACGGGTTTTGACCGGGATACGACGGTTGCAGGGTCCTCCTGAATGTACGTTTCCAACAACTCCAAGAAGCTGGCTGCGACAAAGCCTGCATCACATGCAACACGATGATCGCGCAGTCAGCACACAGCCAACGCGCTTGTGGCAGAAACCAGCCTTGTGTGCAAACAGTATCCAAGCCTGAGCTTAGACAGCCTCACCTTCGCGGCCATCGTCGGAACGGCATTGCCACCATTCTGCATTACCCTCCAAGTCCTGGAATGACAGAACGTCCACTTCCGTGCCCACTTCGAGCTGCAAGGAACAGACATGACAACACAGTGGTGAGATTGAACGCAGGCGGGCAAGTTGAGGGTATTCAAGGCACACACCTCGAGCTCTGCTGGATCCGTTGATTCAAAATAGTGCGATGCGATCGCCCGGCCGACAGCAGACACAAATTCGGCCTCTGGCTCCGGTTCCGGTTCGGTTTCCGGTTCCGGTTCTGGTTCTGGTTCTGGTTCTGGTTCTGGCACGCGGCGCACAGGCACAGGGGCTGCTTTAGCCTGAGGCTGGGGCTTGGGTTTTGGGTGAGCCGGTGTCGACGAGGCCGCGGGCGCGCCCGATGCCGGAATGTGGTCGTAGGCGCTCGCAGACGAGCTCGTGGACATCATCGAGTCAGTGCGTGAGGGACGACCGGTAGGTGTACCAGTTGGTTCAACGTCAGTTGGGGCACGCATTTGGGCGTAGGGAGAATTGGCAGAGCGAAGAACTGAGTCATAGGTGCCACCCTTCTTGCCACGCGCAACCTGAGGCTGTGCCGCAATGTTGAAAGCAGTGGCAACGGTGCGCGGAACCATGCTCAAGCTCGTTAGCTCCATCATGACCACCCGATGGACGGTGGCACAAAAGTCAATGAGCTTGCTACTGGGCAGCTCGCGCGGAAATTGAATGGCCTGAAGCTGTGCCAAGGCATTGCGCGCAAAAGTCAGCTCCATGGTCAAGAAGCCGCTGAGGGAACGTGTAATGAGATGTTCGCCGAGGTCGGCAAACCGCGGCAACTCCTGGGTCAGCTCGTCATCCAAAGCTATGCGAGGTTAACGCAGCAAGAATTAAATGCAACCTGAGGACCGTGCTTGGGCCTGGGTTGATTACAAAGCACTGTACACGCTCAAACCTATGAGCCCACAACATACCATGGAAGGTCTTTTCTGCAGCATTCAGCTCCTTCATGATGGCGGCGCGCTTATCATCGCGAGCCTTTTTGAGCTGACGAAAGATGACGTCGTGGTCGAGCTTCTTAACCCGTCGCTTATCAATCAGCAAGTATGGCTGTTTAAAAAACGACAGTAGCCGCGTCATGGGCTCTGCCATGCGGCGCAGACGAGATGAGAGAGTTTACCACACGGGCATGAGCTGACAATCACCGTATCAAGCGCCGGTGTTCAATCCCCCAAGTCAGATCCATGCTTCTAGATCTGAATTCCATGAAGTTCGGTCAAACGGCACTAACCTTGAACGCGGCACTCAACGTTGTCTTCGAGGCGGCCTGCCTCCTCCTTCATAAAGCGCGCCGCCTTGACCACGTCCCGCATGTAGGGTGGCACGAGCGACTCTTGCTCAGAATACATGTTCTGTAGCAAACAAACCCCCCCCGCATGCATCGAGTCAGGTCAGGTCGACAGTGCACTCACGAGTGTGCACGGAGGGCCAAGGGACGCTCGAGCGGCCGGGGCACACAGAATGTGGTGTCACGTCTAGCCATGAGGCACTGCGGTATTCCCAAGTATGAGCCAGCCATCTTCGCCGGACCTTCATCGTTGACGCCACGTCAAGAAACATTTCAGCAAGCTTTTTAATGCCCACGGTGTACTCGCTTGCCTTGCGCTGAAGCTTTCGTGCCGCCTGCAGATGTGTACCACATCGGCTAAGATCAGTAATCCGTACAATCCGCAGGAGCCATACTTTTTCTCGCGTTCGGGTAGCAGAAATGTTCAGTCAGCACTGACCTGCTCCATCATCTTGACCCGGTCCTCGGAGCGATGAAACTCCTTGAAGTCCTGGCGATCTTCCCTCTCAGTTTTATGGAAAAGCTTCTGATTCAGGCGGGTAGCTTTCTTTACCGCACCATGCCACACCTGGCGCTTTTTGCCACCAACCTTGTATCTAAGTTCAATCACCACATCAAGTTGATATAAGCTTGGCAGCGCCAGCATAAATACACCCATTCCTCACCACGACGATACTCGAGCGTCGAAGCAACCAAGACTGATGATGCCAGAAACGTACTGCTCAACCAATTCCTTGCGCCGTTTACCCTCATTAATGCTCGAGGCCACCACCTTGACGCGGTCCACGGCAGTAGAAAGCATGACATAGTCGGGGTGATCGCGCTCGGTGTTGCGCAGCATGTCCTGTAGTAAGAGCGCATACTTGAGCACGCGCTGCACCGGTTTGATCAAGATGGTGCCCAGATCCCAGCATTGCGTGCGGTCCTTGGTGAGTCGATGACAGGCATCCAACGCAGCCTTGTGCCCTGGATCAGCCATGTACTCGGCTAGCAGCGCTGAGGCATCGTCATAATTACAACAATACTTTGGGGGAGGTACAGGTGGCATCGGTCAGCTGTGGTACATACAAGATGCATGTCGATCATTGAAGGTAAAGTCATGAAAGCAACGTACATCGACGTAAACGGCCTTCAATTGTTCCATGTGTTCGCAAAATGCCATGCCAATCTGCTGCTTCTCCGTTGCTAGGCGTCGCTCAGCTTGCAAGCGGTCATTCAACGCCGTCACCGCATCTAGCAACTGCAAATGCGCAGCGGTCAGTTTGGCGTGGCAAGGACACCATTAAGGCTCGTGCAATACGAGAACGCTGAAAAAGTCGAAAACAGGACGGCTGTGGGCATACCTGCTCATAGTTGCCAAAGAGCCGCTCGCAATCAAAGGTATCGTTCAGGACGAGGGCGACATCTGAATCGATGTAGGCTGCAAGTTGTTACAGTCACAGTCAGGCGGACGCGCGACATATGACGTGGTGCGACACAACGAATGGTCGCCGACAGCGAACGGGGCAGTCGTACCCTCCTTGCACACCCAGAGGTCGTTGACAAAATCGGCATCGGTCTCGCAAAGCTCCTTGAGCACTTTGACGCGCTGAGCGGCCCGCTTGGCTTTGCTTGAAGCATCAGCCTCATCCTGGCGCTGTGCTGCATAGACTTCCGCCAAGCTGGCACGCAAATCTGGCTCCAAGCTATCTTCAGGCACCTATCAGAGCCAGAGTTTGAGTGGCATTGCGAGCAGGTAGGTGAGAAGATGAATTCGTAGGGAAGGGAAATCAATCCAAGGGAGCCTGCCAGCTCGGATGAAAGAAGTGATGAATTATGCAGAGTGCAGGCATGTGCATTTCGTGTCTTACCCGTTCAATCAGGTTGTCACGCTCAAGCTTCAAACTTTCAAGACGAGTTTCCTGTTCTGCCATGGCCTGCATTCGCGTTCGCGCTTCTTGTTCCACCTAATGTTGATTGTCATTTGCAACATGGATGGTGCGATTTGGGTATTGTCCCAAGTGAGGAAAAAAAAAAAAGGACACAAAAAATAAAACAAGTCATTGAGTTTGTCGTTCAAGGCTCAAACCCAAACAGGACTTACCGTGTCCAGGTTGCCTAGGCCTGTTTGCTGTTGTTGTTGGGCAACTTGAGCCAGTTTAGCCAACTTGTTGGCGGCTGCAGCCTCCTTTTTGGCCATGACCAAATCCTTTTCCTTCGCCTACACGTCACATCCGTGCAAAAGTCATGGTATGGCTACACAGTGCAGGCCTGGTCCTTGCGTTGATGGCAACGTCGAGTATCCCTCACTTTAATTTCCGAGTGCAGTTTTTGAAGGCGCTGTTTGAGTTCATCCAAATCATCATCACTAAGATCATGGTGACGCCGAACCGCACGGTGGCTGGTAACCTCTTCCTCCGCGTCTTCATCGGAGCTATCACGCTGCAGTTGATCACCTACGCCACGATGATGCCACCGATACGATGATGACCCGATCCCATGATGACGGCAGTTCTTTCTTTCCCGACAAGTGGGATGGGTGCAAGCCCTGTGCAGGAGAACTTGCCTTGCATATCCTCAAGCGTGTCGAGTTGGTCCTGAAGCTCTGCAACGTCACGGCTCGCTTGCTGCAGCAGCTGTTCCGTCTCCTGACACTGCTCGGGAGTGAATGCCTCGGGTTGCTCCTGAACATCAGGACACATGAAGGGGGCGCAGATGGGTTGATGCGCATCCACAAAGTTGTTGGGAAAAAAATTGGCGCAAGACTCACCTGCATAGCAAGCACAAACTTTTCGAGACCAGCTTCCTTGTCGAGGGCCTCGCGCAATTTAACTTCCAGTTCCTTTGCTTGGAGGCGCGCTGAGAGCGCCGATGAATTCGTGGCAGGGGTTGGTGCGGGTGGTGGGGGTTGCGCACGGACGGGAGCAGCACGCTACCAGTGCGGGAATGCGGGCAATATGAGTTGTGACGGGATGAAGGGACATGCAAGGGTTGACGATGGCTTACAGGGACAGCGCGAGGTGGACCAGCACGAGGCGTGACTGAGTTGCGGTTTGGTTTGCTCTCAGAAGCGAGGCGCGCTCTGGGCCGAAGCGGCGCCGAATCCACGACATTGCGGGGCACAGGCGCGGGTGTCACAGTTGGAGCAGTTGAGTTCTTGGCCGGGGGCCCGGGCGCACGAGGCTTGGGCTTTGGTCGGGGCTTTGGTGCGGGCGCAGCAGTCTTGACCGGGGCCGGCGTAGGGGCTGGAGCCGGCGCCGGTGCAGGGGTCGGTGCAGGCGCGGGGGAAGAAGCCTTAGCAGGAGGAGGAGCAGTAGCCACTGGAGGGGCGGGGGCGGGGGCGGGGGCAGCAGCCGTGGTGACCCTTGGGGCCGGTGGCCCGGGCTTGCGGCGCGGCGCTGCAGCACCCCCGCCACCTCGTGCTGATGGTGGTGGTGGGGCACGAATGGGTGCCAATCTTGAGGATTTGGGTGGAGCGGCTTGCTTGCCCAATCCCAGAGCAGACTGGCGCTTCTGTGACAAAGTGGCTCGCCGGCGATCTGCCGTGGAGGCCACCATACCGCTGTTGGAACTTGTGATCGAACGATCCACGCGCACAAAGACGGAGGGAAATATGCCCTCATGCCGGCTGCGGTCCTTGTAACGGTATCCGCGCAGCCATTGATCGTCGATGCGCTTGGTTAGGATGATGACATCTCCATTGGAGAACTGAAGGTCTTCAGGCTGATCGCCATCGTAATCGAATAAAGCAACGGCATACGGCTCTTTTTGAGGCCGGCCTGGCTTTGAGACAGATTGTCGACGGGCACCGGCATCGGCTGCCACACTGAGGCGAGCCGAGCTGCTGCTAGGTGCCGCGCGAGGCTCCGGCAGTTTCTGGCTCGCTGGCGCCGGGGCCAGGGCCGGAGGTGCGGCAGCTGGCGCGGGCGGCGCGACTGAGGGGGGGCGAGCCTTGCGTCGGGAGGCTGACATGACGTTGGGTCGCACTGCAAGTTTGAGATATTAGTGCACGCGAATCGATGAGCAGAGGACACGGGAAGGTTCGATGATGCCGAGCCTACAGCCTTAGGGGTTTGTCAGCGCTTACCATCTTCCAGAGAAGTGAGTACTTCAACAAAATTGCTCGGGAAAAGCCCCATGCGGCCGTGGGCAAAGCCACGAAACCACTGATCATCAACCTGCTGAATGAGAATCACCTCATCACCCGCCTTGAAGGGCAAATCATCCTCTACGGCGGCATCATACTTTTGTACCACACGATTTGGATGATCAAGAGAGTCAAAAGAAGACAAAAAGCAATAGAAAAAATGGAAAATTAGGTAAGTGGAGCGAAATCCGTCATGAGGAGTCGCGCTTTGGTGAGCTAGCCACGAGACGGCGCTACTTGACAGACTCGACAAGACCTACATCAAAGAGAGCCCGTGCCTTGGGCGGAAGGGAGACAGTGACGGCGATATCTTGCGGTGCAACATTGGCACGCTGGAAGGAACCAACAAAATCAGGGTCAAAATTGAGTTCAAAGGCTGACCAGCCCAATCGAAAAGTGGCCCTGAAGCAGCAGCAGCAGCAGCAACAACATAAGAAAAAATACCTTGCCCTTGGCAGTGGCAATGTAAGAGCCATCTGGGAGACGACCAAGCAGGTCCAGTTCGTCGTTTGCGGCCAAGCCCAGGCTAGGGAGAGCTGCCAGGGCCGCAGCGCGACCCTGAAAAGATAACATGTGTAAAGTGTTGCACCAGTCAAAGCAGAGCATGAGATCAGATGAAGAGAGAAATGCAGCCAGATTTGAAACGCGCTGGTGTCGACGGGCTGTTGATCACGTGCTCGGCATTGAAACAGCCACTGACCGTGCTTGGCGGTGGCACGTCCTCTACAAACGAAATGGGAAAAATGCCTTCTTCATCGCCCAGCACCCCTTTGCGCCATTCATCGTTGACAATCTCGGATATGCGAATGATGGCACCTGTGTATACACCACATGTGTTGCATGAGTCTGCGAGGGGTCTTGCCGCCAACCGGCGTAGCCCAAGCCGACATAGACGAGCAGCCTAAGCACAGGGGAGTGGTGGGCGCACACACCCGCGGGAAAGTTCAGGTCCGTCGGCTCATCAGAGTTGTAGGCATGGTGGGCGCGGACCCAGGCTATGAGATCGAACAGGAGGAAGAAAACCCGTTGTGAGCATTGCCATCCGGACCCGTCGCACAGTCCTGACACGCATGCAAGGCCTCTGCGCGCCGTCGCCGACAAACAATGGGTGACTGACTGTCAAAATAGGGGCCACTCATGGTGTCAGCGTTGCTATTATCAGCTTGACCGACGCTGGGAAGAAGCGGCGTTGACCCTTTGGCCTTGCGAGAAGCAGTGTTGCTGTTGCAAGCCGGCCAACGCGGCCCAGTCCCCAAAGCTAATAACAAGGTCCGGGCCGAGGAGAATCGCGCTGCTTCGAGTCTACAAACTGCCAAGCTCCACTCGAAGCTCCCGCGCGTTCTCCTGTCAGTAACAACTCTGACCCTAGGATCAAGGAACTGGTTTCTCCAGTCCCCAGCTCCAACTCCAACGCGCGCACGCAGGTCCAGCAGCACAAATGCAACTCGAGCGAGAGAGCGAGAGAGCGAAAGAGAGAGAGAGCGAGAGAGCGAAAGAGAGAGAGAGCGAGAGAGCGAAAGAGAGAGCGAGAGAGCGAAAGAGAGAGAGAGAGAGAGAGAGAGAGAGAGAGAGAGAGAGAGAGAGAGAGAGAGAGAGAGAGAGAGAGAGAGAGAGAGGCGCTGGTGTTTCTTTGCATCTTCTTTGTTTTCGACTTTTTTTTTGTGCATGTCTGATTCTACTTGTTCTGCACAACAAGAGCATACTTGCTATCCGGGTGTATGCTGGGGTGTGTCGGCGCAGCAGAGAGAGCACACGCCGAGGGGCATGACGTTTGTGACTTTTTGGTTTTAATTGGTCCATCATCAACAACAGAAATATAACATGGGGTGCAGGTATGGCTCACGCGGCAGCCAGCCCCTTGACCAACACTACGACCTTGGCATTCTCATTTCGGCTGGATCTAGTACTTGAGGCGCGCCGCCTCTTGTTCCAGCGAATTGCGGATGCGTGGCGGGTTCTTCTCCAGCTGTTCAAGTACTTGTTGTGTCACCATGTGGTAGCGGTTCTTGGGCTTGTCAGGCTTGGGCGGGCTTCCATGACGGAGTTTAACAAAATAATGTGCCTTTCGCCTATCAAAGAGAGCGACATGGTGAGCACGAGAGCCAAGCTGCTCATCAGTGCCACCCCTTTTGGTAAGACATGGGTTGGCAATGCGGTCACGTACTTGGTGGCGCGGTAAAAGCGACCTCGGTTGGCACGGCGGATGCCGCGACCGTAGTCACCCTAATGAAACCATACAAAATGCAGCACGATTTAAGGACGTGCCGGCCGAAGCTGCATTGCAACATCCCCACAGCGCAGTGCCACAGGCAGAGGCAGAGGCCAGAGGCAGGGCACAGGCATTCGTATGGGGTGCGTAACAAGGGCAGGCGAATAACAACACTGACCTTGCCAACGTAGGACTCGTGGATGTAGAGATTGCTGTTGTCTTCAATCTTGTTGTGTACCTTGGCATTTTGCTTAGCGATGCGGAGGACTTGTGCAATGTGGGATGCGACTTTCTTGGTCGAAAAATCCATCTGCACAATAGCATCATCGATGCGCAGACCGCGGATCTGGCGAGCCAGCAAATTGAGCTTCCATGGGCTCCCATCAATGTTGCGGCGGCTATAGTAAACCTGGAACGAGAGCAGACGGTTGTTCGCAAGCCGACGTCAGCAATTGGTTCAGCGGGGCGGGTTGGCTGGTGGCCCGGTCGGTAACCAGCGTACCGTTTGTGATGGATCAGCCTCAATCGGCAGGCTCTTGCCGCTGGCCTCGGCCTTGGCACGAAGACGAGCGACATGCTTGTCATTGTAGTGGTGCAGCGCAGGAGCTACGTGCAGGCCCCGTCTGAAGGGACGTCGTTTCCCAGCAGCAGGAGCAGCCAACGGGCACCCCAAGAGCATGCAAAAAAGTAAGGGCACTCATCCCCGACCAGGCTCTGACGAAGGCAGGGCATCTCACGAACCGGAGAAGAGTGGGCATCATTGGCACAGGAGCCAGGTGCATGGTGGCCAGCGCTCGTAGCGGCCCAGGTTGGGCCGCTGCGCGAACGGCGCGCTGAAGCCACAGGGCCATCCTTGTTTGTTCAAAAAAACTGCTGTAGCAGTAACGTATATCAAGCTTAATGACCGCTCTACCACAGGCCAGCCCAGGGTATAGCACGAGCACGCTGGCTTTGGCCAGGCGTTGTTCGACCCAGAACCTGTGGTGTAACACCCATAGACCACGAGTGAGGGAGAAAAAGCAGAATTTGAGCAGAAGACGGACCCAAGCAAATAGCAGGCCCCTGTTTGGCGTGTATGTCCAAACTCAACCCAGATCCTTTCGCCCCCCTTGCCTGCCCTGGCCGCCGCCCTTTTCACAGCTCACCCCCCCAAAAAACCAGAAAAAAAAAAAGTTTCAAACACTCACCTCGTGAAAGGGCTGAAAGAAAGTGTGACAACTTTGACATTTTACAACTGCTTTCCAGCAAAGCCCGCCTCTGCTTGGTTGGACGCCTTTGAGCCATCGTCATCCTCCTTCGTCGCCTTTCCAACGTCGTCGTCGTCGTCGTCGTCGTTGTTGTTGTCGTTGTCGTTGTCGTCGCCGCTGTGGTCGTGGAGTGAGGCTTGCCGTGGCGTTTGGGAGTGCCCGCTACCGTATTGGTGGCCTTGAAAGGCATCGCCGTGATTGCAACCGTGGACCTTCCCCTTTGAGGTCTTTTTTTTCCTTGTTCTGCTGCTGGTTCAGCCCCTGGGATCGACTTAATCGCTGCCGCATCTCGTCACCTTTGAACGAGCAGTCTTTGACATCAACCTCGCAGCCAAGCCACTGTCAACCACCGGGGCTTTGAGCTTGCATCGCTTGCATCGCTCCTCATCTTATACTGAACTTGCGCCGCCTCCATGGCCAAGCGTGCCAACAACATGGCGCGCTACTCCCGAGGTGAGCCGATGAGGGCTCATGTGATTTCGTGCTGGACACCCGTCAGCCTAAACAACCTCCTGATTTGTGCGTAGTAGGCAGCAACGGGCTCACCGCTGAGCGTACAGAGACGATGCTGGAGGCCGAAAACGATCGCCAAGTTGACGCACTTCACAGCAAAGTCGCCATGCTCAAGGACGTATGTGGGCGCGTTTACGCAGCCCTGACGCGTTGCACGACACGTCAACTCACCTCGCTGTTCACCTTCGACTCGATGCATTAGTTGACGATTGATATTGGTGAAGAGGTGCGATCACAAAACAGCATGCTGTCCGACATGGTAAGTGCCCCAGCCTTCAGTCTCGGCACTGGCAATCTTGTTTGGGGTGGGTGGAGACCGGGCTTTTCCCACTGGAATCAATAGGGTTAAATTGGCGTTGTTTTGTACCTTGCTCTGTCTTTTTGCACCTCGCTCTGTCTTTTTGCACCTCGCTCTGTCTTTTTGCACCTCGCTCTGTCTTTTTGCACCTCGCTCTGTCTTTTTGCACCTCGCTCAGTGTCTATCTCGTCTTCCATTTGGTTTACAGGGAGGCTCATTTGATGATGCGGGCTCGCTGCTCGGCATTTCGATGCGCAAAGTTGGCAACTTAGCCAACTCCACCAATGGTCGAATGCTGTGCTATCTCGTCGGCTTTGCTGTAACTGTCTTCTGCGTCATCTGGTACCTCATGAAGTAGGCTGCCGTCCGAGAAAACATTGATAACACCCTCTCCTAGCTAGTGCGCTCTGCGCCCGTGTCCTGATGGGCCCGAAACTTGACTTCCCTGGCCCTGCCACGGCCATAACAATCGAATCGAATCTGTGAGCACCTTCCGAGCCATGTCATACCAATGCCGCAAACGAAAAACACCCGTTCGGCCATGGGCGGAACCAACTGCACACATCACCTGCGCTCAACACGCCCATCTGCTGGCTAGCTGATGCTTCCTCGTCTCTCTCGCAAAAAAAAAAAAAAAAATCCAAACGCAGCAAAAAAAAAAAGAGGCCAACAGCACCATGTATTCCCATCTGGTCACCCACGATAGTACTAGCATGGCCCAACATGGCTTAACTGCGGCGATCGGACGAGAGCCGGTGTATTCCATGTGGTATGACCGTTGGCGAACATGAGTGGTATAAAAAATATTCATAAAGGCGCTGGAGGTGATTGACGCGTCTGCTTTACCTTGAACTGGTAAACTGTAAATTTGTAAACTGTCACTGCATTCGTGTTTTACGCTGATGCGCTGCATTTGCCCGCATCGAGCGCTCGCCGACATATAACATCAGACAGCAACCGGGACGATGACGACCCTTCGACCCTTCAAGGCTGATGACCTTTGGGCTTTCAATCGAGTGTACGAAGATTGTGCAGTTGCCTTTGCGTGCTGGCTTGATCGGCTTGCGCTGTCGTCGTTTGCGCCAGAGCTCATTTTGCACTTGCTCCGGTTTGGATAGAAACCTGGATCCGCTGACGGAAACCTATCACATGACCTTTTACCTGCAGTACATGTACACCTGGCCCGAATACTTCACGGTCGCTGAGAGTGCAGCGGGGACTCTGATGGCATACGGTGCGTTGGTGGGGCTCCGTGCAAGCGTCCAGGCTTGCGCTCGTCCGCATTGACCGGCGCGCCTGTGCCTGGCCTTCGATTCTGAGCCCTCACCGATACGGATACATTGCGCGGCGCCGTCTGGTTCTTGTAGTCATGGGCAAGGCCGAAGGTGTCGGCGAAAACTGGCACGGCCACGTCTCAGCCCTGACAGTGGCACCCGAATACCGCCGCCTTGGTCTTGGCAAGCAACTCATGGCTGACTTGGAAGACATTTCTGAGCATCGGTTCGTGATTTTCTGTGTCCAGATCCGCTCGCCTCGCTCACATTCTATACAACACAAAGCCAACGTGCATATCAAGCAGCTGTGCATGTGTTGGGGGGAGTGCACAGGCACATCGCGGAATCGGTTCGATTTGGGTGGTGCACACGAGCTGGCTCACAGGTTTGCATGTGGTGTTCGCTTGCGCAGGCACCACGGCTATTTTGTGGACCTGTTCGTTCGCAAGTCCAATGACGTGGCGGTCGAGCTATATCGCGGCCTGGGTTACGAAATCTATCGCACAGTCATCGAGTACTACTCTGGAGCAAACTCGGAGGATGCTTACGGTATGTCATCTTGATCTCGTACAGCCTTTCCATCTTTTGCCTGACTCAGATGCCTGGCTGCCCGGGGGCCACAGATATGCGCAAGAGTCTGTCACGTGATCCTGAAAAACGCCTGATGCAGCCAACTGGGAAGCGGATACAACCCTACGAGCTTGAGAATGACTGATGTCTCTGGACGTGCCGTTTGCCCGCCTGTGAAATTACCAAACTTTCTTTTTCCCTTTTTTTTTCCCCCCACTCAAGTTTTCATACAGCTGATCAAGGTTGAGCCGGTGTCATGCACATGCAAAAACAAGTACACAGTTCAGTTGCGAGAGCCAAAATCAAAAGAAGGCGGATAACAAGCCTGGGCCTATTTGTGAGTCGATTAGTTGAAGTCAAACAAGACTAGGCAGCCTCGGATGCCCTGCCCGCGCACAGCTGGAGCAGACGATTAAACTTGTTCGCTCAGGCATCATCTTGCATTTCTGATTCCTCAGCATCCGAATCACTCAGGGCGACAGCGCTCACTCTTTGTGAGGGTTCTTCCGACATGATGGTCAAGTCGGTTGCCGTGGATATCGCACTGATGCGTGGGTCAGCCCCCTCGTTGTCATCAAGGCTGGTATCGTGGCCTCGTTGACCATCCTTTTCTGCATCACCAGCTGCTTCCTCCTTGCTCTGCTGGGCCGTATTGTTACGGTCTGCATCAGTGGCTGCATCTTCAGAGGCATCATCAGTAGCTGCTCCCCCTTCGACGGCGGCAGCTGCAAGTTGTGTAGTTGAGGTAGACAGCTTGGGCTGCACCTGCTCGGATAGCTTGCGCTGAGATACTCGCCGGCGCCCATCCGCCTATACGATGCCACGACCTCGTTATTGCAAGTGCGGTCACATGCTCCCTTGATCGGCATCTGTTGCCGACCAGCCCCATATTTTCACCGAACAGGTCGACGCATGGGCGAAAAAAAAAAAAAAAAGGGGGACGAAACCCCATGCGCTGGCGCACAACAAGGCGCTTTCAAATACTGACCGTGTAATCGGCCAAGGTGAGATGAAGCTCTCGTCGTTCAGCCGCCACAGCCAACGGCAGAAAGTACAAGACCTTTTCGTTTTCATTTCGGGCCTCATTGAATGCATGTATTAACCTGTTGATGCATTTGAGCGTCAGGCATGACGTCGAGTGTGAATCTTGTCGTCTGGCCATGCTGGGCACCGTGCCGTGTTTTTGCAAAGGGCAAGTTGCGGAACGTACATTCGCATTTCATCCAACGAGGGTGCTCGAAAGTAGCAAACTTCTGTATCTTGAGTGAGCTTGCAAGTCCATTTTTCCCGCGAAATCACTTCCAACTGAAGCCAAAGACGTCAACAGAGCAGAAAGGCGACAATAGTCAGAAGCACGCAGCGGAGGGCCGCAGCGTCGTTCAAGTATTTTGTCTAGCCACTCAAGACGCACCGAGCTATTGCTGAGGCTACAGAGAGAATGAAATTTATACTTGTGAATAATATCTTGACCGTCGTGCGTTCGCTCCACGGGACGCTCTCTGCGTTCAGATGTAGGTTTGCGTGAGATTTGAGGTGCAATAACAAACAAGATGGGCAGATGCTGCATGTGTGTCTGTGTCTAAGCTACAGATTCAAAACTGCAAGGCAAAGAAAAGCAAAGAGCCACGACAGCTCGCATGGTCTTAGGACCATGGAGCGTGGACTGAGACGTACACTTGGCCTTGGCGCCCCAGCTGCTTGAGTTTCTCGCTCGTCCTTTTAAGGGAAAAAACCAAGGTCCAAAACAATCAAGTGAGACAAAACACAACACATCCTTGGCCTTGAGAGCGCATGTCCTGCAAGGCGTACCGGCCCAATAAGCCCTCAACACGCTCATGCATGGCCACAACCACAATGTCGGTGAACAAGTAGATGACGGCGTCGTGTTTCTAACGCCAGCCAGCCAGTAAGTCAGGGCGAACGAAGCCCCGGTAGTTGCTAGGTTGTCAATTGCACCAACCTCGACAAGCACAAAGCCAGGCTTTTGAGTTTCAACCTCTGCTTCATTCCCGCTACCGGCACCGCCAGCTGACGGAGGCAAGGATGGCATATCATGAAACGAAATGAAGATCCACATGGGATGATTGCACGTGCGGAGCTGAACCGCATGAATCGTACCGGGAGTTTGAACTGCTTGCAGCAATCGCCCAGGAAAGTCATTGATGAAACGGCGCGCGGGGTCTTGAAGTGGTGGCATGTGCTTGACCATACGCATGACTTGCAAAGTTAGCAAACTGAGCAGCACGAGTTCAGCCGTAAGACAAGCATGCAGCCAGTCGTGGGTGCCGTCAACACCAGACACAGGCGCAGGCACAGGCACAGGCACAGTCTGGTGTGCAAGTCAACAACAAAATGTAGGATGTAGGATAAAACTCTTTTCAAGGGTCGCACGATAAGAGAGGGCTAAAAAAGTTACCGCATACCGAGTTTCTGCGTCGCGCTTGGCCTCGTTGATGGTCGAAGCCAGGCTGGTAAAGCCGTCGAGGGCCTGGCGGAGCTGGAGAAAGTCGGGATGCGAGTCGGGCGTGCGCTTCAAAAGATCAGTCAGCAAGAGCTTGTAGCGCGGGATGCGCTGGATGGGTGCGATCAAATGGTCGTCAAGCCAAAGGCGGTTGCAGCGCGGCTGCTCCAAACAAGCCCTACACAATCAATCAATCGTGACACCAAGTCAGCCAAACGCCAAAAGTTCCAAACCCTGCAAATATCCTGAGACGCCTAGACTGGCCACCGGCACTTGGAAATGCCGATGCCTGCAAGCTTCTAAAACGCACTCGAGAAACTTTTGAAAAGAGGTTTTACGACGACATTGCGAAATGGTGCTGATGGCCTGGTCAAAGTTGTTGGCAAAGGTGACGTACACCTTGAAAAAGCCCAGATAACGCTGGAAAATGTCTGTGGGTCGGGTAGGGGCAGTGGGAGGGACGATCAGCCATATCCTGCGCAAACTGCGAGAATTTGTACAGAAGCATTTGGGCCAAACTACAAGCGAGGCACACCAACCGCCAATAGTGGAGTCTGGTTGCCAGTTACAGAACCTCTCCAGCAGCTCGAGCAAGAACCGCGAGTTGACATTGAAAATGCTTTCAAGCTCCAGGAAGATGGTTTTGACTTGCTTCTCACTAATGCTAATGTTATACTCGCCTCCCGTCCAGTCGATGCTAGTGTTTCAGAGCCGAGAAACGATTTCGACCAGGGCAAATGTGACACGATTGTCTGTGGTGGATGCCTCGGTGGAGATGCAAGTCACGGCCTGCCCAAGCACGCACACCACAGCACTGCATACCTGCGCTGAGAGATGGAAGAGGCGCGCAGGGCCAGCTGCATATTGGCCGCCTGTTCCAGCGGTTGCTGAAACACCGTGATAATCATATCAAGCACATCGACGTAGCTGTGCAGGATCCATTGCGAAGCACACGTGCGTGAGAACGCGGTCGGGGCAAGGTACAGTTGTCAACTACAAGCGCCTCACTCACCGCTCCTCAGTCTGTACAATCTCGTTGATGATATGCAAACGCTTGCGATACGTTGCTTCTTCTTGTGTCTCTGTGGACATAAAACCAACGGCTGAGAATGGCGACAAAACATGCTCATCCAAAAAGCATACCCCACAACCACATCTTACGCACCTTTAGGCTTCTCACTCGGCACGACCGGCTTGCGCATTTCTTTGCCAGCAACCGTGACTATCTCTCCCACGTCGGGCTTCCCCGGTTCAGCTAAGGCGAATTTGGGGAGTTGGAGCAAGATCAGTATTCATGTGGAGCAGCACACGAATGCTGGCTGCTGCGCAGGGTAGCGTACATGCTTGCTTGGTAATTCGACTGGCTGGGGCCATGCGTGTCGTTTTGCCTGCAGCGACATGCCAAGATATATGAGAAGAACAAACCCAGAGTGCCAGGACGGTCAGACGGCATGGGTGGGTGAGGGTAGACGGGTGCGCACGACGCTTATCCGAGGAGCGACGATCCGAAGAGCGACGTTCGGTTCCATCAAAGTCCCTGGAGCAAAGGGGAGGGGTGAAAAGCAGCCGTGAGAGTTTCACGGGTGGTTGACCAGTGTAGCAGTGGCCACGGACCACGTACGGTTGTGGTAGGCTAACAGTCACCGGGCCGCGCGACGGCACATGGTCCACGTCATCCACCACGCTCTATTAAAGCAAAGGCACAGACGTGGACGGCATTGACGGGGTGAGGTTTGAACTATGACACTTTTCTATCAGGCTATAGAGGTGTGTTGCGTACCTCGGAGAGACCGACCAATCCACGGAGACGCATAACAGTGGCCTTGGGTTGGTTGTCGTTGCGGAGGAGCGGTGTGTTTTCCGTCGCTTCCGCCTGGAGGAGTTGGGTGCGCGTGATCAGATGTGTCAGGGTCGATGCAGTGCTGCATGTGGTTGAAGAGCAAAAGACAATGGCAATAAAAACTTACACGTTCATCCTCAACGAGAAGCAAATCATCCTTTGTGGCACCCGGGGAGGGGGCAATGCACAGCGAGGAGCGTTTTAGGCAGATCATAGACAGAATGGCCTCCACCGCGCCAATGGCAATGACCAGAGCGAGCATGGTGCCCCAGAGTGAGTTATCCTCTGCCACGCATTTCTTGTGCAGCAAGAGAGCCTGCATGCCCAAGCACACACATGGAAGCATGTAAGTGCCGTGAGCGAGCGAAGTCAAGCCCCCGGCAAGTGTGCGAGTGAAAAGTCACCTTGGTCACGCTCATGACGACTGAGGCCACGGCAAATAAGAGACAACAGAAGAGACCTGCCCGGCGCCAGGCAGGGTGAGCCGAACGCATGATTTGCGTCCAACCAGCGATTGCTGCAACCACGATGCCACGGCACAGGGCCACCTAATGAAAAAAATAACAAAAACCCGCGATGGGGGAGTTGTTGAGGAGGCGCTGAGCACATGCTCCGGAGCAGGGGGCGAGTGTGAGACAACAGACCAGCATGAGGTCGCTGAAGGTACACTTGAAGGCATAGTGGTTGTTAATGGCATGAGACGTGTCGCTCTTTTGCAGCATGCTACCGAGAAGGAGGCCCCCGGATGCGAGCAGGTCAACGATCCCAGTTAGGATCAGGGCCGACAGGGTGAAGCGCGCTGGCATGGCACTGGTGTCGGAGTCAAGCTTCACGATTTGCTGTCCAGTGAACAGGGGGTGCGTGTGAAGCACAAAGGGCGCGATCGGTCGCTCTAGCGTTGGGCGCCCAGAGGAGCCGGCGTCGGCATATCGCAGCACCCGTGCTCATCTGCTTCTGCCCAACAAGAAAGGTCAGTGCGTCGCAAGTTCCATGCAAAACATCCAAGTCAAGAAGGAAGATCAGCGCTGGCGCGTGGTCAAGCAGAAGATCAAATTTGGCGTAGAGAGCTGGGGGCAAGCCCGCGATCTGCGCGCGTTACGACGTTTGCTATGCTCCAGTCGTGGTCGAGAGGGCGCTGCTGCGCGCCGGAGATGGAAGAGGCTATGATATCCTAATCTGAGCGAAACGCCCAGTGGTCCAACAACACGTCAAGCTACGCAAGGTTGAAGCACGCATTCATCGATAAGCAGACCAATGACGATGATCCAGCGCGAGGCCACCCGCTGCCGTTCACGCTGCTGCGACACGGTCGTCTTGTGTGCGTGTGTGTGTGTGTGCTTGTGCTTCAGCTTGCATCTGCACTGCTCCAGAAAGATGGGCAATGAATGAAGGGAGAGGTGAGAGAGAGAGAGAGAGAGAGACAGAGAGAGAGATATGAAAGAGAGAGAGATATGAAAGAGAGAGAGAGAGAGAGAGAGAGAGACAGAGAGAGAGATATGAAAGAGAGAGAGATATGAAAGAGAGAGAGATATGAAAGAGAGAGAGAGAGACAGAGACAGAGACAGAGACAGAGACAGAGACAGAGACAGAGACAGAGACAGAGACAGAGACAGAGACAGAGACAGAGACAGAGACAGAGACAGAGACAGAGGACAGAGACAGAGACAGAGACAGAGACAGAGACAGAGACAGAGACAGAGACAGAGACAGAGACAGAGACATAGACAGAGACAGAGACAGAGGACAGAGGACAGAGACAGAGAGAGACAGAGAACTGACCTGTTACTAATTTCATGTTCATCCTCCATGTTCAAATTCCAATCTTCGTTGTTGTTGTCACACACGAGTCGTGATGGCAGCAGGGAGGGGATCGGTGGCGGTGGCGCCTTTGGGCGTCGTGCTCTGGGCGGTGGTGGTGGTGTTGGCAATGGGGGTTGAGGGACGCCGAACGGCTTTGCGGGACATGTATTGTGGCGAAGCGGACTGTTACTCGATCCTCAACCTTGAGCGTGATGCGACTGCGGTAGGTGCGCCCATCTCTGACCTTTGTGATTGATCCCTCTTGAGCCTCGTTCTGCAGGGTCTTGCGGGATGCTGTCGCGTACCCCTGACTCAAGCATGTGCCCCGATCGTTGCAGCGTGAAATCAAAAAGGCCTATCGTGCCTTGGCCTTGCTCCATCATCCAGATCGCAGCAATGTATGTTGGTCGGACAGTCGTATAGTTGAGGCTGCTTGCTTGCACGTGGCCTGGTGCGTCAGCTTGGTCACCGGCCTCTGATCGTCGTACGCCGGTCCCTCTTCTTGAAATGGATCTCCGTCTCTAGGAGCCCGATGCAGAGCAACGTTTTCAAACAATCGCTGTGGCCTATGAGACCCTGCGTGACGAGGATGTTCGCCGCGATTATGATTACTACTTGGATCATCCCGAGCAAGCGCTGCACAACATGTATCGCTACTATCGACACGTCCAGGTGCCCATGACCCCCATCGTTGTCGGCGTGATCCTCTTTATCAGTACCTTGCAATATGTCAGCCAGCATACGCGCCACTCCTTTGCGCGGCGGGCCATCACCTACGACACCAAAAAGCGCCAGCAGGTGGGAACTCCATCGCACGCACCGCACTCTACCCCGCATGAGGTGGCGCCCACCCATGGCCAGTTTTCAGGTCAAATGAAACGGTATTGACTTGATTCCTGCTGATTAGATCAAACGTGAGCTTCACGACGAGCTCAAGGATATGACTACCAAGGTCCGTGCGTGGTGGCCCGTCTTCTCCCAGGCGCCGAGAAATTGAGTCTGATGCGCAGGTGGCCCGTGGGTTAGGAGCGCAACGCACGGGTGGACGAGGAAATCGTCTCACGTGTTCGGTTCACTGGGGCCCATGCACCCCCAGACATCTCGAAGCTCCTTGCCGTTCAAATTCTGCTGCTGTAAGCATTGTCTTCTTCAATGCAGCAGCCAGAAAGGGTCTTTCACGACATCTGCTCAGACAACCATTGGCTCATCGATGCCTGCGAACCTTGAACCTTCCTCGCATCAGTCCCAAAACTCTGCTAGATTATGGCTTGTGGCAGTGGCGTTGGTATCAAAAGTACACGCGTGGACAGGAGGAGTATGCCGATGAAGACAAGCTCTACTTGATGTGCCGACACCTGCACATGCCGCGCGCGCGCTTTGAGGTGGTTCTTGCATCAAATTAGCCATTGTTTTTACGTAGGGGTTTCAACAAGTTGTCTATTCTACTCGTTGTTCTTCATCCTCACGGCTCATCTCCACTACAGGCTGCACCCCTCGAATTTCAGGAGGCCGCCTGGGATCAGGCCACTTGGGTGCCGGAGAATGCGCAAGCCTTTCTAGAGCAGCAACGCAAACAACAGGAGGAGCGCTGGAAATCTAGTGGTGCGTCACAACCAGGCCTGTTTGGGTCGTAACTCTTCCCATCCTACAATTCCATGCCATTGCCTGGTGGCTGACGCTTCTGGCTGCATCCTCAGGACAATACAAGCGTTACAAGCGCTACATGAAAAGTCAGCGCTGAGGATGTTTCCATCCTTCATTCAGCTCAAGGCGCAAAGAGTCATGCTCTTCGCTCTCAAGTAAACGAGTGTATGATCATGCCCTACCCGAATCGATAGCTCAAAAGCATTGCAGTATGGGAGCTTTTAGCTTGCAACGAAGACAGAGTTGCGATCAAACGTCTCACTTCTCAAAGCAACGTTTCCCGCGATTATAAGAATGGCATTTTCACGCCCCACCGCCCCAAAGAAAAAAAAAGAAAAAACCAACCAAGAACCCAAAACAGTTTGATGTAAAATTGGTGCGGCGTCAACAAGTGGACCAAGAGCCCCCCCAACGTGAAGCAAAATGTTTGCGCAGACGTTGGTCGCCGCCTACTTGTTGCCCGTAATGGCCAAAACTTGATAACGGCCGGGGCCTTGGCGTTGTTGCGTCGAAGGGAAGGTGGTTGTATCCTTGTGGATTTCCTCCTTGAGGATACGACGAATTTCGTCCGTAGCCTGGCGGACATTATCAGCCTTGCCCTCAACACAGATGTATAATTTGCGCTTGCCGTCGGGTTTTGTGCCAGGAGGGATGTAGTAGCCGCGCACGGTGATAGCAGCCGAGCACCGGTCGCCCATTTCCTGCATGAAATCGCGACGTGTGACACGCCAACGTGCCTCCTGCGGCCAGTCGTTGATTTCTAGTTCCTCCTCGATAAACTTTTCACCCTCGGCCTGCTCTTCGGTGGCTGCTGCTCCGCCAGCGGCACCAGAGTGTGGGGGTGGGGCCTTGGCAGATTCCAAGCCATGCTTGGCAGCAATCATGGCAGCAATCTGAGCGGCTCGCTCTGCGGCTGTCAGCGGTTTGGGAGGCTCGGCCACCACAGGCGTTTCGGGTGCAGCCACCGTGGCCGTTGGGGCGGCGGCCTCACTCTCTCCGGTAGCATGAGCGCCCGGAGTGGCTTCGTCCGCTGATGCAGGCGTGGCACTGGCACCGGCAGTGGCCGTGGTTGAATGCTTGGGCGTGTCGTCTGCATCATCAACAACGCTGGGTCCGCCAGTGCGACCCAGGTCAAAATCTTCGTCATCCTCAATAAACTTTCGTTCTTGTTCTCGAGCTTCCTGGACCGCCTTTGGCACGTTGCCCATGAGGAGGTCAACCTGCTCCTCGATGGTCTGCGCCAGCTCTTCCTGTCGCTGTTGAAAGTCGTCGTCATCATCCAAGGCGCCGTGCATCTTAAGCGCCAGAAGCTTTTTCTGCTTTTGCTTGATCAGATCCTCCGCCGTGAACTTGTAGCCACGACCGGAAAAGCCAGAGGTGCGGCCCACCTTTTTCCCAGCAGCCTTTTGCTCCAATTTGTATTGGTCCCAAAGCTTCTGCAAGTCCTCGGGCACCTGGGCCTTGGAAGCGTGAAGGGCCCGGATGATGTTGCCTGCATACTTTTTGTCATCCGCCGTCAAAAAGGTGTACGCAGTTCCCTCACGGCCAGCACGACCTGTGCGGCCACACCGGTGCACATAGTCCTCATAATGGTTTGGGCAATCATAGTTGACGACCAAGCAAAGCTGCTTCACGTCCAGCCCACGCGCGGCGATTGAGGTGGCGACCATAATCTTGACGTTGCCTGCGCGGAAGTCACGGAGGTTGCTGGCACGGTCCTCCTGTGACACGGCGCCGTGGAGCGCCAGGCAGGGATAGCCGTTCTTGATCAGGTTTTCCAGCACCGAGTCTGCCTTCTCCTGCTTGTGGACAAAGACGATGATGCTGCCCTGCTCGAAAAAGTGGCCGAGGAGTTCGAGGAGCTTTTGAAATTTTTCACCCTCACGCATGACAATGACGTTTTGCTTGATAATGTTGCTGACGATGCTGCGGCCGCCAACAGTGACTTCGACGGGCTTGGTGAGGATCTTGCGAGCCAGCGCCTCCATGGCCCGCGGGAATGTCGCAGAGAACATGACCGTTTGTCGGTCTGGGCGAATGTTATCCAGGATACGCGTGACCTGTGGCTCAAAGCCCATGTCAAACATACGGTCGGCCTCGTCCAGTGCCACGTAGGTGCAACGGCGCAGATTGGTGACACGACCCGAGTTGACTGTAAGCATGTCAATCATGCGACCAGGCGTGCACACGATAATCTCTGCCGCCGATTTTAGAAGAGCAATCTGGTCGCTGATATCACTGCCACCATATAAACACACGACGCGCAAATCTGGGCGTGATCAGATTCATGTCATGAATGCAGACGAAGCTTCCATATGAGACAAGCAATGCAAATTGCGAAACGGTTGGGGGGACGGGGGCAAGGAATGTGGGCGACGCATCGTACCTAGGTGCTTGCAAAACTTTCGAGTCTCGTTGTAAATTTGCAGGGCCAGCTCACGGGTGGGCGACATAATGAGACCAATGCATCCCTGTTTGCAAGAGTCACGAGGTGCAGACCGAGGGTGTGTCATGAAGCAAGAAGGGGACCAATCGCAGAAGCAGAGGTTGACAGCAGCATGACCACAACGTCACAGATTGAGAGGAAGCTTGATAAGTACGGGACTTGCCTCGCCTTGTGCGCACTTGCGTTGGTCCATAACGTGCCGAAGAAGGGGGAGCAGAAAAGCGAGCGTCTTGCCGCAGCCAGTTTTAGCAATGCCCAGCATGTCACGACCGGACATGACGACGGGGATGGCTTGTGCCTGGATCGGGGTTGGGTTCTCATATTTGAGCTGCTTGAGGATGGCTAGGATGGTTTTTGAGAGACCGGTTTGGCCCCAAGTCTTGATGGGGCGCGGTACCTCTTTGCCACGAGTCTTGATGTTCTCCATCTCGGCCTTGTACTGATCAACCTCTTCCTCTGTCATGCGCGCGATATCGGAGACCTCAGTGTAAAAGGCTTTGCGAAAGGCTGTTGAGGCAGAGTCGGGGATTGTGGGTCGCACAAGGCAAGAGGTACGTGGTGAGAGGGAGGCGAAGACATTTCGCTCGGGGGCGCTTGAGTCGGCCAGGCCATGCCGAAACGTACAGTCATATTGAATCTGCGCGTGATCTGGTACAGTAAGCTCCTTTTGCTGCCGAACAAATGTGCCATTCCAGTTGAGCGCCTTTTCACCGCCGGCTACCGCATCGCCTTCTTCGTCGGAAGAGGGATAGTCAAAGCCATCTATTGTGATCGGATATTCGTCGCGGCAAAATCAAGGTCATTTGACATGCAGTCTGGGGAAAAGAAGAAGAAGAAGAAAAAAAAAAAAAAAGGCCGGAAAGAAACGGAGGGGCGGGCGCGAGAAAGTGTGAGCATACCGTCCTGGCCTGAAACGCGCTCTCCTTTGAGCTTGCGGCCGGAGAGGCCAAGCTGGCGACGCCGCTGAGCTTTGGCAGCGTCTTCGCTCTTAATCTTGGTGACCTTTTCCTCGACCCCAACCATAAAGGCATCGAGGGGATCAACTTCCTCCTCGTCTTCTGGCTCGACTTGCATCTTCTCTTGAGCTTCAGCTTCTGTTGAATCGCTGGTGGTGGTGGCGCCATTTGCATTCGTCTTGTGAGACTGAGTCTTTTGTTGCTTGGCAAAAGCCTTGATCTTGGCGACAAGGTCAATCTCCTCTTCCTCTTCATCGCCAAAGCCAGCGGCTGCCGACTTGACATTCTGAGTCATGTTGAATAATCGGTTGCGCGGTGGCTGTTGCTGCTGCGGCGCTGCAGGGCTGGAAGCGGCCTGTGCAGCTGTTTGTTGCTGGTTCTTTTGCTGCGCTTCTTCCAGCCTTTTCTTCTTCAGAAACATGGCGGCCCTGCAAAATGTACGTCAAGGCGTATGACGGCATGGTTATGAGAGCAAGCGGGGGGTCTATGGAGTGCGAGTGCAAGAGCCAGTCGGTTGGTGGTGGCGCGAATGAAGCGTGCGACTACGGACTTGAGTTTGCGCGCCTTTTTGCGCTCCTCTTCGGTCTGTGGCGCCTCGACCCTATCATCCCAAAGAGTTGGGGTGGTCAGAATGCGGGGATAAAGGTGAGATGAGACAGGTAGAGGGGATGCAGGGGTCGACATGGCGCCGCTAAGGTTATGCTGATGCTTTGCAGGCTCTGGGAGCAGCAGTGCGAGCCGGGAACCCTCGGGGAGCCGCACTGACTTGGGGCGTTTGCTGGCCGATTCCATTGTGGCTGGTGCTGGGTGTCCAGTTTGTGCGGGGCGTGCTCTCACAAAGTCCTCGTCGTTGAGCAACTTCCCTAGCTTGCTAATGGATGAGGTTCACAAGGGCCAATCTCGTTGCATTCACTGGAAGCGAGGGGGAGGGGGGGGGGGGCGCTGCCGTTGCGCGCGTTGTTCAACGTTTCCTGTGTTTTTTTTTTTTGTCTTTTTTCTTTTGTTGACTGAGAGATGAGATTTTGGAAGCGCGTCAAGGAAACTGAAACAAATGCTACACTTTGTCCTGTGTGTGTGTGTGTGTGTGTGTGTGTGTGTGTGTGTGGATCGGTCTCGGTTTTTAGGGGATTGTCTGAAGGTTTGGAAGCGTGGTACGAGACAGGTGCATGAGGCTGTTCATCTCTGGTGCAATGCCATGGACTGCTGAGTTGTACCTCGAGAAGAGAGAAAGAAGGAAATGCGATCAAATTGACGGGGGAATCATTCATACGGCTGCATCAGAGGCAGGCAAAGACATCGAGGGCACTCACATTCTTGCGCGCGCGCAAAGAATGGGGCAAGGGGCGGAGGTGCATGTGTGACAATAACGAGCGAACAGAGAACGATACACGCAGCGGGGCGAGTGTAGTAGGTTGGCGACAATGACACGAATTGGGGCTAGGGAGAGAGGAAAAGGCAAGAAAAAAATCCCATAGAAAATAAAACAACAAAACAATGAGGCCCGCGGCGACACCTGGGGACAGGCGCGCCATAAACATTAATAACAATGGGGAGATGGAACAGCAAATGAGGCAGCATGGCGTGAGAAATGTCGGGAGACGACCGTGGGGCTCGGAACTTGGCTTCCAACAGGAAAACAACGTGCCATCGACGAGCGGGCCCGACATTCACACGCCATGGACATGCTTTTGCAGACATTGAGAACGAGCATGCGCCAGCACTGGCTTTTCACACGGACTCGACGACATGTCAACAATCAAAGAAACAACAGACATGGCACCTTGAACAAGAGGGGTGTTGAGGTCGAAGCATCCACACCCGAACCAAAAGGAAGAAAAGAAAGGAGAAGCGGGGGAACTACTGCCAGTGAAAGCAGGTGAACAGGAAACCTAAAAGCGAAAGACACGAAGAAGATGGGAAACAAAACGAGAACAGGGAAAAGGGCATCCCAAACCCAAACATCAACAAGCTAGCAAGCGAGCTGACAAGAAAGCCAAGGCAAAGAAAGGAGCTTGATGGGTGAATCATCGTGCTCACCACTCAAGCCTAAAGGCGACCGGCGGTGTGCTCACGTTTTAGCTTGAGGATGGCCTCGTGCATGACATCGCGCTGGCATGTCTCGAGGGCATCGTTGATGGGAAACCAGCGGCGCTGGCGTTGTTCCTGTTCAGGAAAGTGTTGGAGAATCTGATCGACCAAAAGGGCATAGTAGTGGTGGTGTTGGTGTTGGCCCTTTTTGCCGACGTGCAGTCGATCGACGAGCTTGGTGACAATGGTGCCCTGGGCGCCAGCTTCCTCGTATGTTTCGCGGATAGCAGCTTCTTCAGCGCTTTCGTCAGTCTCCCAGCCGCCCTTGGGAATGATCCAATGGGTTTTCTTGCGGTTGGTGATGAGGAGGACGTCGAGACCGGCCGGTGTGCAACGGAAGGGGACGCAGCCGGAGACCAAGCGGGTGCCATCAGCACCATAGCGTTGGTTATCGCGGCCCTGACGGGCGGGGGCGACGGAGCGCGAGTCGTTGGGGGACGAGGGTAGAGCGGGCATGCTGGTCAGTAGCACTTTCGCCATAGTTGTTGATGAAACACCTTGATGGGAGTGTCGATGAAGCAGCAGCGGAGAGATGTGGTCCAGGAAAGAAGAGAAGAGTGGCTAGACTGAGGGGCAGTCGAGCTGGGTTTTGTTGATGGCGTCTCGCCTGTGAGGGGAGAGGAGAGGGGTGGTTGCGGCAGGAGAGAAATCAGCCTGGGCCGATGGCCCAAGGACGGAGGCCAAGGTATTACTCCACGGTTAGGGCGACACGGAGGCTACGCCCAAACGCGCAGGACGGGGTCGTGTCTTGAAGAAGACGACGGAAAGAGAAGGGAGGGTTGAATCGAGGGCAGCGGATGGCAGGTCCAAGCCAAGCACGGAGATAAAAGTCGAGTGCCCGTGTCGTACTGACAAGGGCAACCAAGGCTAGCTGACGCGTGTGGCAGGCACGGGCCGGAACCGAAAAGCGAAGGGAATGGAAGCGGCCGAACAAGACGGGCTAAATCTTTGGAGACGGAAAGAGAGAGAGAGAGAGAGAGAGAGACGGAGACGGAGACGGATAGAGAGTGCGTGTGCCTCGTGATGTGGGTCAGGCAGGCAGCCCTCTGCACGACAGATAGGGGTGTCAGCTTGTACTGATGATGAGCGAACAGGCGTCCGTCAAGGATACACCAGGATGGAGGCTTGGCCAGGTCGAGTCCTAAGAGAGAGAGAGGGAGGGAGGGAGGGGGAGGGAAGAAGAGGGAAGGAGAGGGAGAAGGAGGGAGAGAGAGGGACCAGGGCGCTGCCACTCGGTTCACCCCCCAAATACCACCAAAGCGGGCTAGAGGGAGAGTGTGACTGACACTCTCAAGACTGACAGCGCAGCGCGTCTGTGTGAGAGAGAGAGAGACAGACAAACGGAGAACCCATAACACACTGCATGGGGAAAAGGGGGTTTTGGTGTGACACAGAGAGAGAGAGAGTCAGGAGGCGGCTGTACGAGATCCTGTCTTTGCGTTTTGCGTTGTTGCACACACTCCACAACAAAAGAGTCAAGCAAGACATCTGCGTAGGGAACAACGTGGTTACCACCACCACCACCACCACAATGCATATGCGACATACCAGGCATGGGCTTTGTGGGTGGGTTGTCGTACCGTTTGTCACAAGAGAGCCTGATGTCATCCCCACGACTGGGTGGCGTTTGTCATAACCATTGACAGTGTCTTCCAGATCTCGTGCCAACACTGTGGAGAGGGTCGTCCGTGATGTGACAACAGCATCCTCCATTGACCCAGGAAAGGCCTTGTGCAAGGCTGTCAAAGTGTGCCGTAAATTACACCTGATGCTATGGAGAATGTGCGGGAGTGGGGACGGGAAGTCGTCGAGGCACGAGGTGTCGGGGCACGCTCATGGTTCGTGGGCACAGCCAGTCGCGTACGGCAATGGCAAGTGTGGGCTTTGCAACTCGGGCTCGTCTTGGCGGTCATCATCCCATCGTGTGCCCTCTGTACCCTTTGTGAAACGTATGCCGATGTGGGTTGGTGCCCTGCTGCAATTCGGTCGGGTCTCAGCGGCAGACTCTCCCCCTAAGCAGTGTCGGGTCACACGCCAACAACCTCTTGGCACGCTCATCCGCGTTCTTGACCTTCTTCAGAATCGTGCCCCCATCTTTTTTTTTTCTTGGTGGACCTTTTTTTTTTCTCCCAGATTATCTGTTTGGTTGACATGAAACACGGGCTAGAGGAGTTGCACGGTGCGTGCATCAGCCGATGGCTGTCAGCAGTCGGTGCGGGTGTATCTGGCAACGCTGTGCTTGACGCTAATAAGGGCGCCGCGGTCGGTGATCACGCACCGCCATCGCACCCACAAGGAGCTTGTGATGAGCATAATACCAAGGAGTGGTTGTTGTTTTTCTCTGACTGACACACACTTTCTCTTTCTCTTTACTTCCCTCAAGCGCATTGAGCAAGGCTCGGCACATTGCATCACCGCGGGGACTAGCCGTTACGACCATGCCATTTCTGAATGGTTGGGCACAAGAAAAGCTCCGGCAAAACGATAACCCCTACCCCCACACGCTCTTTTCGCAGATTGTGTGAAATCAAGCCAAACTCGAACTCTCCTTTGTCAGATAAAAAGTATCAGATTTAAATGTCAGACTGATGTCAGATAATCGCTGGCGCACATCCCTCCGAACTCGACCCGCGGGCGCCGCGGCAGAGACAGAACCGGGAGAGCGGAACCGGGAGATAGGGGCAGAGGGGTGTGGCATGGGTTACTGAAACACCAGACACAGCCCGCGCGACGCATCTTTTGGAGAAGGTGCGCCAAGTTGTGGCCGTGCTGTGCTGAGATGAACACTTGTAGCGCAGAAAATGGCAACGACCAGTAAGCCGAATGTGGGTGTGGCTGTCGAGCTGGTCAGCCTGGTGACTGCTGACCTCAGCAGGCTCCGGCAAGCTACGCAGCATAGCTCTTCCTCCCAACATCTTCGTGTTGAAGCCTGGACAGAGGCCGAGGGGTCGAGACCAGCAGATGCCGAGGCCATCGTGGGCGCTTTGCAGGCTCTACTGCACACGGCAGGGTTGACCACCCCAGCTGCGGACACCTCCGACTCGGACCATGCCTGGTCACGCGCCGACTTGGAGCTGGCCCTCTTTTTCCTGCAGCTCCCGCCCGACGCATGTACTCGCGAACCAGAATGTCACACAAGCCCGCAGCAATCCCAGCCAGAGCCTGCCCCCGCCATCTGGAGCCAGCTGCAGGCCGCCACCCTCGCTCTTCTGGCCTCTCCACCCGCCAACGTGACCGCCATCTTGGCCGCCACCACCGTTCCCACCCAGGTGCGCCAGACGTCTTGTCGTGCTACCCACCAGCAGCTCTGACCTGCTTGGCTGTTGTTGATGCGTCACCTCACCGCCTAAACCGTGTCGTCTTCTTGACACCCTACTTGCCCCCTGCCCGCACTCGGATGTCTTCACCAGCTCTTGTTGCACCAGTCGGGTCGCGACCAGCACTCGAGCTCAACGCTGACAGCCCTGACCGCCATCTACACCAACCTCTGCCTAGCCCTCCTCCCGACGCCCCACCTTCTCGCCCCTTCTGATTCCATTTTTGTTTTTAGCACTGGCCTCCTTCTCCACGCATTGACTCAGGTATCCGCCGCCATCCCTATCCCCTGGTCCTAGCCCATGTGCAGTGCTGCGTGCATCCCTGACCGCAGCTCTTGCTCCCAGCGCCCGTGGTTCTTGACGGCTCTTGCTGCTAGAATCACTCCTCTGGAACGCCAACTCGCCGCCCTACCCTTTGCTTTTGTTGCCCATTTCGCTGCCCATGTGCCCGACCCGACGGCGTCGACTCCAAGCACACCGTCCACCTTTGAGTTTCCTTGGTCACCGCTCCTCAAAGCCTGCCATCAAGCATCCATCGACTCCCCCTCCCTGCCCGCTCCCTCACAACCTCCAGACTGGATTGTGCAAACGAGCCCTAGCCAACTCCGACAAAAACTTGACAATTGGCTTGCCACCATTGAGCAAGGCTCTGCTGCCATGAGCCCTGGGCGGGAGAAAAGTTCCCCTGCTCGCCACACGTGGCTGGCTGCTTGGCTCGATCAACCGTGGCATCTGTATGAATGGCCGCACGCACTGCGGGCGCTCTACCAGCATCATGCTCTGATCGGGCCCTGGCTTGAAGCAGAAACATCGGTACTTGCCCTGCTCTGTGGTCTCGCTGACGGATTAGCCCTGCTGTGGAGCGCTCTGGTTCCACCCCACGTCGCGCTCAAACAACTAGCACAGACGTCCGCCCCTCTGCTGCACTGGACATCCTACTATACCAATAGCCCTCCTATAACTACACCGGGCAGCCCACTATCAGCTGCTTCGGCGACATCAGAATGGAACCCGTCGCCTGATGTCTCAACCAACCCAACACTTGCTCTGGATTCGGACTCCTTGCTACACCTCATTGAAGACCCCAAGACCTCAGACGCCCTTGTCCTGGACGCTGTCTGTGTTCAGCTCAGCACCCTGGTACCACTTGCTCTCTGCGGCCGCTCACCCTCGCTCTGCGCTCGCTCGGGTCCTTGTTTATCGGCTCGCTCACCGAGTTTTCTCAACTTGCCACCCACAGGCACACAGTGCGTGCGATGCGACGCAGATCCCACACATTTTTCAGCAGCTGACCAATGCGCTCAGTGCCCACGACAACCTTCCTGCACCGCTGGAAGTGGCCTGTCGCCGACAGCGCTGGCATGTGGCGCATTACCTTTTGGCATGGCATGCCCTGCTGGACGACCTTCTGGCTGACCGTTTCGTCGCCCATCAGTGGCCGGACGATGGTCCACCGCTGGACCCCGCCTTTGACACGCCCTGGCCGTGCTTGCGGCTACCTTGGACACCGGATGCCGACGAGGCCTCTGATCAAATGTCCGAACGCACCTCCTTGCCCAAACGGCATGTCCTGGCCCTGACCAGCGCCGAATATCCGCTTCCTGACCCTCCGTACCTGTCTCCGGGCCAGGATCGCGAGCTGCGGGAGGCGCTCTATGATGACTTGCACGAATGGTGTGAACCCTTTTCAGATGATTTGCGATCATTACTCCGCGGCCCAATTCCTGATCTGGCCACACGCGTTGCGCTGCTGGAGGCCTTCTACGCAGACGTTGAGTCGCCGCCTGCAACGAAACCCGCGAATGCAATGAGCCGTGCACAGGTACAAGGTACCTGGCAGCTCCTGCGCATGCCACACGAGCTCTTTGACGGGTCCAAATGGATGCGCTTGGTTCTTGAAATCCTACCGGATGGACGTCTCACCGGCTTTGACGATGGTGGTGCGCGTGCTGGTGCGGCGGTCGTCGGCCATCTCGCGGCTGATGGTCTGTTGCATTTGCACGTACCCTCCCGACGCATTTGGCTCTCTGCCCGCCTCCATGGCAATCGCCTCGACGAAGGCCTTTGGATCAACGCCTACCGGGAACACGGCCGTTTTGGTGGCCAACGACGTCCCGAACCCCAAGCCCTGGGCCTGCCGGGCTGCGGGCCAGACTTTATGCTTCACCTCGCACATCTCAAAGTCAAAGCCACGTCGGCAGATCAACAGTCCGCATGTGTGCGTACCCTGAATGCCATCCTCACTCGTCACTTTACCCTGCACAAGCGTTTGCATTGCGCTCAGCTGATGCAGCCGGATGGCAAGCATCGATCTACGGCGCACGCGCTTCTCGACTGCTTGCACGCGCCCGCGCCACGCATGCTCTTGCTGCGGCTCGAAGACCGGGCATGTGCTACACACTCAACAAAGCCTCGTCCCTGGACGCGATTGGAGCTTCTCTTGACAATAGCCTCGCTGGAAGACGAGCCACGTGCGTTGCACTCACTCTTGGATCACGTGCGACCCCTGGACGGGGCTCATCCCGGTCTCGGCGAGGCAGTACAGCACACCGAAACCGTGGCCTGGCGCGAAAAACATCCCCACTACGTTCGCCGCATCGAGCAGTTGGTGTTCCTATTAGTGGCCTGGCAACTGCCGTCAGCCTGGGATCCAGGCCTCGACAACCGTCGCGCTGGCCTATTGCCACCGGCGCGGGCTCTGTTGCGCGCGCACTTGCGTGCGTTTGAGCAGACGGCGGTTGCCTTCAGTGCCCGCCTCTTACCCGATGTATTTTTGGGATTGCGAGGGCCTGCGGCTTCCTCCTCACCAGGTGACTTCGGCGACACCCAGCCCTGGACCTCTTGGGCGGCCTGGGTTTCGGCGCACCAGCCAGGGGGGGATACGACATGGTACCTCGATGCACTGGACCATCTTGGGGGCCATGCTTCGATCTTCGTAGTCCGCCTGTGGCGGGAGCTGGCGCTGGCGTGGCTTGAGGACAGCCATTTATCGTGGCGTCAAGGCGCCAAACATGGCCCCGAGACCACCGCTCGCTTGCTGGCAGCTCTGGGCCGTGCAGGCGCGGACGTGGAGGCGCACTTTGAGCGATACGTGCGCCTGCGCTGCCAGCAGCACGACACCTTGCCCGCAGAAGCCTTGCTGCATCTGGCGCACGGTGATGGTTGGTTCCTACAATTGCTGGATGCTTATCTATTCTTGGCCTTTGCTTTGGCCAGCGTTGGACGGCCCCCCCTATTTTGTGACCTGGAAGCGTGGGTGCGTGCAGGCTTTCGCCTTGAGGATGTGCCCGACACACAAGGCCGTTTGCCCGGCCACCCCAGTCCGCTGCTGGTTAGCCAAGCCTGGTTGGACTGGCTGCGCACCACTGCATCGCGCTTGGGCCCGGTTATCGGCGCCTGCGCATCACAGCTTGGGCCTGCACATGCGTCACCGCTTCTGCTCCTGCTGGACACGTCAGCTCGCTTGGCGCCTTTCCAGCGCTTGCCTCTTCTTCGTACCCGTGAAACCGCAACGGTATCTCGCTCTCGTATGTGGCACGCTATGGCTCAGCTCCCGGCGGGCGCGCGATGGGATATTCGGTTTGCAGGGGAGGCTGCTTCGGGCGAAGGCGTGGAGCGGGAATTTTTCGATTTGTTTGGACGTGTGGTGCTGCAACCAGGCCGGGCCCTGGTGCAGCACCGTCGAGCTGCTTTGCGCGACTTTGGCCACGGCAGCAACGACCCGGGTGCAGCTGAGCGGCTTTTAACTTGCTTAGGGGAGTGGGCATTGGGCAGCGAAGGGCTCTCATTGGTGGAGTCATCTGCTGAATCCGGATTGCTCACGCCAGCCATCTACCACCTAGATCAAGAAAAGCCACAGCCCTGGGTTGTGCAGGCTGGTCGGGCCTATCGCCTCGTGGGCAAATATCTCGCGCAGGCACTGCTGCAGAAACAGGCAACGCCACTCTGCTGGGCACCGCACGTGCTGCGCCTGGTCTTTGATCTGCCCCTTCGCGTGGCCGACTATGCGGCGTGGCAGCCCGAACACCATCGCCAGTTGGTGCAGCTGCTAGCTGCTGCCGCACGCGGAGAGCCTGTGGAGGAGTGGGATCTTACTTTTGACGTTGATGTGCGTGCTGGTGGGATGCACGCTTGGGGCACAGCTGTGACTCTATCTTTGGACCACAGCGGTGTGGTGGAGCGAGCGGTCACGGCCCATTCTGCCGTAGAGTTTGTACACGAGCTGATGCTGGCTCGCATGAACCTGGCTCGGCCCGCAGCGCTGGCCATGCAAGCGGGTGTGCTTGAAGTGCTTCCGCGTGCCAAATGGACGCTGTTGACGGACGATGTGGTTGCGTCGGTGACTTGCCCATCAACGGACATTACGGCCGCAATGTTGTGGCCCGCGCTTGAGGTTCGCGACGGCCGAGATTTGGTGCGCTTCCCTGATGAACGACCCTTTGCCGTTTTCGTGGAGTGGCTGCAATCAGTTGTATCGACATGGTCGCGTACCAGTTGCGAGCAATTTGTGCGCTTTGCCACGGGGCGGTCAATCCTTGCCCCAGACGTGCTGCCCATCAAGGTCGAGGTCAAGCCGGCCCGCGCAGCCTTGCCGGAGGCGCAGACCTGCTTCAGCATTGTACGCATCCCCTTTTATGCCGACGCGGCCTCGCTGAGCGAGGCCTTGACTCTGGTGCTGGCGCACAGCCAGGGTTTTGGTCTTGAGTGAGACGAGAGGAACTGATGCTTTGCCGTGCAATTGTTGCTTTGTGGGAAAGGCAACATCTGATTAGGCTAGGAATGCCAAAAGTGACGGATGCGATGCCCCCTTCAAATTGATATTAAATTGAAGCTATGGGCACTCTTCTCCCTCTTGTTCTCTCACCTCGAGCGTGAATGATACTACCAAGGCATGCCTCCCCTTCCCCCGCCCTTTGACACGTCCTTCCGTCACAAGTGTCGGATGTAATGTAATGTTACTGACGTTGATTACTAGCGTGTTGTTAGGAAAATTGCTCATGTGCCTTTTCAGTGTGTGTGTGTGTGTGTGTTATAATTTTCGCCTTCACATTTAAACCAGACACACACACACACACACACACACACACACACACACACACACACACACACACACACACACACACACACACACACACACACACACACACACACACAGAGTGCCTGCCGCTGCGCTGTCCTGCATTGGTGGGTATGGGTGCGTGGGCGACGACCATGGCAGGTCCCTGGGCACCGGGGGCCGGACCCCTGGCGGCGCCTTACCTGGCGGGGATCGGCTCCGAGGCCGAGGAGGAGATTAAGGAAGCACCAAATCGTCGCGGCCGCTGCTACACGGATACCATCCGCTATCGTCGCGCATCGGACGGCCGAGTCACGGAGCTCACCATGCGCCTGCAGTTTGAAAGCCACGCGGTTTCGGAGGGTAGCCCCGTGGCGCTGCAGTTTGACGCCAGTTGTGCGGATGTTGAAGGCATGCCGGAGCCTCTCTGCTTCTGCCACGTCAGCGCCTTGGTTGCGCAGCTCGTCTCTTCGACCGGCAGCTGTCGCCTCCAGACCCTATACGAACGGCGCGATGCCATGGGCGCCAGTGCTCCACGCATTCGAGAACTTCACCAAATCATCGAGGTCGAGCTTTGCCATGACCCAGCCAACGTGAATCACGATGATGACTACCTCTTGATCGACTTGTGCTCTTGCGCGCCGTTTCTCGCTCCCGCTGAGCTCCCGCCCAATCCCGTGCAGCGCGTCCCCATCATGCCCGGACGTATTCGCTAGTGACGAGGACCCGCTCACTTCAGAGACCCATGAGAGGGCGCAGGATGTACAGCTTTTGCTGGCGTACATCTATCATCTCAATTATCCGCCTCAAGCAGCAGGCACTATGGACACCTGAACTTTTGCTTCTCGCCCGTCAATGGACAAGATTGTTGTTATTATGTGCGGGCGCACTCGCGTCCTGGCATTGACGGAATGCCTGCACAGCCTTGGCCGTGCGGTGGCCCGCCGGCTCGTAGCTCGTGGGTGCTCTAAATCCAGCGCTCAAGGCGCGCTCAAGTGCTTGTTCAACAAGTTGAATAGCACCCCAAACGCACCATGCAATTGACGCACGACGCAAGCATAGATCGCTCCGACGAGAAGCAGGTTGACCCCCCAAGCTAGCCAACTCGAGCCGGGCACCAAAGCCAGCAAGGCTTGCGTATCATGTGCCAAGAGCAGGTGGTATTGCGTCAAGAACAGCTCCAAAGAATGCTGTGAATCCCAACCCCGGTGTCACAGTCAAAATGAGTCTGCTGATGCCATGTCCCCCTCCTTGATTTTTTTTTCTATCTTTTTTTCTTTCTTTCTTTCTTTTTGTCGCTGCCTGATATTCGGGGTATTCATTTCCTGTTTGCTCTTCTGCGTGCGTCGTGGTCGACTCACCTCGCCCGCGTGGCGCATAAATACGGACGTGCGGCGCCGCCAGCTCGAACAGCAGTTGCGAATCCCCACAAACGACAAGATGGCAATGGGCCCGACATATGGGTGCCAGCGGTTGCAATATGCCTGCATAGCCCCGCATCCTCGACTCTGATCAGCCCGTGCACGAGTGTACAACAACCTGTTCCGGAAACTTTTACATTGTACCATCCACGTACCTTGGTCGTGCATGTGGAAAAGAACAGAGCCTGCGCGCACAACGCCACGATGCAGAGGATGCCGCCCAAGCCCGCCATTCGCGGGCTCACTCGGCGCTGGCGGGCGCGCATGGCGTGCACGACCAAGGCCAGCACCACCCCTGCTGCCGAGGCCTATTGGATCGCAAAGGCACGGGCCGTAAGTTTTCCACCACACGAGATGGGCAGGGGCAGCTCAGCCACGCACGTAGCGATCAAGGCGCGCGCGGAAGCGCCACTCGTGCAGGCCTTGATCCGTGGTCATCAGCTATGCAGATTGGCAGGTCTAATGAGTGCAATTTCCAATACGGTGGCTAGCTGAAACCACACACCGTGCGCACCTGCTGAAGACCCGGAGCGTTGAAGATGGCATCAAAGATGGGCGTGGCTTGCCCATCCGGCGACCAGAATAAAACTGCAGCACACCGCCACCCGCATTTGCTACCGTGAATTGATCTTGTTCATCTTTCAAAACTCGCAGCACGACAAGGCCCGGCATCGGTGTTGTCCTTCCGCCAAACACTCGTTTGTCACGCACCGCTCGGTAGCACCAGGGCGAGCACGACTGTGATCGCATCACGGTGCCGTCCCAAATGTGGGTATACGACTGCTAGCCCAATGGTCTGCAGCGGAGCATCAGTGTTGACCGTGGAACAGCACCAGAGCCACCGCGTTTGCGTACCCGTAGCATTGCTCAGGACCCACCTCAAGGTACCAAAAGGTTACGAGTGGGATAAAGTAGTAGGCCATGTATGGTCGGTGCATGCAGAGGCACAGGGCCACAGCGTAGAGATTGAGGCGCACCAGAACCTATCCCCAACAATGGTGTCAGCTGTCCAGGCTGTACCGGTGACTTGCTTCTCGGAGAGGACTGAAACTCACCATACCAACGCGATGAAGCTTGACACCCTGGCGCAAAGCGTGTAAAAAGTGCCCGTAGCCCGTCAGAAAGAGGAAGCTGCCGACCAGGATACGGATCCAGCTGTAGACGGCCAAAACCTGCCGAGCCTGGGTGAGGCGGAATGGCAAAGCCATGTTCCCTGATGTGTTACTGGCTCAACATCACCTACACCTGAGGCTGCCGTGTAGTGGTAGACGAGAAACGTGAGCTGCATCCAGCCCTTCCACTCGTTTGTCTGTCAGCATGCGCGGCCATTGGAATGATACAGTGAAGACGTCATGGCCACGGGGAGCACACTTGGAGCCTGGCTACGCCTCTCCATGCCTGAACTCACCTGATGACGACTCATAAAAGTGTCCTCGTCGACCTCCTCTATCCAAAGGAGCGCGGCCTGAAGATCAGGTGGTGAGAGGGACGAGAGTCGCGCGCGGCATAACCACGGACCGTCAGAGCACGGATGAGACAGCCCTGCACCTTGCAAGTGTCGCAACAGGGCAATGAATTCTGCGCATACCAGGCCAATGATACTAGAGCCAATACCCAGCGCCCAGGGACTCCAGGCCTTTGTCTGCTTCAGCAACAGCGGTGTTCTTCGCAAAGAAGAAATCGATGCAGGGTCGTGGTGAAGGGGTGTGCCGAGCACATAGACCAAATGCATGTACAATGGTACCTTACCGGTCTGCTAGCATGAGCAGGAGCAAGACAAAGGCAAGCACACCGCAAGCGCGCCGCGTCGCAGGCGCAAACTTCCTAGCGCTCATGGCACTGATAATAGCAACATGAACAAGCACATGAGGACATGACCCAGCGCACAACACCAAAAAGAAAAGGCATACCAGAGGAACAGTGTTGTAATGCATGTCAGTCCAAGGAGTGACGGAGTCTCCGAGGCCTCGCAACATCGGCTCTTTGTGCCGTGAATCAACACAGAGTCACAGACGCGACTAAAGATCAGATTCAGAGTAGCTTGCGACACACGTTGGTCATAGTGCAGACCATCCCGCGTGTGGGTGCCGCCTGGTGGTCGAAGGGTAGCAAGATGTACTGTACCGTGAGGAGGAGCATGCATCAAAGATCATGCGATGTTGAGCCATGCACATGAATACCCATTCACCTGTGCGAAGAATGGCGCTTGCTCCTGGCACGCCCATGGCCGTAGTGTTTGGGAAGTGTAGCAGCTCACGATCAAATTCTTGTATTCGCTCGTTGGTAATGGCTTGACGTGCCGGCCAGAGTAGGCTCTCCTCCACAGCACCCAACGGGACAACAAAGGTTCGTTGTGGCCTGGGTGGCGCACAAACAGTCCAAACGTGTGAGGGCGTTCGATTGCCTGGCGGGGCAAGGAGAGCAAGGTACCGTGACTTGCCTTCGGGCTAGACTGGCTTTGTGCAGGCCATGCGCGCCCTATGCAGGAACCGGCAGCAGGCTGAGCAGGCAGCTGTAACAAGGGGTTGAAGTGGCAAAGAATATTCTGCAGTAGGCATACACACGTGGCTAAGCGTGGCCCAGGAGGCCTTTTGCTTCAGCTCCCACAAACCAGCAGAGATGATCACTGGCACGTCAGGTTCCAGTTGCTATCAATCGTGCCAGGCCACCATCAGGCCAAGCTGCAACACGATGCGTCACAATAGCATCTATGCCCGGATCATGCGTAATGGAGCAAGATCTGACCGCAAGTACTTGTGAAACATTGGACAGGTATGGGGCCCACCAAAATGCAAGGTGAAAGCGCTCGCTGCTGCAAACGCGTGCATTGAAAGCCGTGAGAATTTGATTTTTGAAAACAACGCAAACTCACAATGCACAGAAGCTCGGCCCCTGCGTCAATCCCATACATACGTCCAGCCTGCGTTTTCATGCCGTCCAGCCAGGGTGGACGCATTGATGGTCGGTATCAAGGCTTCAAGCAAGTGCTGAGCACAACAAGCACAGCCCATGCACACGTGACAGCAAGCCTGGCATAGCCGACAAAGAGCGTGATCTTCATAGGGTCTCAAAAGCCAGCCCGCGTTGAATGATAGTGAGGCATGGCATGGAAGTCCAAAGTACCTGAAAGAGCAGCCGCATGCGCGAATCGCCCACGAAGTGGAGACCAAGGCGATATTGCTGAGCCATGCAGGCCTCTAGGTGGGGCCTGCAAGCATTAATCTGAGCCCGGTGTCGGCTTGGTATCGTGTTCTACTGCCAAGGCTAGCAGTCAGTCACCCTCTCCAGGCCAACGGCAACCTAAATACAGACCTCTCAGCGGGCGTGAAGAAATCCCGCAGCACACAGCCCGCAGGCGAGAAGGTCATGTCCTTGGACGCCCAGCCCGCATCAGCATAAAGTGCCGTCAGCCAGTCCGGTACCGGGGGGGTACCTGCAGGCTGTAGCAGCACGGCACATGGCTCTCCACCTTGAGGCGAGTTCAAATGCAAGCGACCAGAGCGCGGCGTGAGCTGGATGCATCCCCTTGTAGTAGCGCGAGTAAGGAAGAAGATTACCTACCACTGGCCCAGCGCAGCGCATGGAGGAGCAAGGCAACGAGCAGGCCAGCCAGCACCACTCTTTCAACAATCACAACCCACACGCTGTTTGCACGCCGTGCCTTGTCACCCCCTGCACCTGATTGGGGGTTCCCCCGAGATCCGTTCGGAAGCGTTGACATGGCTTTGGCAGCGCGAGCAGTGATGGTGAATTCAGGAACAATACATGCATGCAGGCAATCAAATACTTGAAAGAAAGAGAAGAATGCCTTCTGTTGTCATGCTATCATCAAAGTCAATTAACATTCATGTATCTGATGTAGGTACTGGCATCAACAATCAATCTGAGAACAATTGGGGGGGCAGGTGGCACCGGGCAGCTGACGCAGTTGCCACGACTGGCCATTCACAAGATGTGAGGAAGTGAGCTGCAATAACCGCGGTCGGCTTAACCGCATTTCTGTTTGTTTGTTTTCTTTTTTTCTTTTTTTTTTTTTCTTGCTGAAGCTTCGAGGCATGATCACACCTCCACATCGTCTTCGGGATGAAGTGCGGCAACAAGGCGCTCCAACGTGTGACGGGTCTCCTCACAGGTGGGCCGCAACGCCGGATCGCGCTGGAGGCATCGTTCCATTAAATCGGCATAGCCATCTGGCACATCCATCTCGGGATCCAAGATGAGTTGATGCCCCTCTTCAATGGTGCGCAAAAGAGTAGAAAGGAAGGGACCGGAGGGTGTTTGGTCGCCGTAGGTAAGTGCAAGCAAATCAGGCAGCGCACGTGTGGCTGTCTCCCACATGGTCACCCCAAAGCTGTACATGTCAGCAGGTAGATGGTACTCGTCACCACGAAGGACCTCTGGCGCGCAATACAGAGGTGTGCCTACAGCAGCCGTCAGCGTGCGCGAGGATGCCGGGTCTGAAGGAGCGGCACTTGCTTGAGAAAGCGCTCCTCCACTTCGTGACAAGTCTATTGCATCGATGCCACTGCTGGTGTTGGAGTGGTCACCGCGAGCGGCCTGGCGCTGCCTCTTTAGCTCAGCCCGACGCTCTGCCATGGGCATGCTTGTATCCATGAGCGTGCGGAGCGTACCTGCCAGTTGGGCCCACGGGGGCGGGGGGGCGTGACAAGGACATGAGTCAAATTGCAAGATACCGGGTTGGTGTAGTGGAGCAAAATACACGTACCAAAGTCGGTCACTTTGGCAATCAGGTCCCCGCGAATGCGGTCGATAAGAATGTTGCCTACATCATCCATGACCAGAAAAAAACGGTGAAGGTGCGCGGCGTATAGTCCGGTTGAAGAGATGGCTTTTCGCCAAACATTGGCTTGATAACTATTATGAACTATTATGCACGTGACGGCAAAGCACACGCGGAACGCGGTAACACACCAGGCTTGAGATCGCGATGGATGAGTCCCAAAGAGTGCAGGAAGCCAACACCGCGACACACGTCCACCAAGATTCTTAGCCGGATCGCAAAATCAAGGTCTGGGCCCAGGCTGTTGCGCAAGAACTTTTGATACGAGCCTAATTCAACCAATTCGAGGACCAAAAAAGGACAGCCGCTCGAAAGCGTGCCAGCGCCAAAGAAGCGCACCAAGTTTGGGTGACGCGTCTTTTGCAGGAATGCCACTTCACTCTCGAATTCTTCGCGGCTGCGCTCGTCAAACTGTGCCAACGATGCGCGCAGCACCTTCACGGCCACGCGCACGTTGCCCCAAGTGCCGGAATGCACCTCACCAGAGGCCCCAGGCGACTCGAGATCAAGGCGCCCGTCCAAGTCAAGTTCCGATGCTTCAATCTCCCAAGCCTATGTGAAGAATCAACCAAGGGTGAACGATGCTCAGCTGACCCATGCTTTATTCTTCTTCCTGTAGGATACAAGATCCACCGGCAAGGTGAAACGTATACTGGAGGACAGCCCGGGGGATTGACTCACGACCGTACCTTTTTGAGCCGGACCACTTCGTCTTCCTTCTCGGCAAGCAGTTGTTGATGAATGTCCAGGTCGTCGTAGGCTTCGTGGAGCTCGCCGCGTAGGTTCATGTATCGTCGACCATAGAGGACAAGAGCCATCAAACAGGCTGTGACAGCCAGAGTGCTGGCCACTACGGTGACGACGCCAGCAGCCGTGGCCAGAAATGGCGTCTTGGACACGCATCGTGTCCCGGACTGCGCATATCCAGGGGCACATGAGCATTCATACTGATGAATTGCCACGGGTTGTGAGTTGCCGTTGAGGAGCCGAGCCGTGGCAAAATGACCCCTTGTCAAGCACTGCACAGGCAGGCCTGCCAAGTAGAGCTGGAGCGCTGAGGGACGATTCATGACGGCAGTGGCCTGGAACGTTAGATGTACTTGGCCATCCGGCCCCAGAAGGTTGGTGTCGGCATTCACCACATATGGGCGTTGTAAAGCAGCTCGGAAAATCTCGACGTCGTCCAACCACGGATTATTGCTGAGATCAAGCTGGCCCACGACTTCACCACATCGCAGCAAAAGCTTTGAAAATGCATCCATGGTGCTCGTGTTGGCCTGCATCGCTTGTAGCCGCAGAATGGATGAGCCTTGGTAGAGGCAAAGCGCATCGGTAAACCCAGCGGGAAAGTCGGAGAGCGAGAGCTCTGCAATGGCGGGCATGTTCAACTGAGTAAGACTGTTGCATCGGAGTAGTTGAACGGTGGTGATCAGGTTGGGGCCCTTGACGGTGGCCTCATACATATCGGAGTTGCCAGAGAGATCAAGATCACGAAGGCCTGGCGCATCGATGCTAATCACCTCGCATTTGGTATCGGTGAGAGCAAGGTACGTGACGGTCGGTGGCAATTCAAGGTGCAGCACCCCACCGCGTGGACAAAGAAAGGTTCCACCCAGCACCAAACTGTCCAGAAAAGGCATGGCGCTGATGACGTTCATGTCCACGTCAATATTGAACGCTTGCAAGTTGTTCACGTTAGCCAAGATGGCGGCTTGACGTTGGGTGAGCGTGAGGTGGGTATTGCTAATGTTGAGCTGGACAAGGCTGCAGTTGTCAAGGCCAGCGGGCCAGCCTTGCAGGGGGTTGTCGTTGAGACTAAGCATAGCGAGCGAGCAGCTCGTTGGCAATGCTGGCAGGTGGGTGATCTGGTTGAAGCCCAGGTTTGCAAACTGTAGCATACTCTGCGCAGACCAAAGTCGTTCGTCAAGGGTTGTCAGCGCATTTTCGCTTACATCCAGCGACGTCATGCTGTCGGGTGTGCTGCTCGGGTGCAGCTCAGTCAGACGGTTGTCGTTGAGTTTGACAATGTTGGATGCGCTTCCAAGAAGTGCGGGTGGGATTGTGGTCAAAAGGTTGTGTGAGACGTCAAGCAAGGGGATCGCGTTGATGGTGGCAGAGCCCGAGTGCACGGCGTTGTCGAGGCTGGCAATGCGGTTGTTGTTGAGAGAGAGTTCTTGCAGGTTGTTGCTGCTGAAAAACCCATTGGGTAGTGTGGTCAGGAGATTATTGGCGGCTGAGAAGGTATTGAGGCTCAGAGCGGTCAACGTGTCGGGGAGCACGGTCAGCTGGTTGTTGTCTAGAGCCAGCACGTTTAGGTTCAGCTTGGCCAATAAGAGCGGCGGTAGAATGGTCAGACTGTTGTCGGTCAAGGCCATTGAGGTCAAGGCCGTGTTGGTCAAGCCGACGTTGGGGAGAGACGTGATGGCATTGAAGGAAAGGTCAATTTGATTGAGTTCTTGTTGATGGGCAAACCACTCCAAGCTGATGGCGGTAAGGGCGTTGTACGACAAATCCAGTCGTTGTATCTGAAGCATGTGGGCAAATGTGTCGGGTTCGAGGGAAGCCAGGTTGTTGTGGTGCAGGGTGATGGAGCGCAGGTCGGGGGCAGCGGGTAAAACGTCGGCACTGAGCGTCGTCAAGTAATTGTGCGCAAGTTCGAGGCTGATGAGAGCATGCTGTTGGGCCGTCCAAGGTGGAAGGCGTTGAAGCGCATTGTTGGACAGGTCCAAGTTGAGTAACAAGGTCGAGGATTGGAACATCGTGGGGCTGAAGGCGTACATGTTGTTGCCACTCAAATCCATGGTGCGCAAGTTCGGGAGCATGTCCCAGGCATTAGGAAGAAGGACACCAAGAGCGTTGTTGCTCAGGTCAAGCGTTGAAATCTGCGATCCTGTCCAGCCGGCAGTCTCCAGCTGCACCACCCCGCCGCTGATGGTGAGTGAGGAAATGTTGACGAGTGAAGGAAGAACGGTCCAGACATCGGCATCGACGAGGGGAGGAAAGGTGAGCTCAAGTTGATTCAGTTTTGCAAGATAAGTGATGCATTGATCGGGCAACGAGGAGATGTTGAGATCTTCGTACCACCCAACACAGGGGCCATCAAGAAACTGGATGCCGGCGCCGTTGGCGCTGCCGAAAACGGTACAAGAGAGCGGGCCAATGACGTCGAGGGCCGAACCAATTGTGCAGCAGCTCCGCCAATTCGACGATGCAGTGATACGGCTCGTCGGAAGTGGACAGGTCACTGTAGCAGGGCCACTGCGGAGTGGTTCCCGGCGGTCACGCGATGAGCTGTCATGCGCTGGGATGAATTGGGTTGAAGCATCCTCCCAAGTTTGGGAAGTGCAGACCGATTCTAGCTCCGCAACGGTGCATGCTTGAGTTGCGCTGGAGCAAGCAGCTGAAGGAGAGGCTGCTGGGCCCCTGGACGTCGTCGCGATCGCAATTGTCGCAAGAGTCAGGACGAGCCAAGCGCACCCCGCTGGAACAGCTGGATTGGGCGCCATGCTGCAGCGCGTAGCAGCCGGGATCCGTCAAAAGAGCAGGCCCACACTAGCGGGGGGGGCCTATTGGCAGCAACCCAATCTATGCATCCAAGCAAACAGTGCACATTGAACGTCAATCCGTCACGACAAGCTGTGACCTGACAGGCACAAAAAAAAAAAAAAAAGCAGCCAGCTCACCTTAAAGCGGAAAAAGAGAAAAATTGACGAAACACACACACACACACACACTAACACACACGTCTCATGGTCCTGCCCAGGAATACCACCCGATTGTTTCAAAGACAAGAGGTCTGATTGATGCCAGCTCTGGACCATACCGCTGTTCCCATCCATGGCTTCCCCTCTCCCCGGCTCCGCCCCGGGCCTCGCCTTTTAACCCCCGCCATGGCGTGCGCTGCCCTATTCCTCGCCCACACACACACACGTACATGTGGACTCTTCGGTTATGCCTGCTGCGCTTAGTCTTTCAATCCCCCTCCAATATTGCAGAAGAGATCAAGCCGGGGGCAATGAAGAGTTGTCAGACAATTTTTCGCCGGACGGAAGCAAAACAAGAGGTAAGAGGTGTGTGTGTGTGTGTGTGTGTGTGTGTGTGTGTGTGTGTGTGTGTGTGTGTGTGTGTGTGTGTGTGTGTGTGTGTGTGTGTGTGTGTGTGTGTGTGTGTGTGTGTGTGTGGAGCTTGAAAAGGGAAAAGGGCAGTGGCAGCGAGCTGGGGGAGGGAGGGAGGGAGAGAGGAAGAGATCAGGTCGGTCGTGGGTGGAGAGCATTGGCTGGTGGTACCACAGGGGGGGGGAGGGGCTTGCTTTGCTGAGGCGCTGAAGACCTGACTGATCAATATATCGTCGCCACGGGGGGCGACGCGTCATCGGTCCTGGTCACAGGAACGTGCGGCACAGCCGATTGGCCATCCTTGGACTTTTTGCCTCCGTCGTTTCTGCACACGCGTTCCCGCGCTCGCACTGCAAGCATGACTTCAATGCTGCGTGCCAACGAAAAGGCCTTTGGCGACACCCTGGCCGAGATTAACAGCCTTGTCAACGAGATCAAGGATCTCGATGGCGGTAAGCCGTTCGTCGCTGGACATCAACAGGTCCTTGCCCTCTTTCCCTGCCCAGCCCCAATGAAGCTCATGGGTCCAGCAATAAAGTCTCATTCGAGTCCGTCCATTTAGATGAGAAAAAGGCTCGCGTTCGCACAGCCGAGGAAAAGGTCGACAACGCCCACGAACTCGTATGTATCTCCTCCGATGCCCGAGGCCATCCGACCGCACGGCCTAACCTGCTCAAGCTGAAATGACTTTTTAGGTGGAGCAGCTTGAACTCGACGTACTTGACGTGCCCATCTCTGAGCGCAAGCCTATCCAGCATCGCATCAAAGCCTACAATGATGAGTTGACAACGGCCGAGAAGAACTTGGTTCGTGGCCCTCCTCCCCCGGCGGCCAGCCGAGTGCTAGCTCTCCTCACGCACCCTTCTCCGCAACAGAAACGAGCGGCCGTATCCATGGCAGGAAGCCAGAACGCACGCGACGAACTCTTTGGCTATGACGGCTCTTCAGAAAACGCGGTGCGTCTCCGAGCCCTGTTTCAACTTGTCCGTTTTATGGCATCGCAGGCAGACTCTCCTCATCGTGATCGCGCCCGCCCACGCCGCGCTGCCTTGTGTGACTGCTCTTTATAGCGGCAAGCACTGGTATCCAACACGGAGCGTTTGGACCGCACGTCCCAGCGACTGCAAGATGGCCACCGTGTTGCCCTTGAAACGCAAGAAGTAGCTGTTAGCATCATGGATAACCTTCACGAGCAGCGCGAGACCATTGAGCGCTCCCGCGGCCGGGTAAGTTCATCATTTGTCCCTGTACCTCCCTGCTTTGCGCCGATGCATCAGTTGGCTCCGTTGCTGACCTTGTCTGGCCTGCCTTTTTGGGTTTTTTTTCCCAAGGTTCAAAATGTGGATAGTGAGCTTAGCTTCTCCAACCGCGTGTTGAATGGCATGATTGCCCGGTACGTCCTGCAGCCGTGTTTTTTTGCTGCGCGATGCAAATTTTTTTTTTTTTTGAACGCATAACGACAGGCAGATTTTCTCATGGCTGAACCACGCGCGCGCGCGTCGTGCGTGCGTTGTCTCCTCTCGCAGAGCGAAACGCAACAAGGTGGTGGCTTTCCTCATCATCACCATTGCCCTGGCTCTCATCATCGTCATCATCTATTTGATTGCCACCAAACATTAGTTGTTGACATAAGTGTACTCTTTTATCTCGCCTTGGCCTTGACCCCGCAGCACTTGCGCTGCGCGTGGCATCGTTATCGTGGGACGCTGGTATTTAGCCTTCCTGTCTGTTTAGAATATGCTTTTTGAGCTGTAACACCTGTTGGAGGGAGCTCACGTTGTGTCAAATACCTCATTTGTCCGAGAAGCTGAGGCTCTGTCCGTCTTATTGAGTCAATTAAAAAAAAAAGTCTCTTAATCGGGAGCAGCGATTCGCTGCTCTACACGCCGTTGATGCTCACACATACCAAGAGTGTTTGCACGTCTCACAATCAGCCTCTGAAATTGGACTGGTTGGCCAATGAAACAACCAGACACGCGGAAAAATAAAAAGTAAGGATTGTCCGAAAAGGCGGACACTCGTGTTTCAAACGTCCAGGTCACTGGCATCGGGTGATTGCACGCGAATGGTTTGGATTCGCTCTTCACCATCCGGAACCGAGCGCTGCTTCATTAGCTTAGGTCGCGATGCAGACAGGCTGTCGGCTATGAATGGTTGTGAATGATACTGCAAGTGAGGGGCTGGACGCAAAATGACATTCAACATCTGCGTGACCAGCAAAGAACGTACCCAAGCCGCCCAGCAGGTTGGACGAGCTGGCTGGTCGCACTGCTTCGTCCTCGTGAGCTTGGTGAGCAGCCCCCTAATGATAGATTGTCAAGAGAAGAAAGTTATTGCTGAGTGAGGACCCGCGGCCATACCCGGTCGGCGGATTCGGAACCCACCGTCTCTGTCGAATGCCGGCGAACTCGGTTGCTTGGACTCGGCGCGGCCGCGGGCGTGGGTGTGGGTGTGGGTGCCAAGCGTCTGTGCGCCAAATAGCTGCAGGGGAATTGTCCTAGACAACCCGAGATGGACCAAACGATGTTTGTTATTGATATCAGACATGGCGGGTGATGGCATGTGACCGGCCACTCCTCTCTCGGTCATGCATCCAATGCCCAGGCTCACACACTTTCAAACGAGGAAACGTACCGCGCTTGCCCGTCCGAGCATTGGTGCCGATCGCTAGCAACGAGTCGCTTGGAAACTCGAGATCCTCAATGACATCACCGGGAATCATTTCAAAATCCCGACGTTTATCCACGAAAAAGATCATAGCACGGTACTCGAGCTGAATCTGCTTTGCAGCTGCCTGGTCGTGCGCTTCCTTGTTCTATACGTCAGGCACCAGAACAGCGCAAGTAAGCAGGTAGATATGTCCTTGACAACATAGGGCAAAAACATTGGTTGTTTTTTGCATCTTGAAAAAACACCACATCGACGATGCAGCCATACCCGACTCTTTGTGCGGCCCACACTGCGCTTGCGGTTGACAGCCTAGAGGGTGCCCCGTGCACATGTGCGTTACGACGCCATTTAGCTTGTTGAGGCTTCACTGGGCGCAACACCGCCGAATGCCCAACCAGTGGATCATACCTCAGAAGCCAGGCGTTGTCGCGCGACGTGCGTAGTCAAGCCCCCAGCCAGATCCTGTTCAGGTCAAAACAAAATGCAAGACATGATGCTTGGAAGCGGTCAACCGTGTCCAGTCAAGTGTCATTTCTGTGTTTGCCCTTACCGCTGCTTGCACATGCTCCGTGTTCAGTAGGCGATCATCAAAGCTCTTGGACGCTGCCGAGTCCTTTGTTGCCGCCAAGCGCGGGCGCGGGCGCGATTGTGCGCCATGGTGCGAGCGACGGGCTGAACGCAGTGACTATACATACGCCCACAGGCCAGACAACACAAAACACCATTAATCTTCAGACAAGCGCAAGCAAACTGCATGAAACGGCAGTCACACACCTTTTGAGCATGGCGGAAAGACCGGTCTCGAGATCGCTCTCGCGGTCCATGCAGCTGTGACCATGGATATCCATGGGCAAAGCGGGTGCAACGGGTGTGAGTTGATTTTGGGCCGTTGGCATCAAGGCCAGGCTACTTGGTCAGAGCAATAGGGTAATCCCAACAGACCTTCTCGGCCAAATCTGCAAAGTCAACGTCGCCCACCGCCACGGCAAAAGTCGTTTCCACCAACGACAACACCTCATCACCCTCACACTCGCGTACCAGCCTAAATCAGATGGCGTGCCGTCAAGGCATGTTTGACATTGGCGGCCCTGTTCAAAGTAGCAAATGTCGCCCAAGAGCATGCGCACTACGCACCGAGCCAGAAGATTGACAATGTCACGATGGTGACCCACAAAGTCCTGAACCTCCACCTCACTGGCATCGGCGGAGAGCTCAAACTCGTGCTCACTGCCGCTAATGCTAGCTGCATCATCACCCTCGGCATCACCAGCTTGCTTGCCCATTTGCTGCACATCATCCGCATCGCTGCTGCTATCGCTGTCGGTTTCGCTCTCGACAATGGCGTGCATGGTGGATGGTGGTTGATCGACCACTGATTTGAAGTGCTGTTGTACCGCAGCTTCGTTCAGATCGGAAAACGTCACATTGGACTTGGCGCGGTGTGGTGTGGTGCCATCGTTGATCGAGTCGATGCATATGGACGGGTTAAGCGCCATGGATATCTTGCGCCGCGACGTCTGTGTACCCCCAGTGCATCAGCCAACAACGCGGCAGAGGAGGGAAATGACACAAGTTCGTGAGCTAGATTGCGCCCACTCATGCAGACTTCAGCAGTAGCAAGAGCTCACCTCATCTGAATATTGACTGATAGCTGAAGTGGCCATGCGAGGCACGCCGGTCGTGTCAAAGGGCCCAAAGCTTGACTCCTCGGCCTCGGAAGAATCAGTGTGACTCGTCTATTGGATACAGCATAGCATTCGTGTTGCGATCAGAGCTCGGGGTTTCGTGCTCACACAAGGCTGGTGGGGGCAATGACGCACAAAACGCCACTTGGTGCCCGTGAATGACTCGTCGAACATAATGCCAAAGATCTTGGGCCCGAACACAGAAGCAAGAGTCAAAATGCATGTCACCCAGATGGCACAGATCTAAAGTCAGCGAGGTGCCCCCGTAAGTTCATAAAGTTGCACTGTGACACATCTGCTGCCACGAAGCATGGGTCCAGCAAGCGCATACATTGAAGTACTGCCGAGCCAAGCCCACCATTCCCAGGGTCAGAGCTACCGCCGGCACAATGACCTAGCACGGAAAGGCAGATGCAGGGGGAGGATAAACACAAGAAACCAACATAAAATATACTCCAAGGGGCGCGGTGGTTGGTACGGCTGAAAAGGCATGATGACTCTGTTTGCACACACGCAGGGCAGGGCGTACGCCGGAGAAGAGCAGCATGACGATGACAAAACTGCTCTCAGAGAATTGGTCCGTACGAATCGTGCGAGTTTTGAACGCCAGCGAGAATCCTGCGCAAATGAAAAGCAAGGGGAGGATCAACCCTGGCCAAGACTTTGCAAAGACGCCTTGATTATGGACAAGCAAGCTTGCGATGTCGCAACTCGTCTCACCAGCTCCGAGGTAAACGAGGTTGATGAGAAGGGTAACAATCTTGACTTCAATGCCGTCTTGGCACAGGAGGCGCCGCTTGCCAAACTCATCGGCCTCGACGTCATCGATTTGTGTACCTACACAAACGCAGAGGGCCTCGAAGGAGTGAATGGGAAAGCCATCACCACCAAGCACGCGCTGAGATGCCTCTCCGCCACATTGCGCGCATACACACCAATGGGATAGATTAGAGCAAAGAGACCAATGATGCACGCTTCGAAGAAAATGGCTAAAAGGGCGCGGCTGATCATGCGACCCTCGCTCAAAGATCGCTAAGCATCCGGGGCAAAAAACAAACAAGCAAGCCGAGACAAGATGAGCCTGTTAACCACCATGATGGGGCAGTCAACTTACGGGCAATGCCCGGAAGTTGCTTCTTTCAGCGAGTGGGCTACAATAACGTAAGAGCACCTTGTCGACGTCGAAAGTGAAGAAAAAAATCTTGTAAATGCGCCACGTTTTGACCAACAAATTTGCCATGATAAAGGCAAAATAAATGCCTTCCATAAAGTGAAAGAGTGTGCACTTGGAACGCGAGGGCTCGCCAATCAGAGCCCAAACGGCCGAGAGCCCGATGAGAATGCCAAAAAGAATCAGCAAACAAAATGTAAGGCTGGTGCCGCGCACGATGGGATGTGCGCGATGACGGATGAGGTATAGGCCACAAGCCACGGCCATGGCTTGGCCCAGCGCAGACATGACTTCCAGCAGGATAGCCACTCCGTCATCGTAGTCGAGGTAAACCGGGATCTGCTTGCAGTCGGGGGCCACCCGCCCCTCGAGGCAGCCGCACGTGGCAGCCGTTGTAGTGCAAGTGGAAAAGTCGGTGCGACCTTGACCGCGATTAGTTGCAACGATACACTCGGTACTTCCATTGCCCAAGGTGTACTCGCCAGGAAACCCTGTGGTCACGTTTGGAGCCTGCGGGGGAGAGGGGGGCACAAAAGGGGCAGATGCAGTTGAATGAAGCGACGACTGCATAAGCGCGGGATCTCACGCCACATCAGAAAGGTTTGAGCGGGTGCACGGTGGTTGATAAAATCCTACCCTGCAAGCAGTGCAAGATTGTTGGCCAATCTCTGCCGCAAAAGATCCAGGTGCACAGGCAACACAATCCGTGGCGCCAGGCTGCGGCTGTGCCGAGCCCGGGGGACAAGGTTGGCAGGTTGCCTGACTCTCGTTCCACTGTGAAAGGGTTGTTTAAGTGAGAAAAAGGAAAGAAGCTCGCTCATTTGGCAGTGTGGGTTGATCTCGCGAAGCGCACCTGCATGGTACCGGCAGCGCAGGGCGTGCAGGACGATTGGCCTTCGAGAGGCTGGCTGGTACCAACAGGGCATGGGCTGCACGCGTCTGCACCCTCAATACTATAGGTACCTGGGCGACAAGGCATGCACATGGTGGCTCCCGGCGCTGGTGCAAACGTGCCTAAGTGCCCCATCCAAAGCACCCATACGGAGGTATCTCTGAGAACGAAGTACGCTGATGGAGTTTCCACGAGAAGAAAGACTCTTCGAGAGCGTGGCGCAGGGCAAGGAGCACTCACCAGCGGGACAACGACTGCAGGACAGGCTGGTCCGATTGCTGGCATAGTGACCAACAGGACATGGCGAGCATTGGTTGGACAATTCACCCTCGGCTCGAGCCAATCCAGCCAAGCAATGCGTGCAAGTGGTCTGTGGCAATTGGTCGGGCCCGACATTGACGCCACACGAGAGAATGCTTGACTGCGTTACGTTTGATGCCTGAAAACCACCTGGACAAAGCGTGGCGGTTGTGTAGCTGAGCCCAAAAGTTTCCAACACGGGTCTGGATGCAGTCAAAACCACGTTGAGCGACTATCCCAGGGCCAAAAGGGTCGGGCAGGCGGAGCGGGGAGCATGCGAGGATAAGCAGATGGGAAGGATACAGTAAGAAGGAACACGTCTTGCGCTAGGATTTAGCTCAGAGGGCCTTGTATCCGGACATACGAGCAGGCGACATCTCTTGAGAGCCATTTTCACGCACGCAAACGCACCGACATTAAGAAGCCCTGCGGTGTAGCGCAGATGCTGCGCTGGCGAACGAGATCGTTGATGGAAAAGACACCAGTCGCCGTGACGGCGGCGCCGTGCGTAGTATCTAGCCGACAGGCAAATCGATGAATTTCAACGATTCAAGAGGACATGACGCGCGATTGACCCGAGGCACGCGGACACGGGTGAAATGCTGGCCGCTTTGGTGGGGCTGCTCCGAAGCAGGTCACCAACCGGCTGCTTCAATGCGGAGCACATCTGTGTCTGCCAAGGGCCCTCCGCTAAGAACCAGACGGATAACTTTGGTTTCGGGTGGGGGAGCAAGCATCCAGGTCATGACGGCATGGCTTGCGTTGGTGTCAAGGAGGCAGGCTGCATCTGCACCGCTCAGGTTGGCCTGGGGAGTTGTCACAGTCATGTTGGACATGCATTCGCTATGCTCGACATTGCGGCGGCTGCGAGATGGGTGCCACCAGTTGGCGCCATCCTGTGCAGCCGTCAATCCTGGCATGAGAAGCACGGTCAAGCACGGAAGTAGCAGCAGAAGAAATAAACGGGGGTGCCGGTGATGCCTCAATGGCAATCGGGCCATCCCCCTGCCCGCAAAGCCCATGCTTGGCCGAAAGCGTGCATCCAACGGCCAATCAATACTAGGCTCGATCACGAGAGGACTGAGATGATAATCGGTGTGCCGCGTCTTGCGCCCGGAGGGTCTCAGACTCGCGACCAGCCTTGAAATTGGGCCACGATGGGTGAGGTGATCCCACAAGTCTGGCCTGGCAGCAAATGAAGTGCCAGACATCCGTTTGCGGATGGCACGATCCGATGGAGCAGAGCACCGTGACCAGCTCAGCCAACCGCAAGGCGAAGCAGCGTCACCGAGCAGAAGAGTCTCGTGCCAACGCGAGTCACGAGAAAGCCGTCAGCCCTGCCGCGCCAGGACAGTCAGGGAGCTCACACGCCTGATGCACCGGCTCTTGAATAGGGGGGCAGCTCAGCTCGTGTTGTCGGAGAGGAGAGGCGAGCAGAGTGAGTCAGGGGCGTGTTCCTGGTCGACAAGGACCAAACTGACTGTTAACTGCATTATCTTTGATTTTGGCTACACAAACTTTGGTGTGTTTGCATGGTTCTAACGTAGTGCATAACATCTTCTCAAAAGTCCTCTGCAATTTCTCTCTTTCGGTTTTTGTCACTTTTTCTTTTCTCTCTCTCTCTCTTCATTTCTCTCTTTCTCAAACCGACCAATTCATCGTCTCTCTCTCTCTCTCTTCCTCAAGCTCTCAAGCTCTCTCTCTCTCTCTCACAAGCTCTCTCTCTCTCTCTTCCTCAAGCTCTCAAGCTCTCTCAAGCTCTCTCTCACTCAAGCTCTCTCAAGCTCATCTCTCATCTCTCATCTCTCATCTCTCATCTCTCTGGTGTCTTTCTCGCATTTTTTTTTTCTCACCCAGCCCAACGACCTCGTTTTTTTTTTGAGCCTTGACCTCTTTTAGCTCTCTTGTTCGGGAGGGGGCGGGGAGTGGGAGCGGGTTGAGACCGGCTTCAACTTGACGTTACATGGTCCTTAGGCCCCTGTGGGTGCTTTGCATCGTTTCTTACACTGACGGTTCGTCAACGCCACCAAACCCTTGGCCACGTGCAATGACTGGTCCACTTGCGTCTGATACACCGCACTCCATGTACCTGGTGCAGGCTTGACCTGGGGGTTTTTGACACGGTTCAATGCGCCAAGATGAGTCAAGAAACACCAGCGCATGACCTCGACTATGTGAAGCACCATGTCCACAAGCTCAAGGACAAGGCACGCCCTGGTAAGTGCACGGCACGCTCCACCAAACTTGCCCATCCTTCGGACGCGCACGCCACACCTGGTGCCTGACACGCCCCTGATCCGCTTCCTGTCAAAGAACTGAAGAAAAAGGGTTGGAGCTGTTACGGCTATGCTGCCAAGCCTGCTTTGTGGAACGGCCATGATGTTCAGGATCACCCCAGTATCGAGCGCGTCGACTACCAAACCACGTCCCCCGTACGTAGCACCAGCCTGCGGCGAGTGCCATCACCCTTTTGCTTTTTGCCCCTGCATTCCCTGGCTGGCTCTTTTCGCATTTTGTTTGAAACGTCGGACCTGTTGTTGATTTTTTTTCAACAGGCCGAGTTTATCGAAAAATACGAGGCCCCGTCCCGACCCTGTGTCATTGTCAATGCCATGAACGACTGGCCTGCCATGAAGGCTTGGACCATTCAGGTGCGCCCTCTGCCAGGTTGCCCACATTGCCTTTGCCTTTGCTCGCTGTCATTCATCATCCAGGACGGTCTCTCATCGGCCGCCAACCTCTGCCCCCGTGCAGCGGCTCAGCGAGCGTTTTGCTCGTCAAAAATTCAAATGCGGCGAGGTCAGTCGATCACATTCACCCTTCACCCCACCCTTCACCTTTCCCAGATTTTTGGCCAGCTCGTCTTCAATTTATCGAGGCCTTGCTGGTGCCTCAGGACGATGACGGCTATCCCGTCAAGATTCGCATGGAGTATTTCAAACTTTACCAAGAGGTGATGCCGGGCCTCTTCCTCTGTCTAGTGCAGATCCCCGCGGCCTCGGCTCGTCCACTGACCATGGTATTGTTTGTCACAGTACAACGAAGACGATAGCCCGCTGTACATCTTTGACGGCACGTTTGGTGACAAGGACGGCAAGAAGACCCTTCTTGACGACTACAAGGTTGCTCATCGCTGAAGCCCGTTCATCTCTCTTGTTTCCAGACTTCCAATAAGTATCGAGCTATCCCGTGTGCTCTCACATGATCGTGCACGAATATAGATTCCCAAGTACTTTACGGATGATTTGTTTCAGTACGGAGGCGAGGAGCGACGCCCGCCTTACCGGTTTGTGGCTTTGTCTGTGACTTGACCAGGCACATATCTGAATGGCTTCTTGACCTTGAGCGAATGTGCCGAATGAACAGTTGGATCGTGATTGGCCCGCAACGCTCGGGCACTGGGATTCACATTGATCCTTTGGGCACAAGCGCCTGGAACGCTCTCATCTCCGGTGAAAAACGGTCCGTGACAAGCTGTTGCCGGCCGGCCTTTGCTTGCATGCAGCAACACTCTCCCCTGAGACCCGTCCCACTCATCCCTATGTTCTATGTTGGTACTTCTTGCTCTCGTTCAAAATCAGGTGGTGCCTGTTTCCCCCAGACACACCCAAGGAATGTCTCAAGGTGCCCCGCAGCAAAGGGGATTCCGAGGCCGTCAGCTGGTACGTCTTTCCCATGATGTGGCGCTTGCATCAAACACCAAGGGCGCCGGCTACGCTGGATCATTGGAACGCAGAGTGGCCTGATAGCCCTCACTTGCTGCTGTTGGGTGCAATGGCGCACGTTACGTCTGAACGCTCCACGACCTGGCCCCTGTTAGGTTTTCGAACATGATTCCGGTGGTACGCCGCCCTGACTGGGCCTTTAACAAGCCCATCGAGTTTATTCAACGACCCGGCGAGATTGTCTTTGTCCCTGGAGGTTGGCACCACGTGGTGATCAATATCACGGACACTGTCGCGGTCACTCAAAACTTTGTCAGGTCTGTTCACTTTGATTTCAGCCTTTTCGCATCATCGGCCGAGAACCAACATTGTTGAGCGCTCACAGCAGTTTTTTCCTTGCCTCTGGGTGCTACGCAGTGACACAAATTTTGCCATCGTATATCGCCGAACTGTGCGCGGACGGCCCAAACTTTCGCGCAAGTGGCTTGCTGCCTTGCGGGTAAGTATTCGACCAGGTTTTTTTTTTTCTTATGTCTATTCTCCGGTACAAAAGTGTCTGCTTGGCTGCTGATTCTGGATTGGTCTGCTTGATAATAGTCTGTGCGTCCCGAGTTGGCCGCTCAAGCTGATGCCTTGGACCTGGACCGCGACGACGGCCTGCCCATGTCAAGCTCCAGTGACGACTCGAGCAGCAGCAGCAGCTCCTCGTACGTGCCATGCGCCCATGCGCGTTTTGGTTTTGCTTTTCTCTTCCTCCTCGCGCTCTGCTCTTCTTTTAATGCCCCGTGGTTTGGGTGGTTTTGGTGCTTGACGCTGTTTGCAGAGACGATGAGGTAGTGGTTGAATCTGCGACAGGCAAGAAGAAGAAGAAAACCAAGTCACGCTCGCAAAAACGTACCAAGCTTTGCCAGGTGTGTCATTGACTGTGTGCGCATGGGAAAGAGAGGAAGCCATGTCCCGCGTGTGCTCGGGGGCCACGGAGGGCCGGTTTCTCGACTTCGCCGTGGTCCCGCGTGCCCATCACCGTGTGGTCGTGCTGCCATTATTGGTTTCCCCACACTCTAGCCCTCAACGTTATCATTGAGGTGCCGCTCACGCTGAGACCCGCGCATCGTCCTTCGTCTTTGGCCAAAAGTGTGAGGAATGCCTCCGCAAGTGTAAAATTTGCGCAGAATATCTGAAGCGCGGTGAAAAACCCCCAGCCCATTAGGCCCAATAGGCTTGATTCTTCGTTCTTTCCCAGCATGCCATTGAAATCCCACTGTCAAAGTGTTGGCTCTCAAGGCGTGTGCTTTCTGATTTCGAATCCTGAACTCCGGGCTCTGTGGACACCTGGCGCCGCTCTTTTGATCATGACTGGAAAACCGAAAATGAAATAATGATGATGGCACGTCGTTTTGTTTGCTCAATCTGCTAGCACAACACTTTGGCTGGTTCCTGATTTGATGATGGTTTGTTTGTTTGTTATTTTGTTGTCTCGTCTTGTAGTTTGTGGGTTTATAATTGTTTTTTTTTTTTTCTTCAGTGGTTGCTAGTATGGTGCCATGACTGATTCGCTTACTTCAAGCCTCAGGCCCGGCTGGCAGAAGCTGTGCTACTGTTCAACGGTGGAATGACCACATGCTCAGCCTCTTCCATCATACCCTGCCAAACATGACCGGTGAACTCAAGCAGTTGCCAAAGGGAAGAAGAGGGGGGGGGAAAGAAGCAACAAAGAGCAAGGACGGAGTACCTTGAGCCGATCATGAATAGCCCGCATGAGCTTGCGAAGATCCATGAGAAGAGCGGGCCGGTCTGTGCGCTGGCGCACACGAAAAAGGCTCAAAAATTGCATGACGTTGCCATTGAGGAGGCGCAAGGCCGTGATGTAGCTATCCTTATCGCGCTTGTTGTAGTAGAGTTGGTACCTGCCGCGTGTCCCGAAGATGAATATGGCGCAGACCAGCCACTTGGGCGCGCCGACGCCACGTCCATGATGATGCATGTTGAACATACCTGCGCGGCTGACCCTGAACGAGCTCCTTGCTCAGATCACAAATGCTGGAGCGCGATCCCAGGTAGGTGATTGGGTGACGCATGGGAATGTTCATGTACTTGCTCAAGAGCGTCAGCACATGGCACACATAACCTGTGGCAGTTGCGGTATGAGACAGAGTCAACACAGGCCACGTATTCGAGATACGCGGCACAGCCAGGCGGAAGCAGTGAAGAGCTGCGGTTGTGAGAAACGCACCCACGCCTGCTGCGCTGTCTGTGACATCAGCAAAAGCTGAGGAGGGTGCCGCATCCAGGACTTCCGCATTGAGAATGGAGCAACTGCGCGCATCCGTCTATGCCACCCGATACCATGAGGCGAGTCTTTTGTCATTTGCACACAGATGAACAGGGTGGGTGCCCGTCCCATGAGATTGCAAACCTGTCGAATGATGTAGATGGCATGGACCTGAAGGATCATGCTCAGTTGTCGCTGTTCAATCTGTCGAGACACCTTTCGAACGCAAGGGGCGACTCAAAAGTTAATGGTGGCATCCCATGTCGATGTATAGTAATTGCACGGCACGCCAAGGACGTATGAGGGTTGATAGGATACGCCTCGCTCGAGCATACCTCTTTGATCTGTTGCCGTAAGCTGCGGGCACTGTCATTAACAATGGCCCAGCTTGATGTGGCAGTATCTGTGTCGGTACGCAGATCTGCCAGCCGTTCATCTGCCGACGCGTGGCATTTCATCAGTCGTACTGGACAGTGCCGTTGGGTCTCAACAAGTCAGGGGAGAGCAAGGAAGCGCCGCAGAGGGGTGGGCACATACGGAGAGAGCTGGCTTGCTTCTCAGCCGCGTCCAGGTCGACGGCGGTCTTTTGGTTGCGAGCGTGAGCCTCTTGGACACGTTGCTTCAAGGACGCTTGGCGGGCCCGCCCGACAGCGATCAGATTCAAAAGCTGTCGCTTTCTCTCGAGCGAGCCGAGCTGCTGCCGACTCCGATCATGAAACACGCGGACTGCCGCCACATCCTGTACAATGCATGCGCATGAGAATTGCATCCGGCGGCTGTTACAGGCCAAGAAGCAGGCAAAATTGAACAGGTGCACCCACATGCACGACTGAGTGGTAAGTGTCGAGGAGACGTCGAAAGGTATCATAGTGGTAGGCAGACGCGACCTCGCTGCCCGGCACTCGCACAAATTCCTTTGCAGAGTAGCCGCTCGGATCTTGATCCTGACGATCCATCCCCGTGCATTTAACCAAACCAACCCCCCAACCCCCCACAAAAAAAAAAAAAAAAAAAAAAAAAAATGAGAAACAGCTGCAGCGCAAGGCAATCGCGGGCACTGCCCCGCATCATACCTCGGGCGCTGTTTGATTGAGGTTGCCATACCAAGCGCCGGCTAAGCGGCACAGGACAATGTTGCTCCCGGCACCTGGAATAGCCGGCTCAGTCTGAAGGAGCAGCAGCATGAATGAGCTACCTGGTGCACGCCATAGTGCTGAAGAATTGCGAGTGTACACCAGTGACGGTAGCTAGCGCCGCAGACGGGGCCGTACGGTCTTCAGGAGAAAACGGACCTGCACCGAGGCGAAATTGAGCATACGCAGGGCAATGCGAAAACGGGCCAACAGACGATCTGGCGTGCGCTGTTGCTTTTGAGCGCGAGGTCCTTGCACGCGAGCCATGATGGAGGGTCGCCGTTGCAGTCCACGCGTGGAGCGGCTCGACGCGGTGCCGGTGGCAGTGCTGGTAGCACTGGGATCGGTATTGCGCGCTTGAGTAAAGAGTTGAATGATGGCCACCTCATCTGCCAAAGCCAACTTGGTAGCGGTTGCCATCATGCCCTGAACCTGAGCAGACGCCATGTCACGATCGCGCCACTCGGGATTCTGTAAGCGGTGTCAGCGAACCAAGCAGGCAGGTCAGAATGAGCAGAGGTGCAATGTCCATGGATATATTGAGAGGACCTAGCTTCCGACAGCAGCCACACCAAACGTACGCGACAGGCAGGCACGAGCTCACTGCGGTACACTGCGGATACAAAGGGGCAAGAAAAGCATCGAGTCAGACTCAAAGAGAAGGAAAAAAAAAACGAGCTCGTGTGTGGGAAGCGCAGCACGCATGGTTCATAATGAACAATTTGGTTATCCACACAGTTGAGCCAGGAAGAGCACGGCCAAAGCCAATGCTCCACTCGATTGGGGGAGCGATCAAGCGACAAGTGATAAAACCGTACCCTCGCGGCCAGAGCTCGAGGACAGGGTGTAGTAGAACCAGGTATTGTTCAAATCGAGGTCCAAGGGAAGGGTCAGATTTCGAAAGGCCACCGAGGTCACATGACGAAGCCGACGCTGCGATCAAGGAGGAGCAAATCATTTGACACGCCCGCATCAGATTTGAGCGTCACTTTCGAATCTTGTGTGTGTTTTTCTGTAGCTTCATCAGGGGGGCCAGTGCCCCAATCCATATGCTCTGGGTATAGACGCACCTGCATTGAGCGCAACGTCAGGGTTACGTTGCCCTCTGAGAGCTGCGCCATGGCGCTGGAAAAAAAGAGGCTCCTTATTCAATGTCAAATAACGTTCCGAACCCTGGCATGGTTCATAGCCAAGCCTTTGTGAGCTTGACCCGTGTCAGCTGCAGCCGTTCGCGTGAGGACTGACTCTCCAAAACCAGCACACACCTCTCGTGCGCAACCGTTGAAGAAGAGTGTCTGCCACTAGCCTCAGCTCAAAATGGCACCTTGTGTTATAATCATCAGCACCAGGCTCGACCACAGCCTGGCAGTCAATCGCTGAACACCACTCGGCTGCCGTTCGCGCCGCTCTCACTCTCACACACTCGAAAAAAAAAAAAAAAAAAATCTTAAGGTCATGTGTCTGTAGAACGCAGTGACCATAACCGTCGAGAAGCTGGAGAAAATTGTCATCTAATTGGAGATGATGCAGAATAAATATCGGTAGTTGCAGATTTATTGACGTCAACTGCATGAGTTTGTGTCTCTAGAAGCTCGGTTATCAACGTCTGCTCGCAAAGACAACAAACAAGCAAACAAGACGATGGCGGCTTCCGGCTCGACTGTGGCCGTGTCAGTGGCCGGACGATTGCAGCGGTGTAGCACCAAGGGATCGGAGCAGTGGGCTCGCATTACGGCCTTGGTATGTGTATGGGTCATTGGGGGCGACACAAGGAGTCTGCTAGTTCGCCCGAGAACCTCACGCTCAGATGGGGTGTAGGCGAATCGTGAGGGCGTGCTCAACCTGGGCCAAGGCCGGCCGGATGGTGGCGGTAGCCAAAGGGCGCGAGATGCACTGCTTGACGTGCTGCAACACAGCTCAGCAGAGGATTTAGGCAATGCCAATCAGTACAGTCCCGTCATTGGTGCGTCCGTGTGCACTTCCCATTGAGCAGACAGTGACTGCGAACCGAATTTCATGGCAATCGGTTGGCTTACCTTGAACTTGCAATACTCGTCGACGTCTCTCAGGCCTGCCCCGCTTACGTCAGGCCGTGGGGCGTTGGACGGCGGTCGCCCAGCATCTTGAATACAACCCAGAATCGGAGATATGCATTACCACCTCGGGCACGGAAGCCCTCTACTGTGCGACTCAGGTACCCCACTCCCCGTCGGCCTCAACAATTCTGCGACTGCATCTGCGTCGGCCGCTGGCCGGCCACAAAGCTACAAGCCATGCCTTGCCCCTCCTTATGCCTGCTGGCGCACTGTTGATGCAAGCCTAGGCGCTGATAAACCCTGGTGACCACGTCATCATCTTCCAGCCCTTCTTCCCGTGGTACCTGCCACATCTGCAGCTGGCTGAAGCCAACGTTGAGGTTGGCGAGTCGAGTCCTCGCCTCAATCACCGGACATGGGACTTCAGATTGTTGACTGACATGCCCCCGCCTCGGCCAGGTGCTCACCTTGGAGCCCCCAGACTTTGCCCTACCCCTGGACCGACTCAAGGCTGCCATGACACCAGACACCAAGGCCATTGTCATCAACACTCCTCACAACCCGACAGGACGCGCCCTCACCGAAGCAGAAGGCGCCACGGTGGCCCAGCTCTGCCGCGATAACGATTGTCTCCTGATTACCGACGAGGTGGGATGCGCTTGCACCTTACAGCCTCAACTGGCCTACCATTTACACTACCTCACTTCGTCCGACTGGGATCGACCTTTGAACGCATGAGCAGGTGTATGCCCACCTGTTGACTGAACGGCCCCACATTAGCCTTGCAGCCTTGCCAGGTCTGCAATTGGTGGGTTGGGCTTCCCGGCTGCACAGCGCGCGCTTACTCAGGGGGACCCTGCCCCGACCTTTTTGCACGTTCAGGCATGCGCGAGAGAACTCTGGTTGTGGGCTCGGCCAGCAAGCTATTGGCCCTGACAGGCTGGCGAGTCGCTTGGGTGCTGGGTCCGGCAGTACGTTCCTGCTCGCAGCCTGTCATAACACTGCTTCTTTTTAGAAACAAGCTCATCGTTGAGCGGCCTCCATGCCGGTGATGCCCAAACATGTGCTAGGCCATGGTCAAGGCGATTGGCGGCATGCACGCATACACCACGTACGCTGCACCAACTCCACTGCAGCTTGCGGTGGCTGCTGCCATTGAAAGTGCGTGTGATGACCAGACCGACTTGAAAACAGAAGCCGCGCTCTACGACGCCAACTATCAAGCCTTGCGCGCTGCGTTGGAACGGGCGCTCAAAGTACAGGTGCATCCTCGGGATGGCGGTTACTTTTTGGTTGCGCAGATTCCCGATGCCGCGCGTGGCGTCGGCTTTGACTACGCTGTATGGCTCGCCGACCACGTTGGGCTGGCATGTGTCCCGATGGGTGTATTTTATGGCCCAACCCCGCCCGCCTCTGCTGAACGGCTCTTCCGATTTACCATTTGTAAGTCGGCAGCCTACATCCAGTCGGCCGTGGCCAAACTTGATGCCTTTGCAGCCCAAGCATGAAGAGTTGTGTCCCGGTGGGATTGCAGACAAGTGAAGCACAGGTGTGACATCTTCCTTGTTCAGAGGTTGGCATGTGAAAAGTCAATTTTATTCAACTTTTTTTTTTTTTCCAAGTACTTCTTTTCTTGGGATTTCCATGGCTGCAAAAATGTGTGTTTGTATTGGGCAGTGGGTCGGTGGTACCTGTTTTTGCATACCCAAACTCAAGCAGGTACCACAAGGCTCGGCGCCGAGGTTACCATGCTAAGAAGGGTTTTGAAAGGCAAGTCTTTTACTTTACAAGTCATCATCATCGTCCTCCATGGCAGTGGGACCGCTGCTGGTCGTAGCCGAGGCGTTCGAAGTCGCAGCGTTGGCCGCGCCAGAGGTGGCGGCAGCGGACGCAGCGGCCAAGGCTGAGCCATCACCCTCATCAAACAGGAACTGTTGCTGATATTCCTTCAAGAAAGCCACAGAGCGCTCCTATTCATTCCAATGGGCAGTGTGTTCCTCGTGAGAAGAAGAGAGGAAAGGCAGGACATTGGGGCAACAAGCAGAGGATGGGGTACAAGACGATCCAAGCGGGCCAATGCGACGCAAAACGTACCAAATCCTGGAAAAGCGAGTATACTTGGCGCAGGTCGCTCTTCTCCACCTCGGTCCCCTACGCCAACATTGCTGTAAGTGCACACAGATGGCCAAGACACAAAGCTCGATTGGGGCCTACAGCGGTCGAGCGATGTATCGATGGCGCTGAACCTCACCTTGCGCTTGCGGCACACAAGATTTGCGGCAGTGATCAGTTGGATGGAGTAACGGAGAGAAGTTTGCTTAGCGATGCTGGTCAGGAGCGTGAGCGCTTCGTCGGTCATCTCTACGTCCTCTTCCTCGCATCGAATCTTGAGGATTTGTGTCAGCTCGTCCTGGCTGTACTCGGTTGTGGGCACAATCAGGGTACGATCCAGAAGATCAAGAGGGATGCCATGCGGACTCTTGTAATGAGTGCCACGGATGTTGGTGATGCCGCGGTTGGTGGCCATGATCAGGACGGGGGCCATCGTGTTTTCAAGAGCCCGATTGAGGAAGGCAAAGCACTCAATGTCCAACATGTGAACCTCATCAATAAAGAGAACGCCGGGCACAATGTCAGCTTTGCCCTCCTCACGCCACTCGGCAACCTTGACGTTGATCTGCTCGCGAACCTCGGGCTTGATCTCACCAGTGTCACCCGAGAAGAGAGCCAAAAAGCCTTGCGAGCGGCTGTTAATGACATCAATCTCATGTAGGCTGACGGTGTGCACGACCTCCTTTCGCTTCTGGATGTCGCCTTCGGGCGTTTGCACAAACTTTGTCTGAGGACCCATGGCGTCAAAGTCGCGCGCACGAGCAAAGGAGCGGCCGATAACCGTGACCTTCCCGGCGGCTTTGTCAATAGTGACCACGTCACCGGCCGCAACCTTTTGCTTGATCAGGCTATCAATCATCTTGCCGCCCAGGTCGTAGACGGTCTCCATCTCCGTGGTCTTAAGGGTCAGCTGGCCAACCTTTTGCCCCGAACCAGTGGCGGGGCGGTCAACCACCAGTTCTACCACCTCGCCCTCAATGAGCTCTGTCTCCTCCTTGATACGCACACCAATGCTGCGGCGAAAGGCCTGGGTGAGCGCCTCTGACTTGCTGAGCTCGTGAGAATAGAGCTCACTACCAGCCAGCATGGTAAAAGGCACGTCCTTATCCATAGCCTTGGAGATGGCTAGGGAGAGAGGAACATGTCGTGCAAGCACCAGTACAAAAGATGGTGAGGCATGGCACACACGAAAGCGGGGTTGTAAGCACCCTCGGATAGATTGAACGAATGCGGGGTGCAAGCACCCTCGCATACCTTGTGCGATGGCAGTCTTGCCCGTACCGGGCTGACCGGCCAGAAGAATGGCGCGACCAGCAATCTTGCCCTCCTTAATCATCTATGGGGCCCAAGTGGTGAGCGAGCAAGAACTCGACTGCCTTTTGATGCAAGTTGGCGCCCGGTATTGGGCCAGGAGTTCTTGAGCAGTGCGTACCTCAAGGATGACACCAGCAGCGCGGCGAGCCTGAGCCTGTCCGACCATGCCCTGTGACACCTTACGGGGCTCCAAAGAGTCATCCAGACCCAGACCACGAATGTGCGAATGGGCACCTGAGCAAACCCAAGCCAGCGAGTTCCCAACAACGCGACAGCCAATGAGGCAGAGCAACACCGCAATTTGATCAAAGAAAGGACAGCGAGCCCCGGAATCATAAAGCCTCGAACGACGCGTGTCTTTTCAATCCCAAAGCTTCCTGCCTGGCTCCCTTTTCTGGCGGGAACATTCTGCTTGACGGCTCAACGGTCACGGCGTACCAATGCGGTCGACCTTGGTCACATCGCGGACTTCTTGTACGGAAGACAAATCAGCCTAGCACAACAAGAAAAGCGCGGGTGATCAGGCGGGTAGAGCAATGACGGCACAAACGAGTTTATTGCCCCGCCCAAGTGAACGGAGACGGGCCGGTCCGGGAACGTGTCACTTGACAACCTCGAGCTGAGCCTCACACAGATGATACGCACCATGACGCTGGTCTGCTATTGATGTGTACAAATGGCAACTGAACTTGACAGAGAAGACCTCAATGCGACAAGAAGGAACAAGCTCACACGGCTCTCCCTTGCTCGCTCCAAACAAACTCGGGCCCGCTTCCTCTGCTCACGACTGCCAGTGACTCGTCTTTGCCTTGAACCGCCGTTTGCCTTGTCACGTTGAGCAGCCGCGAAAAAAAAATACGAGAGAACAAAGAAATCGGAGAACAAAAGAATTCACACACACACACACACACACAGAGTGATGCCGTCGCGAACCAGACTGGAAAGTTTGTATGAGATAAGCTCCGTTAACGCCTTTAAAACAATATACATTTAGGAATAGGTCGATTTGTCGACAATTCCGTTCCCGCCAAAGTGAGTGAGGGAGGTTGGAAATGGAAAGATCGACCAACGGCAGCGTCTTTGATGGCCCCGGAGGACTCAAGGCCTGATAGACCTCAGTACCAGCGATCATTTTGTACAAGCAAACTGACGCTCGCATGCATGCTCAGGGCCATGTCAAGTCACAGCTTCCAACCCCGGCCAAACTGCTCGCGGTGATAGTCGGAGCCGCTCGGTCATGGCGCGACGAGCAACATCGGTCCCCAAGCCGTTGATGGTGCTGCTGCTGCTCCATCTACTCGTGCAGCCGCTGTGGGCAGAGGCTGATATCTTGCAAGTTCGCGTGGCTCCAAGCCAGAACCAAGCCCCAATTGTAAGTGTGCCCCCCATTCCCTTTGCGACGACCTGTGCTTTTGTGCTTGCCACCCAACATGTGCATCGACCGTTCTGAACATGGCTGCTTACCAATGACAGACAGCGAGTTTGGAGCGTCCCACACGTATCTCGCTGGAGAAGCTGGCCCCACGTAGCTGCTACGAGCTGAGGCTGTCTTACTTGGGCTTTACCCCACTCAATGTGCGCTTCACGTGGGATTGCGAGGACGCACAAGCCCGACGACTGGGGCGCGAGCTGCTTGACTCGGAAAAGCTCATGTTTTGTACGGGCCCAGAGGGCCGTCCGCTCGCGAGCTGCGAGCACATCCTCCTGGACCTGACCTATGTGGGCTGGCCTGCCTCGGGCACCCCGCCCCGGTCAGTTCTCATTGATCTCATCCTCGAGCCAACCTACCTCTTCCTGACTGGGACCACCTGGATGGTGATTGGCATCCTGCTGTGTGGCCTCGCCCTGGTGTGGGGATGCCTTGTTCCGTGTCTGCTCAGTCAACGCTGGCCCTTGTGGAGATTCAAGGCCACCTAGCAAGGAGTTCACATCGGCTGCGCTGAGGGGAGCTGTGGTCTGTTCATACTTCACTTGACCACCTGTGTATTTTTGGCTGCTGGATGCGATGTTTTCGAAGCGCACCCATAAGCTCAATACAAGATTCGGACGTAATTGATGCAAACGTGAATACAACATGCTATTACGTCACGCAATTCAGAGGTCCAGGCTTGCTCTACTTCAGCACCAGCCTGATTCGGTCTGGATGGGCACGATCGGGAGATGCACACCATCGAGTCCTTCTCTCACGCTGCGTTTGATTCATGTTTCATGATCATCAATTGTGTCGTGAAAACAAGCTAAAACAAACAGGTATCGCAACAAGAACAACGGACGGCTCCATGAAGCGCAGATCAGCGCGGGCTCACTCCCGGGAGCGCAAAGAATGAAATAAAAAAGTAACATGGCGTAAGGAATGGCTGGCATGCCGGCGACAACCCACATTCACATGTAAAAAAAAAAAAAAAAAATGTCGCTCCAAGCCGCAAATGGCCAAGGCGCATTGCGCCCGTCCCACAAATTCAGCTCGCTTGCAGATCGGACTTTCCATCGGATTGCTTCTGCCAAGTCGGCCATGGGTTCCGCGTAAGGGTGCACCAAGAGCCGAAAGCTGGTGGGCATCAACTCCTAGTCTGTTTACTGGGGACCCGTGGGCTTGGTCCTGCCTCCCCCACGCGCTCGCTGAAAGGCGACAGAAAATTCTTCGTCCCGTTGCACGGAGAGGGGCTTCTGTTGAGCGTGCTGGGACTCGATGGCTTTCATGCGATCCATAAAGGTACCGGGCTGCTGATTGGACTCGCGCTGTAGCTGTTGGTTGATGCCAATGCGTGCCTGAGCCCGTGGCTTCTGGCCAAATGAAGGACCAAAGAAATCATTCGCGCCTGATTGCGTGTCAAAGGCAACATCCTTCTTGATGCGCTGGGCTTGAATACGACCGCTGCTCGTGCGGTGTTGGGCTTGTCCCATAAACTGCGTGGTGATGGATGATGAGGTGAAGAGAGAGAAATATCAGAAAGGCACACGGGGGCAAGAGAAGCACCACCGGCAGTCTGCAGCAGGGGCATACCTTGTCAAAATATTCACCGGGTTGATCGCGCTCAGCGGGTTTACGACGATTAGCAGCTGGGTCTTCTGACACATTACGATGCTTGCCCATGTACATGCCCACATAGGAGGTGGCGGGCCCGCTATCAAAGGGCTGGTTTTTCTCAAAGATTCCCGGGCGACTCGGATCGGGCTGACCATCGGGACGACGTCGTGGGGCGCCCGCACCGGCCTTGCCAAAAGCGGCAGCCACGTACGAGTCGCCGTCGGCCTGCTGGAACATGAGACCCGACGAGGCCGCAGCCTTGCGCGGAACCCGGTCATTGAGGCCGACCTTTGGACGCGCACGTTCCCAGGGATCTGATGTATCATTGGGCACTGGATCTCGGCGATTGTCGCGGGCTGCCCGGCGGCGGTCCTGAATGGCCTCCCAGTTTGCATCGCTGTACTGCTTTTCGCGGGCTTTCTGATCGGCCATGCGTTGCGCCGCAACGTCAGGGTTGTCAAACATCAGATTGATACCCACGGGATTTGTTCGCACCATGGGCTGTGATTGTTTCCCTGGGCAAGCGGACGAGCATGGAAGCAAAGGTAGAATTTCACACACACAAGGGGTGAGGCCGAAATGTGGCAACACCATGCCATCAGCCTGGCATAAAGGAAAGAAGAGACGGGATGCGCATAACGTAGAGGATGCACGCACCTTGAAAGAACTCGTTTGCACGCTGAGCGACCTCAACCTGTTCAGCGGGGCGTTGGCGGCGGGCCTCGGGTAGCGCAACCGACTCTGTCAGACCAGCTGCGCGGAGAGGAGCGCGGAGGGATACCAGGGATCGCAGCAGATGGTGAGACTGCTGGCTTTATGGAGATGAAGCCAAGTTCAACTATGGAGAAAGCACGACATACTTTTGACTGTGTGCTCCATCATGCCGACCGAGCCATCAATGCCAATAGCCACATGATTGGTGCGTTTAAACTCGCGGCGAGGACTGCCGGTGGAAGGCTCATAGATGGGATTGGCGGTGGCCACCTTTGTTGTGACTGGATCAACGGGCGACACTATCAAGCCCACCATGATCACACAAAGGGGGTCAGCAAGCGAGCGACTGGAGCGTGCACGAAGAAGTCAAGGAACACAGAAGAAATTACCAAACACAACCGGTCTTGGATGTTTGGCAGAGAGGCGGGGGAGCAGACAAGCACAGCGCTAAACTAGGATCGTACTGTCGTGCGAAAGAAAGTTGCCCGAGTCCTTGGGCCGCGCATAGGCAGCCGCCATGCTAGCGGTAACGCGCTACAGTCAAGACTAGAAGAATTGTGCTACAACGCCATGTCATTGCGTCGAGCAACCGCGAAGTGGCGACAAAAAATGGGCACGGTGAGACCAGCCTGAGCATGGCAGGTTCGGGTTGCCCTCTTTTGCACCTTGGGAAACCTTGTCCGAGACCTGGGTGCACGACTCACCGCTGCTGTAGCGCCAAGATGAGCGAGGTGGACGGGACCACCTGCCAGCTCAAGAATGGCTGACAAGCCAGGCGACGCGATGTGGCGCAACACGAGCAGGCCCGCCTCGGTTCAAAAGGCAAGTCCTTGCCTGGCGCAAGGGTGCAAGAGGGCGAGGGTGCAAGGGTACAAGAGTACAAACATGAGAAGCAAAGTCCATGCCATCAAAAGGAATGGTCGGGCTGGTTCGGCTGGGCAGATACGGGGCCAGAATCGAGGCGACATTTGGCTTGACATCTGGCTTGAAACCGCTTGACGCGCACCTGTTTAGAATTTCTTGGCCTCGACGGCCAAGCTTTATTCTGACTCGCTTGCTAAGTGATTAATGGCAGCCCCCTCGCTGATGAGAATGCAAACCAGCAGACAGCAGCAACACCAAACACCGACTGGTGCGAGTGTGACACCACAGAGAGGCGCGTGTCTTGAAATGAAACGAGCGCGCTTTTTTCTTGACGAAATGGCAAGCAAAACAACAAAAAGGGATCTGATGTGGTTGTTGGTGTTGGTGTTGTTGTGGGGTTTGTGTTCCAACAACAACAACTTGAGTCTTCTGCCCTGAGCGCGGACACCATCTCATTTTGATGACAAATTGCCATCAGTGCACACTCGCACACACACACACACAACGACAGCAAGGGAGGAGCGGCAGCGGCTTGAGCTGGTCGCCAAGGCTGGTGGAGAATTACTACCATTTTGGTAACAAAAGTATCTTCCAAATAATAACATGAATAAGGCCGGAAATAGCTGTTCAGAACAGTGGTTTGACCCGATGTTCTGGAAAGACAAAGAATGTCATCTTGTTCATGGCCGCCACGTCAGCTCGCTTTGTGTTGTTCCACGTTGAAGAAGGTGAACGTTGAAGCTTCCTCTGTCTCGTGCTCATTTTCTGAGCCGGCGCCTCTCTGTCTCTGCCGCCCTCTCCCGACGCTCGTCGCTTGCCGTTGCCTGCATTCCTGTCTCATTCACAAAGGTTAGCTGGATCTGCCAATTGACGGTGCGCCGCCAGCCAGAGCCATATCTGGGCTGATTTAAATCATTGTCTCTGCTCACTACCCAGCTGCCTGCCTCCGCTCCGCCCCCTACTTCATGATCGCAGTGACCAAGCGCCATGCGAGCTGTCTTGTTGATCGTGGTCGTTGCCCTACTGGGCATGGCCTCGGCAGCCAAGAAGAACCCCAAGGAATGCGAGGGTACGTTTTGGTCTTGCTCCTTAGCCCTCTCCGCCCCTGTGTTCTCTCCTCACCCTTCCCTTTCACGTGTCTGCGCGCTCCAATCCTTCAACGGGTGCAGTGTGCAAAAAGGTCGTGTCTCGCGTCGTTGATACCGTCAAGGAGCAGGGCAAGGATGTCACAGACGTGGATGCCACTGAAGCTGCGCTTTGGAAGCTGTGCCGGGAGACGAAGAATCACAAGGAAGGCCGCTTTGTAAGTGCTAGCGCTGGCGCTTTTCTTTGCCTCACTCGGACGCTCAACGCTCGACTCACGCCCCTTGGCTTTGCAGTGCTACTACGTGGGTGCCGCGGACGATGCTGCCACGGGACTGGTGCGTGAGGTGACACAGCCTCTGTCGCGCTTCCTCCCCGCCGATGCCGTGTGCAACAAGCTCAAGAAGAAGGATTCCCAAATTTGTGAACTTGAATACGGTTCGTTGCTGCTGTCATCCATCTATCTTGGCCGCACCCCAAACGTCTAGCCTTGACACCAACGCCTTGTGCGTGTGTGTGTGTGTGTGTGTGGCACACACCGCTGAGCATCATCTCACTATCCCCTCCATGTGCGTGTATCTGAAACAGATGAGCCAGTGGACCTGAGCAAGATTGATCTCGAGAAGCAACGTGTCAAGGTTCTGAAGAAGATTCTCAGCGACCAATTCAACGATGCTTGCAAGGGATGTCTGGAAAAGTCAGACTACATCAAGCGTATCCGCGAACTCAGTGCCAAGCAGGAGCTCTGAGTGCCTTTGCCGAACCCTGTCACCCACTATCCGTCCCTACTGCGCTTCAAGCACCAGCGAGTCAACGGATCATGGGCATGCAAGCAAAAAAAACCCCCCACGGCCTTGAAGATGCGCCACTTTTCATCCTGGGGCTTGTCTGTATTTTTTTGTTGAATTGGGAAGCTTTCCCTTTTTTAAAAGTGTTAGTTCTTCAATGTTGTCACACCCCATTTTCATTTTCTTCTCTGAATCTGCGGAGTGTTTCAACTCTTAAAGGGCTTGGAAGGCGGAGGATTAGGTGGTCAATTTGCCCCGGGCTTGGCCCGAGCGTGTCGGTGCGTGGCCTCCGTACTAGTGCGAGGGTTGCTCAGCTGAGAATTCTTAAACAATCGATCTGCAACATTCACCGGCATCAGCCTGCACCTGGGTCAGCATCCATCTGCTTGGGACATGGCGACTTGGAGTAACAAGGGTCGTGGGCGCAGCCCAGCCCAACCACTCGCCGCAAGCATTCAAGTCTGGCAAACGCAAGCGCATTCTGAAATTTTACGCATGCTTGGCGCTCTTTTTGGACTTTTTGGGTGTTCCGTCCTCTTTGCTCTTCTTAGCCTTTTTGGCTGGAGTACTGGTTTTGCTACTGCCTTTGCTGCGCTTCTTGTCGCTAGAGCGCGAACTTGACGAGGTTGAGGTAGATGTGGCACCACCTATGCACAATCGGGCAACCGGGGCGGGTCAAACAAGGTGAGACAAGCCGGCTGCAGTTGGGGATCATGCGAAACAAGCGGCCGTCCGGCGTGCCGAACCTTGGGCGCCAAAGGGAGTGAAGCGGTGGACCAGGCCGGGAATTTGATGAATGGGGGCTGGTACAAGATCGGTGGCCAACTCAGCTTCAGGTACGTCAACGTCCTCGGAGAGACTGTAGCCCGCAGAGACGTAGCGACTAAACTTGAGCTTTCCCCGCTTGACTGAGGGCAAGACGGGGGCCAACCGCTGCTCTTCAAGCTAAAACCAGGACGTTGGTGTGCATGGGAAAGGGGAGAAGAGAGGCAACCATATGAAGGAGTCGACGCAGCGGTGAGCCAAGGATCCCGTTTGACAATCTGCAAAGCAGGTCCAAAAACTGAAGAGGTGGGGCACACACACCTGCTCGATGGGATGCAAGGCAAACTTGTGACCACCGGCCTCGATGCGCTGACCGTCGACCAGGACCGCTTTTTTAAGGACTGACGGGTCCATCATGAGGGGAAGCTGGATGAGGAAGAGGCCCTCATCGCCACCAATATCATCGTGAGAAAACTTGAACGTGCTCTTGCTTTCCGCCAGGCTGCGCTCCCGAAAGAGTGAGCTACTCCTAGATGGGGTGAGAAAAGACAGCAACCAGATAGTCCAAAGTAGAGACGGGAGCCAACGAGGCGAAGACACAGCAGAGGCAGGCTTGGTCAGGGGTGACATGCACAAGTAGGAGGAGAGGCGCAAAGCAAGCTGCGTGCCACCATCACAATCACGTACGAGGCCGCCATGTTGGTGTCCCGTCTGTTCTCTCGCTGCAGCAATGCCCTGAACGGCCGCGTATGAGCGTGAAGAAGAGGCGGCGTTGCTCGGTCGCGGTCTGCCTCAGGCTGTGGCCGACGCGAACAGCGCCAACGTGTGCTCTGATCTCTGATCAACCCAAGCAAACAAACACACATCTTACGCGCACGTTGATGGGCGCTGGACGAACAATTGGTAGCGAGAGAATTGTCATCTTTTGCATTCAAATTGCTGACATCGGTCTTCTCTCTGTAAATACGTGAGACCGCCATCATCTAATTATAGCGCATAAGAAGCCGTTGGAAATGGCGGGAAAGGTTTGTCGACATGCATTTTTCTTCTTCTTCTTCTTTTCTTCTTGGTTTTTTTTTCTTTTTCTTGGAAGGGGTGTGGGGCGTTGCTCTTTGGCATCCCGCATCATGGACGATCCATCGGATGACCTGCAGCGGTTGCATCTTGTGGAAAGAGCCACTGGGCAGTCTGAAAGCGAAGGGCAAGCCACCCAAAGTGAGCCTGAAACGCGCCGAGCCGAGCAAGCAACCGAGGACGAAGAGCGCGCAGAGCCAGCAGCCGAAGCGCACGGAGCCGAGGCCAGAGACCTAGCATTCGAAACTGCGCGGCTGAAAGCGCTCGAAATCGAGCTAGCAATCGAAACTGCGCGGCAGAAAGCGTGCGAAGCCGAAGAGCGCAAAGCCGCGCGCGAAGCCGAAGAGCGCAAACGGACGTTGTGCAGTGAAAAGGTTTGTCGTGCTCCGTCTCGCTGTGAGACCACCTACCACCTCTGCGCACGCCAGCCTCACTTGATCTGCGTTCACTAGCTCGCAATTTTGGAAAACATCTTTTGCGGCCTCACTGCGACCCACAACATGGCCCTGCGAAAGAAGATGATGGCATTCAATGATGATGCATTTGAGGAACTTGTCGTCCGTCTTATCAACAACGAAACCTCACCCCAGACGATGAACAAACATTTTCCCTTGAAAGGTGTGTTTGACGTTGTGTGTCACCCATTCCAGGTCTGCTGTCGGTCATTGTTGGGTGCACCTGCATACAGTTGGTGAGCCACCGCACTCACATGACCGTCTTTGATTGCACGTGTGCAGGCTTTACGTGGCAGACAAGAGAATCAGTTGCTAACGCGATGCCCTCAGTAGCGCCCTCATCTACCCCGACTCTGACCGATGCATATGAAAAGCTCGGTTGCATCGTCGCAGAGCTTCCCTGCAGTCACCACTACTACGCAGCGAAAATCGTCAAGCACATCGATGAGCTTTGCGCGGATGACAAGCGGACGATCGACAAGAAGTTGATCGAAGACCTCAAGTGGGCGGTCGATGTTGAGCGACATTCCCGATTGCCTCAGCTCCAGCAGGAGAGCGACATTTCTTCCCGATTGACTATCGTGCTGCAGCACCACTTTGGCCTGGACTTTGTCCATCAATATTCGATTGGCGACAAGAACACCCATGTCGATTGGGCGGGCTTTGACCAGAACCACCACGTTGTTGTCATGGGCGAGTGCAAAAAGGACAAGCAGCCTTTCCATCAATATGGAGGACAGGTTGCCAATGAACTCGAGCGACTGGGAGCCATTGCTACACGGTATGAGAGCGACAGCGAGTCCAATGGACTGGATGGCCGGAAGTCCACAGAGTGGCCCATTGTCAACATCAACGTGGTGGGAGACCATGTGAGCGCATACCTGGTCTTGACGATTTCTGGTGAGCGCTGGGCAGCGGTCGAGAAAGTCTTACCATCATTTCTGCCATCACTTGGGGTTGACAGTGCCAACAAAAAGAAGAAGTATTCCGGAGTGTTTTTTTTGCGCCTCGGGTGTGCAAACTTGTACAAAAATTCGAGGCAGGTCGAGTGCATCTTGCAAGCGTGCAAGGAGTTTGTGCTTGGTGATCAGGCAAGCTTGCTGGCTGACGCGCAGAAAACAAGATCGCGGCCATTCTTGCCTCGACAACCATTTCCTTGCCCTTTCAAGGACCTCTGCGAGAAAGATTTGCAATTGCACAAATCGTTTGGTCCCAGCGTGCAGGTCTACAGCGACGAGAAGCAACTCAAGGTGTTGTACAAGCACTTTGACTACTGGGGTCGCTTGTCAGGCCTCTGCAGTGCTTTGAGCAATGGCTTACGTGCCGCAGATTGCCGCCACCCGCCCGACGGCCGAATCCTGGAAAAGCTCGCTCAACTGGATGTGACGGGCTCCTTCTATCAGGAGTGGAAGGTGACGAAGCTTGCAACTGCCGTGCATGTGCTCAGCTACCCTTACGTGGAGCTGGCGCCCCCCAGCAAGCTCGAGCAACTGGCCCAGGTCATCCGCCAATTGGAGGCCATACACAGCGTTGGCTTTGTGCACGGCGACATTCTCCCTCGCAACATTCTTTTTTGCAGTGCCTGGGAGGGGCATCCAGCGGCCTTTCTCATTGATTTTGATCTCGGCCGGTTTCTCGTCGACAACCCTGTCTATGTCTGCAATTTTGCCGTGGAGGCGAGGGCGCTGAAGCCGTATCGTCACGTGGGTGCAGTGCCAAGTTCGAGGATGGACAAGAAGCACGATGGTTTTGCTTTGGCACGTGTCATGGAGGACTTTTTAGAGGATGACGACTCTCGTCAGGAGCTGGTGGCTGCGCTGAAGAAGCTTCACCTGGCTGACGCTGCCGATCTGTGTATGAAGTGCAAGCTGTTGTCTGAGTTTAAGATTTCTGTGCCGGGCAAGGCGACCGGAAGTCCTCGTAAGTGAGCCAACTCAAGGGTGTGTTTGCCAATCTTGACCCAATTTCTGTCCACGATTTTCTGTTAAAGCCGTGTTATCATGTTTTGACTGCGCGTTGTATTGAAAGCTGACTGCATGAATGAAAGCCATACTTCTTCACTCCCAAGAGGCAGCCTACCAAATTGATTGTGCCAAGCAGTGCGCCTAATGCAAACACTGTAGCTGCTAGCAGCCGCAGACCAATCGATCTCAGATCCCGACACCACGATACCTTTGCAATTCGCTCCTGTTGCGCCGAAGCAGCGGCACCGAGCTTGATCGCTGTCGGAACCTCATGGTGCTTTGCTCACACACACACACACACACACACACACACACACTGGCTCATTGGCTTTCGGTGACAAAAGTGCCCCATTTACACGAACCCAGTCGGGCAGCCTGACAGCAGTCATTTCGTTCATGCACTCTGTCACAGCTCCCTGCATCTACTTCCTTTCCTCCTCTCACCGTTCTGACTCCATTTCTTGCACTTCCCGAGTCCAGGACAGCAGGCTGCACTTCGCCATGGTGAGCGAGCATCGCTCCCTTGGACATGGATCACGCAGGCGGGCAATGTCAACGCCTTTGGCTGGACACATTGTCACGGTTGCCGTGTTTGGTGCGCGGGCAGGCGTCTAAAAGCATTATCCCCTTCTTCTGCGTCCAGGAGGTGGCGCGATCCAAGAAAGACAAGAACAGGCACAGATGCAAACGATCAACAAAGGAGGAACAATCGATCGTTGGCAAGTCAACGGGCTTTAGCAGCATCCACCACCAGCTGCCGCCTGCGCAGAGGCGCCACCGTCTTCCTCCACCTCAACACGGTGTGGATCTCGTCGTCGACGCCCAGAGTCCGTGGTACCGTGGGATCGCAAGGTGTCGGCGGCGAGTGGTTGAGCATGTGCACAGCAGCAGTTGCCTCGGTCTGTGTGGACAACAGAGGCTCGCGTGTTGGGCATATGGACAGCAGCAGCTGCCTCGGTCTGCGTGGACAACAGAGGCTCGCGTGTCTTAGATGCGGTAGCTCCAGAGCTAGATGTAGCAGCTGGCGTGTTTGATGGCATGGGATGCTGTGGTATGCTGTGGCATGGCTGCCTCTGTTGTTTTGGGCGTCTGAGGTCAAAGTTGGTCGTTTGAAGCTCTGCGTCTCGCGGCCCTCCTGGCGAAATCTGGGCTTCATAGCGTCACTGGGTGCAAAGTTACGGCAATTTCAATTGGGCTGGGTCGATCCGCCGCTTCAACCCGCCGCTTCAATCGCCGCCATTCCCAAAAAAGGCCGCGAGATGACCCCTCTCGCTCAGCCGACCCAGGCCTGCGGCAACGGCTCGCTCTCTGCACTCCCGCAAGCTAGCGCCTCCATTCTTTTTGCGTGTGATGGCCAACACACTTGGCCAGGGCGTGGTGTGGCTAACTCCGAATCTCCAAAAAGGATGATAATCAATTTCTTAATTGAACCTTACACAAAAGAAGATCGGCAAACAAAAGCATAGGCCAGTAATGTCATAAGCTTAACTCAAGCTATGAAAACAGTTTCGTCGTGTGCGTGGTCTTTTCACAGCACGGACGGGTCGCTGATGATCGTTGGACAGCAGCGCAAATGGCGATGACAGCGCGGTGGTGCGTGTGGGTGGTGGCGGCCAGCTTGGTCCTCCCGTCATGGAATGCCGATGTCATGGCGGACGTGGCCGATCCAGATGATGACGTTGCTCTGGTCACACCGCAAGGAACTTACTGCAACTATCCGCATCGTTGTGTGGGCTCGCGCTGCCGCTTTGACCGCACGAACCTAAATGCTTATTATCCGCCGCAGTGCACCGATTGTCGCTGCATCAAAGGTAAGAGCTGTCCGTTTACGACACCGCAGTAGGGTGCAACTTGTGCGCATGATCTCGAGACGCCCCTCGACTCACTTCCGCTCGTCTTGCAGTTCCAGAACATCCCATCAAGCCGGCCCTCCCATCTTCCCTCATCGACATGCGCGGCGCACCTTATTGTGACTACTCCACATCTGAGCGCTATGTCAATAAGAACAAGTACACCTTCACCTTTACCGTCTCAACCGGTCACTCAGGGACTGGGTTTTTCGGTCAGAAAGCCATGTGGGCACACGCGCTGAATATGAACAAGAGCGACACCCCAGTCGCCGTTGGCCACGAGTACCATCCCCGTCGCTATTTCTTGGCCGGTCTTCAATACCGCTCGAACATGTGTGAGGCTGCCTGGACATTTGCCGTTGAAGAACTAGTCCCCTTTATTGAGAGCGAGCTCAGGGACAAGAACAGCACGGCATATTATGCCTCGGGACATGACCTGACCATGGGCACCATGCATGCCCTGTTAACATACTTGGGCTCAGCCGCCCGATTGGTCCGCCTACGCCGCTCACGTCGGGCCACAGCTCAAAGCTTTTACATGTCTGCCCACAATGGTCCCCAGTCCAATGCCTGCATCTTTTGTGTCAAGCCCTACTCTCCGTTATCGCGATGCCCCCTCCGTGATAGGGCCGTCTTTAAGAACCTGACCCCCTTCCAAGCCTATCTGGCCCTGGTGGATGAGAATGAATGTCAATGGCAATCATACCTTTTTGCTTATCCCCGCTTGCCCCATCTCACAATCAATTGGTCCGGCAAGCTGACCAGCGACCATGTTGTGGGCCTGGCCAAGTTTGTCCTCAACATTGACCCCAATCCAAGAGAGAATGATGTCAATGCCAGTGCTGTGCAAATCAACCACCACGCTGGAGTGAAGAAACGCGCGGCCCTGGACCAGAAGCACCTGGATCTCGAATACGCGCAGTACACGCGCATTCTCGGTCTTTCTCCAAAAGACTGCAATGAATACACTTGCGTTCCCATGCTGGACTAGTTCTCTCCCTTGAGCTTTTGCCGCCAAATCCATGTCTCATCGGCGCAACGACCTTATTGGATATCTATCCCTACTTTAAGCCAATCCCTAGCAGTCATGTGCAGTGCCATGTAGGCATGCATAACATGCCATGCACGTACAACAATGAGTTCAAGATTGACGTCGATTGACGCACGTGCGACGACCGTATGATCGTAATTAAGGAAAAGAAAGCAGCAACGGCCTTTGCTTTCATGTCCACTCCGAGTCAAATGCATCATGAGGTAGACCAGCTCGACGGCAAACGACTCAGCAGGCAGGCAACAATCACGTCAATCGCCTGAGGCAGTTGTGGAGTTTTCTCAACCGTGTTGGGCTCTGATATACAAATTTAGATTCTATTAAAAATTATTATGAAGAGGCACTTCATCGAGTCATAGACATGGCGTGTCATGCCAAAAAACATCAAGGTACTTGCTGCTAAATCATTCCTCGTCTTGTGGCGCTATCCAAGCGCGCCGACCTGGAAGGTTTTGGCACTCGGCACACTTCTGCGTCCTGCAGTGAGAAGACTGCATTAATCAAGAGGAAGAAAATTATGGTTGTATTATTCATGACCATTGTTATCGAGCCTATAGATCTACGATTGAACAGTTTGGTAGCCGGTGGCGAGCCCAGGTGCTTCGGGCGTGGCCATCGATGCGCCCAGACCCCAACTGAGCTGATTTTGCACGCTCTTGGCTGCAATGTCGGTGGTAGACAGGCATGTCAAAGCAGGGATCGAGAATCCTATAACGACCTTGCGACCTGAAGAAGTGAACCAGTCGATTTTCGGCACCGAGACGATTCTGAACGTGATCGATCAAGTCCAGGACGTCTTGGGGAACAGGGGCCGACGTCAGGAAGGCATCCGCAGTGCTAAGAAAGGCTCCGCCAAATTTGTCAGTGCAAAGATTTTTTGGCAGCTGGGGATTCGCTCCACCCCCCGACTCCTTTGGGCATGAAGGGTGCGGGTGCCGTGTCAGCACATACATCAGCGGCTTGTTGAACTGCGATTTGTCCAGGCAGACGAAGGTCAGGTTGGAGAGCTCAATGTCGCTGTTGGCAACCATGATTAGCTGACCCGGGTGGGCCGCTGCATTTGCAGAAGTGAACAAATCCTTGTACGTGGGTTGCTCGTGGAACACCTCAATCTTGAGCTTGGGCAGCTTGCGCTGAGTAGGTCGCAGGGTCGCCGCCCAACCCTTGTCGGTGAGCATGATCAGTTTTTCGACCCAGGGTGACTCGAGATTGGTTCGCAAGGCGGCCAGGATCTCCTCGTGCCGGGATGTATGATAGATACCGCCTATGGAGGTGACATAGATGATTCGTTCATGGGACACACTGGACGAGGACAGTGACGTTGCCGGCGGGCGAGAAGCCGCCGCGGCATCAGCCTCCTCGCGAAGCTCCTCCAGAAGTCGGGCTTCCAGTTTATCACGCGATATCGCCGCCGTGTTACTCTGCAACATCTTACGAACATTGTCTGGGGCACGACTCTCCAGCAAAGCTAACGCGTCAGAAGTCACGACCGGCTGGGCCGTGCGGGCAGACGGGGTGGTCGGTGGCGGCTGCTTCTGCTTGCCCGACGCTGGCAACGGCCCCAGCACGGCAACCGCGAGTGCGCCCCACAAAATAAACCTCAACACGGTTCGACGCCCAAGGCCACCACGAAATGTCAACGGAGACCAAGCCCTCGTGGCTGCCATCATGTGTGCAGCAGACAACCCGTCGCATCAAGACTGCTCCTTGCTCCTTGACAGCGTGCATGAGGGAACAAGAAACTGCTTCCAACAACAATCTTGAACACGAACAGGTTTCGTCTTACAGCAAACGCACATAACCCTAAAATATATTATAACCCTAATCCTTAACCCCTACCCAAACCCCCATTTAATATTTGTTAATTTATTTTATTTGGCTTGAAAAGGGTTCAACGGCAGCAGCCTGTGGCTAGCTGTACCTTCTGCCTCGAGAGGCCCATCATACAGCGCGACAGGATGTGACTCATGTCTCAGAGCCCTTTTCAGCATCCAGCCCATGTGTGTACTGAGGCCGAGGCACCAACGAGATTGTACCCAAATTTCACGCAGCAACCCAGAGTAATTTTTTCAGAGGACGAAGTCAGTGAGGTGACCGCTACACCCGGACCTCCAACCATGACGGATCGACCGTTGAATGGGTATTGTACGTGGTGCGGGGCCCCCGTGGCTCGCCTCGTCGTGGGCCAGAGTCATGCCCTTCGGCTCACCACATGTGTAAGTTGCTCAAGTTCCCTTCGTCTTGGCTCCTCGCCCTTTCCTGCTGCGAGGCCTCACGATTGGATGCCTTCAGGGCCAGTGCGACAAACCAGCTGATGAGTACCTCGAGTACAACACGGTGCTGATCTGTATCAACCTCTTTCTCGTCAACGTTCAGTGTCTGCGACATGCCATTCAGAACACCCCACGTTGGACTTCCCGTTGGACCTTTCGCCTTCTCACAACCCTCCTGCTGGCGCGCACCGTCATCCTCCACCAAGAAGCAGCCGTGTCAACCTCCTCTCTATCGCTGGGTCTGATACCTTCAGACCAGCTGGCTACCCGTCTCGCAGAGCTTCAGGGCGTGCGGCGTACCCTTCCTGAACTCCATCCCATGCTGTTCACGATCCTAGTGACAGCTCTTGGGCTGGCGGCCGCCATCGCAACCTACATCATGGCCACCCGATTGCTAGCCCCAGCGCAGTCACGATATGCCCTCCGCACGTACTTGGCCGCCCAAATCTGGTCCCCCTTTCTGGCTCTCGTTGCGCTCCACCTGACTGGACATCAGCCTGCTTCTTCTTACCTTGCCCCGGCCTGGGCACAGTACCCCTTGCAGCTATGCTACCTCACTGCCTTTGCCAAGGTCCGTCCAATCACACCGCACCCCCCCGCACAACCGTCATGGCCTGAACACCGCGTTATCATGTCGTCACCATGCCCGCGTGTCACCTGTACACGGTGGTGTCCGCTTGATGTGCGTACATAGGCCATGGGTGTATCCACACCAACGGCGCTGATACTAGCGACCATGGCCGTTGGTACCGACTGGGCAGTGACTTGCTTTGCCATCGCCCACGGACAACTCCTGACCCACCGCCTCGCTCGCCTCGAGGCTTGAGAAGAGACCCATGCACCCTCATCTGCCAGCCCCAAGATCAGCCTCAAGGCTTCGTTTTGTGACCATACCGCACTTTGCAACGCGAGTGGCTGCATCACGCATGCCTCATCGCCGATTTGTATCACGTCGAAAAGCGAGAATTAGAGCAAGAGTTGGCAACAAGGAGGAGAAGACGCGGCGGCAGCAGCAGAACCCCCCCAAAAAAAGCGTCAAACAAGAAAAATACTACGCCCCAAAGGGCCAGTCTCAGCATTTAGGTGTCAGGGTCGCGGTCTCCGATGTTCGCCATGGCCACCGAGAACGCGGGCGGGCAGAGGCCACCATGGTCCCAGTCCCACTACGGCGGACCACATCTGCACGTGTCTCTCGCGACTCCTTCTCAGCCTTGGCACGCATGGGGGGCAGCCTCAAGCGAAGCCAATCCTGCCGGACGAGCCATCAAGTGCCATCCCAAGCGCCATGCCAACGTGAATCACAGTGCAATGAGCCAGGCCCCATCCACGGTCACGGATTTCCTACCTTCTTGGTGCTGGATAGCCGGGGGCTCGCTGTCGGCACGGCTGCTTGTGTCAGCACGGTCTTCTTGGCCGATGACTCCTCACCACCCAGGCGAAAGACGGGCGCAACGCTTGTGCCGCGAGCCTCAGGCAAACCGCGTCGCGTCCCGACTGGCTGCACCGTATGCCGTGCTGTACGTCCCGTAGCTATTGGTGTCGTGATCGAAACGCCGCGTATCCGTGCGGCGAGGTGCGCGACGGCCTGATCACGGTTAGTCTTGTCTTCTGCGGCTGGAGCTACGTAACCTTTTTGGTCCTTGCCATTTTTGCTCCGCTTGCACGCCTTGGCCTTGTCCTTGCTGGACCCGACCTTGCCCTTGCCAGCGGCCTTCTTTGTCGCCTTGCTTTGGGGCAGGAGGCCCATCTTAAAGGCCGAGCCAGGACCACCGGGCTCCAGGCGACCGCCATGCTCTTTGACATGTGCTTGCAACCACGGGTGTTGTAGCAGGTCCGTGGGTGTGGCACGCCACCGCGGGTCTGCGACCAAGATCTTTTCGAGAAAGTCACGCAAGTCTTACAAATTCCACCAGGCATGGGCCAGCAAATTTGCGCTGAGACTGCGATTGACAATGCTCACAGTTATCAAAGGTAATTCATGGCCTGACCAACCTTGAGATACCGTGGAGGCAATTTGAAGCCTGTGGTGGACTCCGGCCATGATCAGTTTTAGCGCGCGATCGTTGAAGGGCAATTGACCGCACACCATGGCATACAAAATGACGCCACTATTCACAGGGGAACATGAACACATGACCTCAGATCGAGAACTTGGCTCAAGGTCAAAGAGACTGGGCTCGACGGGTCAAAGGCAATGGTGGAGCGCTCACAACGTACAGAGACCACATATCAGAACGGTCGCCGGCGTAGGTATGTCCCATGAGCACCTCGGGGGCCGCATACGCGTAAGAGCCGCAATGCGTCAACAATCGGTGACTCAGCCCCGGCACGATGGTGGCAAAGCCAAAGTCTACGAAGGTGCACCATCACAATTCACGCCTTTGCTGAACACGGCGCCAGCCAAGGTCACAAGCATCTCTACTGCGTGCAGATAGGGTGACTTGCCTGTCAGAAGCACATTGCCATCGCCGTCAAGCAACACATTCTCACACTTGAGATCCCTGCACAGCGTGTATCAGTGTGTATAATGAGACCTACACTGCTTACGGGATGGAGCGATCACAGCTTTGGTTCCATCGAAGCGTTTGGTCTTACTTACCGATGAACAATGCGCAACGTGTGGCAATAATGCACTGCCGACAGGAGCTGAAAGAACAAGCGGCGAGCCTTGGCCTCGTTCATGGGCCCACGTGTGTTGATATACTCAAGCAAGTCTCCACCAACAGCATACGTCAGTACGAGGTACACCCGCTGTTCCGTCTCGATCAAGTCTTGCAGCTGTGCCTAATGCCAACGCGAGCCAACAAAGAGCAACATTCAGTGAGCCTAGGCACGTACTTTTGAACAGGGTAGCCAGAGTGCTTACTATACGAGGATGACACAATCGGCGCAGAGCCGTGATTTCACGAGGTAGAAACTTTTGCAAATAGCCCTTGGGGGCATTTACTTTGTCAATAATTTTGACAGCCACCTGCCGCACGCCGTCAGGGCTTGATTGAGCACGACAGCTGCGACATTGGAGGGGGAGACAGACGATCCGAAGCCCTTCACCACATGGTCTGTGAGGTCAAAGGCTTCTGAAGGAGAGGCAATGCAACTCACCCTCTGGCCAGTTTCGATGGCTTTGGCCACTTTGACCTTGCTGTAGCCGCCCAGCCCAATGGTTTCAAAAAGGCGATAGCCTCGCTGAGCCAGCTTGAAGTGCTCGCCATCAGCGGGCAGGCTCTGACTCAGAAAGGCGTGAGCATCTGTCATGTCGCCTTCCGTAAAATCAGGCAGCTCAGCTTTGGGCAGCAAGATGGGGTGTGGCCTGGTAGGCGGTGAGTGCAGGATCGGTGCTGAGAGTGTTCGCGCCGTGGCCACTGCCTTGGCCATGGCTGCAGGCGTCTCGGTTGCCTTCCGTTTGGCCTTGGCCTGATGTGAGGCCAGCCGAGGTGCTTAGAGTGGGGCTTCAACGGAGACCCCAGGAGATAAAGCGAAAAAATGGTGCTGTCCCTCGGCGCCTACCCGGTATTTGCGCGCTGGCGCCTGTGGGGACGACGTTCTTCCTCCACCCCCTCCCTGTGAACTTGGCGCCGAACGTGTGGCAAAAGCCGCACCGCTCAGGCCTGATTGCATGCGATAAGTTGCGATGGTTGTCAAGACTTACGAAGCTTCTTAGGTACATCAGCTCAAGCTTTGAGCTAGCGATAGGCCAGTTCCATTACGTGCGGCTGCTACAAGCCCACTCCTCCCCAAACTTGCCCAGCGCTCCCTGGCATGCCGTCGTCTGCCTGTGCAGACCCACCGTGACAAGCGCCTTTCGAGAAGAGTTTTGTCCGCAATTTGCGCTCGGTGCGGCACCTCAAAACATCTGACAAAAGTCAAACACACAAGTCAAAAAATCGAATTCGAAGCAACATCGTCATCTCATGGCCGGCAGCTTTGTGTGTGTGTGTGTGTGTGTGTGTGAGTGTCTTCAAGGTACTACTACATTGGATGGACATTGTATGCAGATTGCGTCAAAAAGGAGAGACAAGACAAAGTCAGGGTCATAATTTTCAATTGCTGGACTCGGCCCAACGCTGCAACTCGTCGGCGGCTGCGGCCCGGAGTTCCGCGAAGCCTCCCGTGTCGCAGGTTCCACCCATGGCATCATGCATGCGTGACAAGCACAGATGCCAGTATTTGTACAAACGAGTATACCCAAAATCACTCAAAAACTGTGGGAAAGCAAATGCCGTCAGCGCGTGCAGTACAACAGCTCATCGGGTGGCGGTACACAGAAGCCAAGGCCTGACCTGCTCCATTGTGTCCTGGGCATGCTGGACTTCTAGTAATGTGTGGCGCTTCCATCCGTCAAGCAAGGTCTCCAAACTCATCACGCGCGAAGCCACGAGCGCCGCATGCTCGGTTTCAACAACGGATGCAACATGTTGCTCAGTGATGCCAAGATCGCTTTGCAAGCCTGCACAAGGCCACGAGCATGGTCATGACGTAGCAACCATCAGTCCTGGATGCAATGCTTGCCGAGAACGCTGGGCCGTGCTGCTGAACAGTCGACCATACGTTACCTGACTCTTTGATCAAGTCGATGAGGAGTGGTTGTAAAATCTCGGCATTGTGCAAATCCTCGTAGCGAATGATCATTCGCGGAACGTTTTTATACACCTTGCCATTCTGGCAGTTCGAATGTGCAGGCACATGTTTTGGTGAGCATATCTCCTTCACGCTTCCCCCCCCCCCCCCCATCCCCAAGCCCAATGAAGCAGGTGCTGGTGGTCAACTACCAGGTAATGTGTGTAGAAAAAACGATGTTTTCCCGCAAGCCTTCGTAAGTCTTTGGCTGTAGAAAGTCCGTGCCTGTGCAGGGTGCGCAAAAGAGGCGGCTGCGTGAGAAGCCTTGGACGTTGAGGCCTCGGAAAAGCTTGGTGTCTACCTCAAGCCTGGCTCGCACGTACAGTTGATGAATGCCATGCCAATTATCCAAAGGGTTTCGCACAACCAGGAGCAAAAAATGCCCCACGCCACCGCGCGTTTCCTGACAGCATTGAATCAGGCTGTTGAGCATACACGTGTTTGAAAGAGGGGTGAGTCAGTGCAGAGAGTCGAGCAAACAAGGAGCAACAAACTTTTCTCGAGATCCAGGGGAAATGGGTCGAGAGGACGGCCAGTTCCCCTTCACGGCTAGGCACGACTCGGCCACAGCGCGCCACGTGGCCGCACTCTGGCGAGTAATATCCTGATGCACGGCGTTCAATCTAGAGGAACAAATGCATGCTTGATCATGAGCAAAGCAAAAGGCTATCCTCCGAATGCACGCTGTGGGGCAATTTGTGTAGAAATCATTGTCAACGCCGGGAATAGAGAGCGAGAGCGTCAAAAGGCCACAACTGAACGTGAGTGGACCAACAAACCCGTGACATGTGACGCATCCCCTCAACATACACTAATCCAAAGTGCCAGACTGTGAGTGACGATCAAGGCAGGATCAAACTCTCCTCGTGCGGTTAGGTTGCGCAAAAGCCATCCCAACCGTACCAGATTCGGAAGAGCGGTTGGTCACGAGCTCCAGAAGCTTTCGCAGCTCCATGGAGCCCGTCCTGTGTGACAAGGGGTCGGAGGACAGCCAAGCGTAAGATGCACATTCAGTTGACTGATCGCGGGCGTGGTAAATGCACCCGCACTGACCCCAGTGCACTGGCGAGCTTGATATGTATCCCTTTTGGGGCTCCGGGCTGGCATGTGCACTCGCGGCAAAAGGCGGGTTTTCTGCGAGGCGGTGGCAAAGGCTTCGCGGTCAACGGTAGTTACCAAGAACGGGAGCCGGGCAAGATGGCCACCAGGTTCCCTCGCAAACCATAAACGCACACATCCTGTAAAGCATCGCCCTGTCCTTCATGCGCGTAGCTGCATTGAGCCTCCATAAACTCGCAATGCTGACCCCTCGGACACAACAGCTAGCCAGAACACAATCATGCACACGTGAGCGACCGGGTTTGTGATCAGCGGCTTGATCAACCGGCACAGCCCAAGATCCAACCTCGTTGGCCATGCCACATCCAGCCAGCAGCAGAGCAGCGAGCAGGGCTGTCCATTGCAGCTGGCGCTTGATGTCCATGATCTTGAAAAACAAAACAAAAAAAAAAACCGTTCATCAAAATTTTAATTCTTTTTTTTCACATGCATGTGTGAATCAGATTCATTCTTTCAAGACCTTCTTTTTGAAACAAGGATCAAAAAAATAATTCATTCCAGCACGGGGAGTCAAGAGGTTGATTGGCATGTGGGCTGGTGCGTTGGCTACTACCAAAGCCAGATGACAGGGGTCTGCAAAGCATAGGAGCCATCGATCGCGCGCCAGGAGAAGGATATATGACGATGCCGTGTTTGGCTAACGACATGCACATGAATTTCGGGGGAAATGAGACAAAAGTTGATGGTCGCCGCATGCAGCTGGTAGGACAAACAACAGGAGTGCAGGCGGTTTAGACGAAAAGCGGAACGTCAATGAGGCCAAAGCCAGCGGCCACGCCGGTCTCTAGGCTGGAGGCCGGCTTGGTACGCATGAGATAGCCTGGCTGCGTGTTGACCAGCTCGGTGGCACCATTGGCCACAAACACACCATAAAAGCCAAACTCAGTCACGGAGGCAAACGTGTCATGACCACACTGCTCTGCCAAGGCCGACGTTTGCAGAATTGGGGCATGAATGCGGGCCATTAAGATGAAGCCTGCCCGCTTTTCAGGCGACATGGCACGTAAGCGCTGGACGGCGTCTGCGCCATAGTAGTTATTGCCACCACCCTCGCGCTGGGGCTTGAGAACCCAGTCGTCAGGGTGTGCGTAGATTTCCTGCTCAAGCACTGCTTCAAGTGCTGCAGGGGTGGCGTAGTCGGCAGCGTCCAGTGAATAGAAGCGAGTAAAGGTCTTGGCCAGCGTGGTTGCTTCAGCCGCGGACAGAAACTTCTCAAGGATCCCGGGCTGAGCCAGCACCTGCTGCATTTTTTTGGTGCCCACGAGGTGGGCTGCTGCGTTGGGGACCTTGACAGCAGCGCTTGTTTCGATGTTCAAGCGGGCTTCCCAGCACGCGGGGGTGGGATAGTCATCAGGGCTGTAACCCGAACGGTAGTAGACGAGGCCCACCTCCAGCTGCAAGCCGTCAACGCCCGTGTACAAGAGCGTTCCATCGGCCATGTATGTAAAGCGTTGTGCTGCCTCTTCCAGCGTCACGCGGGCCATACGATGGCCATGACGCCGGCGCAGCTCCACTTCCAGACCTCGCTGATCGCAAATATTGCGCTCACCGGGCTGGACCATCATAACAGCTGCCAAAGGGTTGCTAGTCCGACGGCGGCCGGCGGTCACATATGCATCCAGCGCTGCCTGTCCAATTTGGTATTATTATTAAGGAATGTAGAAGCGGGTACGTTATCGTGAGAGTGAGGAGAGAGTGAGACCCAATAGCGTGGGCATGGATGCTAGGCAAGTTGGTCAGGGGCTCACCTTAAAGCCATCAACAACGCCGGCCAGCGCGTTGTTCTCGGGGATGCGGCTGGCTACTTCAGGAGCTTCCAGCATGCGCATGGCTTCAACCAAACGCGTAGAAAGCGTGGCAAACCCGGCAGCGATGGTGTTGATCTCGACGTTGTGAATCTCGGCATCTTGAAATGCAAGCTCTTTATTGGCACCCAGATGGAGCATGAAGTCGTTACGCAACACGTGAGCCCGCAGGGCGGTGGGCCCGTACTGAGAGATGCCATTGGTGCTCTCTCGCGCTGCCATGTACACCTTGAAGATTTCGTTTGTGAATTCATCCACAGCACAGGTGGAGCGCAGAGCCTGGACCAGGAACTCGTGGTCCAAGGTCACCGCATCCACCAGACGGTTGACGATGCACTGGGCAGCGCGCCCGACCTATTCCATCAGAACGGGGCAAGCGCGTGTGGTCAGTCCAAGAAAAAGAGGGTGGTAAGGCTGCGCCATGCCTTCGAACCTCAAACGCGCGGCGCGGCGTCGGTGTGGGAATGATGGCGGCCGGGGCGGGCTGGAAGCGCCTGTCACGACCGGTGAGGTGCTGTGTCTTGGCCGGCACCAACAGGATGCCGTTATTCATCTCATAGTCCACCAGATCGCAAGCACGAGAAGCCAGTGCCGCTTCACTTCGCTGCAAAACCAGCTCGCGCACTTCTGCCGGAACCTCTGCCGCTGCCATTGCCTCGATCTGCTCACACGTGTCCACTGACTTCTAAAAAAAAAGAATGAGAGAGTGAGAGAGAGAGAGAGAGAGAGAGAGAGAGAGAGAGAATTGATGAATTGGTTTGGTCAGTTTGAGAAGAGAGCAAAGACACAAAGGAAACGCACAACTACCACATGTAACAACAAGAGAGAGAGAGAGAGAGAGAGAGAGAGAGAGAGAGAGTTTTGACACACACACACACACACACATACACACAACGTAATGACAAAGAGTGACGACAGACGAATCAACTTTCGAGAGGACATGGATGTTCCGTAATTTTAAGACACTGAAAGGGGCTGTTGTGACGGACGAAGCGGCAGACCAGCACCGACGAATATGGCAGCCTTGGTGGCGGCATACTCGGACAGCGACGATGATTCGGGGGACGAGTCGACGCAGGCGGTGACCGCGGTAATGGGGGCGAAAGAGGTGGCAAAGGTAGCTCAGGCGACGCAGGCAGCCGAGTCACCGGTGGCTGCTCCGCGTCGAGGTGGCTTGGGTTTGCCGCCTCCACAGCACGGTGGCAAAGCTTCGAGTGCATCAGTTGGCTTGCGATTGCCGCCGCCCCGAGGCGCTACCGCCAGCACCGGCACCGATGTCAGCGCCAAGCGCAAGGCCACAGTCACTGGTGGCGTGGCGCGTCGTGCCAAGAAAACCAACATCTCGGACAAGCGCAAGCTCCTTCTCGCTGTGCCAGAACTTGAGGATGTACGGAATAGTCTACTGCCCATCAGTCCAAGGCTCTTAAATGGGTCCCTGGTGCTGTTCGCTTTTTGCTTGCTGCGCGGTAGAATGCCAGAGCTTACCAATTTTTATAAATTCGCCATGTTTGTAGCCGGATAGCGACGAGGAGGATCCGTCCCACAAACCTGTTGCAGCCGACGCGCCAAAGGTCAGCAGTCGACAACATTTTGCTTCCCCTGAGCAATCTCGACTCTGCTGGCGATGCCTGCCTTCTACTCTATCTGACATCATTGACACCCTGCCCAACTGCTGTACATGCGCCTTGCCTGACTTGTTAGGCTCGCAATGTGATCGATCTGCTGCCCGCACCCAAAAGCGGCAAACCTTCGGGCCGCCTTGCTCTAGACACTAAAACCATTGTCAAGAGCGATGTGCCAGCGTCGCAAACTGAAGCACCACAGAGCAAGCCCGCAAGTCAGCTGGTACCCGCGTCTGTACTGCGCCGCCAGCGCCACCAGGCGGATGCTTCAGCCAGTACCACCTCGGCCGCCTCCTTCCTGGACACGGAGGAAGCTGCTCATGATGAAGGTGGCTTTTTCAGCTTTGGCAACTCAGCTCCAGCGGCCACGGCCAAATCAGCCGCCACAACACCGGCAACCAACCCGCCGCCTTCTGCAGCACCGCGGGCAACGCCCGCGGCGCCCGCAGCCCCAGTTCGATACGGCTATGGCCAAGCACATGTCGCCAATACAGCTCCACAGCCGCAATCCTACGGTTACGGTCACGTGACTCCAAACTCGGCCTACGCCTACGGCGCCCCGGCCGCCCAGTACGCCGCTGTGGGTCAGCAACAATCAAGCATGGGGTCTGCGAGTGAAGCCGCTTACCACCAATCTTTCGCGGCCCCACCAACAGACGAGATGGCTGATTTTGGAGGCGTTGAGGTATGCACACGCCAATTTTCTTTTGTTTCCGTTCACATGTCTATCCCACTCATGCCCCGCGTGTCGCTGCTTTGGGCGAACAGCTTGCCAAACTGGTGAAACGAGATCGAGGCATGGGTGCCAACGTCAACATTGTCGACTTCAACGATAAGGAACGGCGGTATGTTGCCCATGGTTATCATATTGCTTCCCGCTCTTGACGCTTGGTGATGGTCGAATGCACCTAGCCTGGATCTGACACGCATCTTCTCTATTTCTTTTCTCTCCATGTATAGAGAAGCCAACAACGATTGGCGCCGAAGTGTAGCTGGCACCAAAGAGGCGCAGGCTCCCACCGTACGTTTGGCCTGTCCACTATTTTCGTGGCTGTATCGTTACTCTTGCACTTTGCTTCTTTTTCATTTCATTTTTTTTCTGTTCTGTTTGCTCAACGCACTCATTGACTTTGTGGCGTGTTGTTTGTACGGCTCTTGATACCCTCTAGAAAACCCCAAACATTGCGGGTTCTGCCAAGCATCGATCGCAGCTTAGCTATCTGGCACAACAAGCGCAAGCTCATCAGCAAGAAATCTCAAACTTTTGGGCTGCCGGCCACGAGGCGCGCCGCAATGCCAAGATGCGCTATGGTTTTTAGGCCAAGCTGGGCGCTATCCCCGCGACTCGAACGCCCCCCGAGTCGGGTTTATGGCCAGGTGCCCGAGGCACTCGCCAGTGGCCTTGTCAATTTATGTGAGCTCAACCCATGGTCGCCAAGGAATGTATGAACAAACTCAGAGCATTGATTTTCTTGCCAAACCAAACATCTCGTATGTCAGAGATGTGAGAGCAACACAACACCAAGGGACAAAAAGCCAGACAAGAGACGAAACATGAACAAATGCCACGCAAAGCGCGGATGCAATGCAGACGAACGGCGGGGACTGTGCCTTTTTTTAAATGGTCACACGCTGAAAGAGGCTTTTAATGTAGCGAGCCTCATAGGCAACGGTGTGCTTGCCCAGGTCAAAGGCATCCATCTGGAACATGGGCAGCTGATCAATGGTCGGCACGCCCTTGCCATGCTCTTCACAGGCATCGAGAAAGTCCAGAATGTCCATTGTGATAACATCCGGCAAGGTGATCATCTGCTTGGCCATGCCTTCAATGAGGGCCAAAAAGCAGCGCTTGGTGTACTCCCAGGTCTCCCAGCCCAGGCGCTTGCTATACGGCTCGAGACTCTTGATAACACGACTGATGCCAAACTGGAAGTTGCCCTTGGCACAATACAAGGTTCCAATGACAAGGTTGATGATGCACAAATGGAAAACCTTGCGGTCTGGATCCTCCAGGGCGAGCTCTTCTTCTTCTTTCTCGACGCGCCGCATCAGTTCTTCGGCATCCTCGTTCTGCGACGTCATAATGTAGGAGACACACAGATTGGCCAGAATAACGGCCGAAATGTCCAGCAGGTTTTCGAGATTTTTCTGTACAATCGGCTCGTAAAAGCCAATCGCCTCCTTGTACTTGTTGCCCTACATCGATGGATGGGGCCCAGGTGGGGAGGGAGCGAGCGTGCTGAGCATTGTGCCATTAATCACGTGGGATTGAAGGTCTGTTCAAGTGCTTCTCAACGCAATAGAGTCACAAACCTGCATGAAGAGCACATGTGCCACGTTCAGCTTCCAAACGTCGTGCTCATTGCAAAATTCCACTGACTTGCGGAAGATCTATGACGCGCGCCAGTGTGTGAGCGCATCAGCATTCGCGTTGATTCAAGTCGGGTAATCCTGAAGACTTGAGCCGTTTTTGTGCAACCCAGGCCAGCAATCTCTCTGTTTTGACAAGCATTTGGGTACACGTAGTAGGTTCCAAGGCTTGCTTTCTTTCTTTTTTTTTTTTTTTTTTTGACAAAAACATGTAGCTCAAAAGAAGACCAACCTTCTCAACTTGCGCATAGTTTTCAAGATCCCAGTAGATTCGGGCTTGGGCCATGAGGCAGGGAATGTAGCGGTCGAGACACTCGTCATAGTCGTTGACGGCTTTCTTCACGGCATCCTCGTCCTGGGCCGTGCGCGCGTCCTGGACCTGGCGCGTAAGCTTACGTAGCTGCTCTGTGTGTTGGCTACACATTTCATCGAGGCGGCGAAAGGCCTCCTCCGGCGATGTCTGGCGCGTGATTGTGGCATCCAGAAAATCGTACAGGTACTGCAGCGCGAACAAGAGGACAACCAGAGCGTGATGACATGAGCAGGCGCAAGACGCGCTGACGCGCTTGGTGTGATAGATAGAGCAGCGTTGCAGGAGCCGCGGGGCTAGAGCTGACACACCTGCGTGAGACATTGGTAGGTCAAATGGGCATTTTCGGCCAGCACATCGGCCGCCAGATCATAGTACTCATATTTGCAGTACAAGAGGAGCAAATTGCCAAATGTCTCTGTCGGGGGTCCCAATGAAACGTGAGAATCAAAGTTTGGAACAAAGAGAAGAAAAAGAAAGAGAAAATAAACAAACATAAGCCGTGTAGGACGGTGTGGCGAGGGACCAGATTGCCGATGTTGCTTCGTACCAGGTGGGCACGGGTTGGATTGTAGGAGGAATTGCAACTTCTCAAAGCCGGTTTCTGGATCCTCCTCCATGTTCATCAGCGCCTGATTGTGCAGCGTGACAGGGTCAAGCTCTTCCTCTGAACGAGGGGGCATGTCCGTCAAGGCATCCATGGCCGCATCGTCTAGATTGCCATGCAAGTGAGCAAGAGATGAGAGAGCACCATGGAAACCATCGTGCCTTTATCAAAGCCGTCTTGGGCCATTATTCAAGGCAGAGAGGCGCATGCACGGCGGCAAATGGTGGCGGACATACAATTGCGCAAGTCGTATTCAATGGCAGCCTTGAGGTTGAAGGCTTCAACCAAGGCGGTATCGTGCAGCGTCTTGGTGTTGCCCACGGAACGCACTTCAATGCCCTCCGTTTGCATGCCGACCGAGAGTTCTGGGTGCTCACGGATACCACGCTCAATGATGGTAGCAATGTGCCGAAGAGCGGCCGCGAAATTGCCCAGGCGGTATTGGCAAAGTGCCTGATTGTACATGAGGTGGGCATTGTAGCCTGAGGAACAAAAAAAAAAAAAAAAATTAGAAAAAAAAAAAAATTAGAAAAAAAAAAAAAAAAGCTGAGGCAAATCATCAGCTGTCTTGATGTGGAGACTGGGTAAAATCGCTGATGCACTGCGCTGCAACCTACGTACCTCCAACGTTGCTTGCGTGGTGAAACTTTTCAATGGCTTGTTTGTAGCGCTCCTCTGCCACCAAAAGGCAACCCTATACAGACCAGGATCAGTGTGGAACGACAGAAGAGGGTGCAATCGAGGTCTCCTATGGGTCCATGAGCTAACCTCGTTGATAATGGTGTCCAGGTCATCGGCCGGGCATTGCTCCACCATGCTGCGTGCTGCGGCCAGATCACCCATGCCTTGCTTGATTGCCGCTTGAAGCTTCATGATATCGTTGTGCATGTCCGGGTTGTCAATCTTGACGACTGCGTCCATGGCCTCTTCATAGCGGCAGGCCTTGTACAAAGCCTGGGCGTGATACAGCTTGTAGCTATCTTGCTCCGGGTACTCCTTGGACACTTGGGCGTAGCTGTTGTGGCGGCATTCAAATCGTGCCAGAAAAGGGGTGCACATGAGGCGCAGGTTCGCAAGTCAAGTCACACGCCGGCACTGGTTGGAGCGGGGTGATGCATACCACTCGGCCGCGGCATCAAAGTTTTGAACATGGAATTGGCAGTAGCCTAGCAGCGACAACGCGGGCAGAGACTGCAAAGAAAACGCAGATACCGGGTCAAAATGAGGTCCAGGGAAAGGCTGATACGGCAAGCAGGCAGGTCTCTGACGGAAGGGTCAGTTCATGTATGATTTGGTTTTTCTTTCACTCTCGCCGGTCCAGCCAAACGTACGCTCGGCTGCATTTCTAGCTGCTGCTGGAGGATTTTGATGGCATCGGCATATTGGCGATCGCGAATCTAACAAAGCGCGTTGCATTTTGCGTGCAATGAGGTCATGAGCTTTGACTGATCAGCGGGAGAGGCAGCTATTCCAAGTTTTGTGTCCCAAGAACATACAAAGCCGTAGATCGTCCGAGTAAACTCGCCGTCCATGATGACCAAGGAGTGCCTCGAAAACCGAAGCTAATTAAACCCCCCACCAAGCGGCCACCAGCCAAGCACAAGACAGTTGCATGAGTACAGAAAAACCACACACAGCAAGCACCACCACCTCCTTTGGAGAGAGCGCCTGAGGACGGGTCGCGCTGCCAAGACACCACCAACGAACCACAAGAGGCCACAGACCTGCTCCTGAAATTTTTGAGTCCAGTTGGGATGTGGGAAATGTCATTTTATACATCCGAGGAGGCTATCCATGGCAACCGTAGCTCGCAGTTTTTGAGACAGCGATGAGCACAAACGTAGCTTGGTATACTTTTTGACCCCAGCAAACTGGTTGACAAATTTTTGCATGCACGAAAGCAAAACAAACCAACCCTTCTCTGCTCCTGCTCTGATCGCGCGCGCTCGTCGTCTTAGATTTGTTTGGCCGGCGAGACACGGCTGAGGACGACCTGCAACACCTTGTGTACCAACCTTGCGTCGCGGGTTGCTTGTGGGTTGTATTCGCCTCGTGCGCCAGTGCTTTGCTTCATAGCGGCGTCTTATCGGACCGACGGACGCTACAACGCAGCCTCCTGCCATGTCGGCCGAGGCGTCTCCGCCCCCATCCTCTGTGGTCGAGGAGCAGTCAGCTGCGACGGATGGGGATATGCGTCCAGGGATTGAGATCGAGGGGAAGGAGGCCGATCATCAGCTTCAGTCTGCGGCCGACGCTGCTGGTGAGCCGGTATCTGAAGGTTGGGACATGGCAGAGCAATTTGACAGCGCTGCCACGGCGCGTGGCTTGACGTTTTCAGACTATGACCAAACTGGTTTGCTCGACGGCCAGGCGTTGGCCGCGGCATTTCGCGATGACTATCAAGGTTTGCACTGCGGCCCGTGCTGAGAATTCAACACCCCCATCTCTCCACCCCTCCCTCCCTGCCCCTTCCATTCATCTGCTTGCGAAGGAATTACGCTCAACAATGTCGTCCTTCGTTCCGGCATCCGATCCGTCGGGTTTTCCCGCACAGCCGCATATCGAATGACGGCACTGCACGTGGCTGCGGCAACGGGTGAGGCAGAGAGATTGTTCAATGCCTATGCACAAAACGGCGGCTTCTCTGCCCACACTTGTAATTACCAAGATGCAGCTGGCCGCACGCCTCTACATTTTGCCGCTGCCACCGGCAATCGCACCAGCGTTGAAGCCCTCCTCGAGTGCGTGACACTTCGGCTGCTTCAACTTGCCCTCGTGATGTCAACCCGTCCCGTCCCCTCACAGCCTCCTATCTGGCTTTTGAATGGATAGACACGGCGGTAACTCCAATGCCCAAGATGCTGATGGCAAGAATGTGGGCATGTGGGCAGCCTTTTACGGCCACCACAAGGTGCTGGCACTTCTCCTGGCAGCAGGCCTCGAGCTGGGTCACCGTGACTTGGCCGGGCGCTCCATCTTACATTGGGCGGCGCTGGCCAACAGCCCCAAGGCCTTGGATTTTCTTTGCAAGCAGTGCACAATGCGTCATCTTGACATCAATCCTGCTGACCTTGAGCAGCTCACACCGCTGCACTGGGTGTGGTACGTCCAGCGACATCTGTGTTTTGTTTGGCGCAGCATCCCATATTCTTTGGCTGTACCGGACACATGGCTCGTTGCGGCGAGAATTGGGTGGTTTGTAGCGTGTTACCCAAAGCTCACATAGCAGTCTGTCTGTTATTTAACCCATAGTCATCTGGGCTTCAACAAACACGTGGCCATCCTGCTCAAGGCCAAGGCCGATGTCTGCTGCTTGGACGTAGAGCAACGGAATCCCTTGCATTGGACTGCTTCCAACCAGGACGCCAGTGTCACCAAGGTCAGATCTTTTGAGAGCCGCTTGCTCTTGCAGATTGAGATTCCTGAACTTCAGCTCCCGCCAAGTCGCCATATGCACAATGACACCATGACGCCTTCTTTAGATGCTTTTATCAGCCAACCCATCACTGGGAACCCAGCTGGATGCTGAAGGCCGAGCTCCCATCCACCTAGCTGTGGCTGGTATGTTCTTGCAGCAGACTCAAACACTGTACATTTGGCTTGGGTGCTTTGACATTGGCAATGCTTTGTTGACACACACACCGATCGCATCTCGGCTCACAACACAGTTGCGCACTTTATTGCCTGGCTTAGAATACAACACTGTTGTCGTGCAGGCCATGCTCAAGTGCGTACCGTCTGCACCATCCGATCAGCTCTTGCCTCGAGTGCTTTGTGGCGCCCGCCCGCCTTTGCGTCGGCATCTTGTCTTTCCCTGGAACCAACCAACCAAACAAACAAACAAACAAGCAAAAAAAAGAAAAAAAGAAAAAAAAGCTCGGTCTAAAACCGCCTGACCGCATCTAATGTTGTGGACTCTTCTGTTTCTGCACTCCTGGTAGAGCTAAAATACCGGCAGATCTGCCTGATCGCTCCGGACGCACGGCGCTGCACTGGGCTGTCGCCTTTGCTTACGAAGACATGGTTAAAATGCTTCTCGCTGCCAAGGCCAACCCAGGCATCCAAGACAAGTGCGTGTGGCCCGACGGTCTTGTCCTTGTTCTTTGATTGCGTCATCACCTTGCTCCATTGCTTTGATCCTCCCTGCTCGGTAGAACCATGGTCACACCAATTCATCATGCGGCCCAGCATCCAACGGCTGCAGTGTTGAATCTGCTGCTCCAGCAGGCCACGACTGAGCATGTTGATGTCTGTGATGAGGATGGGCACGATGCCCTCTTTTGGGCTGTAGCCCACGGTACGCAGTCTTTTGCTGGCCCTAAGGCTCACAAAACATTTGAAATGCATTGTTGAAAGCACCGCTACTCACGCTGTTGCTCCGGCCGGAGCAGAATCGCCTCTCTGCGTGGCCGCCTTGCTGAAGACCTCGATCAACGTGAACAAAGTTGACAGTGATGGACGTTCCCTACTTCATCTGCTCGCTTACCGCAATGATGCGGAGACCATCGCAGCGCTCAAGCTGGCCAAGGTCGACCCAAACGTGATTGATGCTGCCCAACAGACGGCTCTGATGCTGGCTGTCGAAAACAACCACCTCGCTGCAGCACGAGAGCTTTTGGCAGCCGGCGCCAACCCTGTACTTGGTGACGCCGAGGTGCGTCATCGCGCTTGTTTAGCTGCCTTGAACCCCAGTGGAGGCATTTTTTTTCACACGCGCACATGTCCGCACGTATGCTTTTCACTATTGATGCCCAGGGACGCATTCCCCTGAGTGTTGCCGTCATTCAAGGCTACGAGGAACTGGCGGCGCTTATTCTGTCCCAAATGCAGCAAGAGAACCTTTTGCTGGCCGACTCCCGCGGCGAAACGGTGCGTACCCCCCCTTTTTTTGTGCTTTGTTGAAGCAACATCTCACGACAGTCAAGCTTTGGAGGGGGGTTGGCAAATTGCAAACTCAAACCCATCTTGCGGACACACATCGTGTACAGGCCTTGCACTACGCTGCTTACTACGGCCATGTGGACAGCGTTCGGTTATTCCTGAGTCACAAGGCTGAACCAAACGTGCAAGATCTAGAGGGCGTCACACCTCTGCACTGTGGGTCTCAACTGCTGCATCGCGAGTCAGTAGGAAGGAAGTTGGGGTGTTCGTGCGGAACCTGACGCGAAAACTATGCATGGCGATAGGGGCGGCAACAAACAATGCCCTGGAGGTGGCGCGCATGCTGCTGGATGCCCAGGCATACCCAAATTTCATGGACAAAGGCGAGCACCGCATGACGCCTCTGGATTATGCTTTGGCAGGTCAGTTGAGGTACCCCCACGTGCAAGTTGCGACAGGCCTTGTCGCGTTCCAACTTGCGACGCTTGATAAATTTGAAATATGAATACAAATGCATGGAATTGAACTGGTGGCAGGTGGGCACACAGAGTGTGCCGAGCTTTTGATTGAGCATGGTGGTCTGGGCACGTTGAACATTCAAGATATGTCTGCCACTCGGTTGCAGTGGGCCGTACGCGCATTTTTGCGTCGTCGGCGCCGCGAGCGCGCGAAACAGGTTAATGCTCATCCGTCATGGCATGCTGCCCATCAACCTCATGCTTCCAGTTTCAGTTGCACGTTGGCCTCAACGTGCACGGCTCTCTCACGTTGACGTTGCTTAACGGGCGCCATCGTGTACAGGAAAACGCTGCCAGCACCACAATTCAACGTTTTGTTCGAGGATTCTTGGTGCGGCGGCAGATGGATCGAGGGCGTGCCAGTGATCAGGAATCGGCCGAGCTGCAGCGAATCAAGGCGGAGTTGAGTCGGGCGCGTGCGCAAGCTGCAGCCGCGGAACGGGCTCGCGCCTCGGAGGCCAAACAGCGGCAGGAATTGGAGGAAGAAACGGAGCGCCTACGCTTGCAGCAACAAAAACTGGAGCAGCGACAGTTGCGGCGGCCTGGCAGGCGTCGTTCCTCCCGCAATGCAGACAAGTCTAGCTCTGGCACGCGATCTTCGGAACATGAAAAAGTTCCGACCCGCAATCCACAGGCATCGGCGGCTCCCCTTGCCAATGATGAATCAACCCACGAGACTGTTTTGCAAAACGGCGAAAGCCAATCCCAGATTGAGCCGGCAGGCGGAATCGACAGCCAATCTGCAACAATTCCAGCGACCAGCTGCCGATCATCACGGCAGAGCACAGGTAACACCGGGCATTCCTCTTCAAAATCTCGCCACAGCACATCAGAGGTCACACGGTTATCAAGCAACGCGCCAAGAGCCAGCGGTGGCACCGCGCCACCGCGCGTGTCCTGGGCATTGGAAAAGGAGGAGGACAAGCAGCCCGCCCAAGGGCGCAGCAAGACGACGAATGCGCTCACAGAAATGGACTGTGAAGGTGCGGTGAGCTCGGGACAGCACGATGATACCGACGAAGACGCGTGCTCGGGATCGGATTCCGAGGATGGCGCTCTGTTGGTGTTGAATGCCAGCGTTCAACGGGCGCGAATCGTCAAATCCGAACAACAGCGCGTGGCACAAGTCCGGGCAAAGGTGCAAGCTGCCATTCGTATCCAGCGCTTTTGGCGGCGACACCGTGGTCGAACTTGGCGCGGGCGACCTGTCTGCCGGGCTTTGCCCCCGTCTAGCCAGCTGCAGGGCCAAGGTTCTCGTCGAGGGCGCCGCTCTCAAGGCGTTCAGCGTGGAAATGGAAGGACTCTTGGCTCACAGCGACGACGCAGCTTTCACAAAACAGCAGCCAGCTCTCGCGGTGCGGCTCTTGGACATGTCCGACCACAACTGCGGTCATGTGCTTCGACCTTTCCCGCGGAGAATTCGTATGGGCCAGAAGAACAGCGTCGTCGACTCTTGGCTGTGCTGACAATCCAGCTATGGTTTCGTAAGCAGTTGGCCCGTCGCCACGCCCAACGCCAACGATCATTGAGCGCGCAAATTCGTGACATGTCGTTGGTGCGCAAACATCAAAAGTGTCGTGTCAAAGCAGTTTATGGGGCACGGACTGAGCGCGCCAAACCGTTCTTACCCTCCCGACCCCGTTCACTGCACTCGCACCGGCTCATGCCTACACCGGCTCCACTGGATGTTTCGTTTTTCAGTGCGGCTCGAAGTTACTCCCAGCGGACACCTCGCCGAGGTCGACACCCCGTGCAAGGTGACCATCCCGTGTTTCGCTCGAACAATCACAGTCGCTCCAGCACTTCGCGCCAGGTGAGTGTTAAACCGACAACCAAGCACAGCACCACCGAAAGCCCGGCCATTCGCAGCGCACGGGGCAAGTCCTTTCTCCCGGAAATTACTGTCTAGCCGATCAACGACCTGAACAAGGCGCCTTGGCGCAGCAGTGCTGGGGCCCAGACTCCTAGACCGGTCACGCGCTTCATATGTGCCTGTTGTTCTTGTGATCCCATGTAATCGAATCGCCATAAAAACACCATTAGAAGGAAGGGAAAGGCTCTTGCGCGTCGAGGCAGGCCCCGCACGATGATGATCAGGAGCTAGCCAAACAAAAACACATCCATAGACACGCTTTCGATGCGAAAGCCGTTTGCTGCCCAGGCAGGCACCATGACAGGTGACCAGCCTGAGCTTGGTGCGCACGGGATCACGTTGCCAATGAAGATATCGAGGGGGGTTTTTTATTTTTATTTTTTGAGAGATTTTTGATTTTTTGCTTTCGAGAATATCTAAGCAGCGAAGCATCATCATTATGGCGCTCGCGCTTCTAGAGCACCTCAATCTCAACGTTACGAGCCATGAGCCGGCCAAGGTTGGCGGTCGCGCCGTCGTGTTGCCTGTGCTTTGTTGTGCGAGTTGATGTGGTGCGCTCAACCCACGGTTTCGATTGAATCATCTGCCACGCGACTGCTCTGATGTATCGCTCAGGTTTTCTGGGAGGCATTGCTGGGGCTGGCTCCCGACCCTCGACGAGCCGCAAACTTTGCGAGCGGCAAGGGCACACTATGGTACAACCTTGGTGCATCTCAGGTGGGCATCGTGAGCAAGCGTTTATGTGCACGTGTTGTCGGGCAGGATGGGAACTGACAAGGTATGCTCGTGACGTTTCGTTCGGGCGCACACGCAGGTGCACCTGCCTCTCGCCCAAGCCGCGCAAGTTTGGCGGGGCTTGGTGATCTTCAGTACCGCTGAATCTCAAGCGCTGCAACTCGCGGCACGTTGGGCCGATGCCAAGCTGAAGGCGCGCCTGGATGAGCTGGGCGTTCAATGGCTCTCAGTTGAAGATCTACCACAACTGCCAAACGAACTCTCGCCTCTCTTGAGCCGCGTGCGCTGGGTGGTCCAGGGGCCTTTTAACAACACGGTGGTTATCGCTGTAGAGTCGAGTAATCCCCTGCATGAGCGGGCTCTGCAACCACAAGGGGACCGGGCACTCTTGCGGGCTATGCGTGCCGTCACCGTTGACTGTGCCCCTGGCACGGCGCCCAAAATTGCTGCCTTTTATGCGCACTTTTTTGCCGCCAAGACGCGGCTCTACAACGAGGGCAGTGTGGCTGGGTGCAGCGTGGCTCTTGGCGCTGACCCACACGAACAGGAGCTTGTGTTTGTGGAGCGAAGCGAGCCTCTCCAGGCTTATGATGGTCATCACTTTGCGCTTTATTTGAACTCTCGAGTTGCCTTTGCGGCAGCGTTCAGCCGGCTGCAGGCTGCAGGTCTCGTGTGGGTCAATCCGCGCTTCCAGGACTGCGTGACAACCCTTGCAGCCGCCGAAGCCGAGGGCCAGTTTCGAATTTTGAATCTGGTTGACCCGGCTGAGCCCTCGCACATCCTATTCACTTTGGAGCATGAGGTGCGAGGTCCCCAGCACAAGGACTGTCCCCTGCAGCTCCCAGCCCCTGAGTCCACGGAACCTTGAACCCTCGCGTCTTCGTGGCTCTGAAGCGCGATAAATTTGCCGCGACTTGGTGTCATGCTCCGGCAACACCGCCCTCGGCAGTTTGTACTGGGCCGATCAACGACTTGTTTCGAGTCCTGGCCGCACAGACAATAGGGTTGCGCGCCGAGCTGATGCCCAACTAGAAATCGATTAGGATGTATCATTTCTGCTACACAGCCCTGTGCTCTGCCTTGGCGCTGTCACCACAGGCGCAGGAAGAGAGTTTGAGAATTCGAGTGAGAGTTAGAGTATGAGTTGCGAGTTTGCGAGAGAGAAAGCTGAGAGAGAGAGAGAGAGAGAGAGAGAAGAATCAGGTATTCGAAAGAGAGAGAGAGAGAGAGAGTTTGAGAGAGAGAGTTTGAGAGAGATTTTGAGAGAAAGAGATTTTGAGAGAGAGATTTTGAGAGAAAGAGATTTTGAGAGAAAGAGATTTTGAGAGAGAGATTTTGAGAGAGAGATTTTGAGAGAGAGATTTTAAGAGAGAGAGAGAGAGAGAGAGAGAGAGGGGCTTAGCAGCGAGAGGGTTGTGGGAGGTGACGGGTTGTCATGAGTGCTGCAGGGGATGCCGCAGGAGCTGGGCCGAGCAAGGTACCTCCGCGGAAGCGGCTGGATCCACGGTCCATCTTTGACCGACTCACGCTAGGGCTACTGCAAACGTTGGAGCGACGGCCGACCGTTGTCGACGTGCGCATTCAAGCCACCCAGCCCGCAACGCTCGCCGACCTAGGAGCTTGGGAGAGCCGACACGGCCAGCGCTTGCCAAAAGACCTCCGCAATTTTTTCCTCTGCTTCAACGGCTTTCATCTGGTCTGGCTGACCCAGCACGGCGCTACCCAGCTGCCCGTCGGGTCGTTGCAAGTCAATGCCTTGGCTGATTTGACGCCGCTGCGCACATCCAAGTCCTCGGCACCGCCTCCTGATGTTCTTGCTGCCCTGGTACAACTTGGGTTGGCTCCTGCAAGCAGTGTAGTGGGAAATGCCTCTTCTTCAAGCCCAAATCTTGAACATTGCTTTCGCCTGGCGACTACCATCGATGGCCAAGCCGTGATCATCGAGCTCGGCCATGCCAACGACCTGGGCGGCATTTATCTTCAGGATGGCGACGATCGCTGTCATCTTCTTTGCGCTGGCTTTGTTGCCTACTTTCGCTTCATGACTCAGTACATGGGTCTGCCCGGATGGCAGCGCATGCGCTGCGGTCTCCCTGTGTCTCCGGCTTGGGAACACTGGTACTGGCAATTTCTGCCCGTCAACCAAACGCTGCGCCTGACCCGCCCCACCCACACAACTTCCAGCCAGACTGGACTTTCCAAAGCACGCCCTCCCCGTAGCGCCGCGCCACCCGTGACCATTGATATGGCGCGTATCATCAATCCAACACGGCGTCCCACCAGTGCCGGTACAAACTCTGGTTCAGCGGTCGCCGCAACGGGCACCTCCAATGGTCACAGTGCAAGTACCAACGGCGGTGCCTCCGACGCGACCAGCTCTGGAAGCAAAAAGTCAATTCTCAAACGCCGTGGCTCGCGCTCGGGCGATGGCGTAGCCCCTACGCCACCTGCACAACGGCCCAGCAATCGGCCTCGGGCAAACCGCTCCCGTACCACGTCTTCCTCCAACTCCAGTAAGCCCTGAGGGACTGGTCCAAAATCGGGGCAGAGCTCTCATCGATTGAATCAGCTATGGCAAGTTTTTCAAGTCCTACAGACGAGCAAGATCTGGGTCTCCCAGCGCGCAAAGCAATGCAACAGCAGCCACCACCATGCCCAACAAGTGCAGAGAAGAAGATTGCCAGACGCTCTCGAGTCGGAGCAGATGAACAAAAGAGAAAACCGGGCTATTGCCACGCGTTATGCTTCGCCAAACCACTCATCGGCATTATTTATAAACGAAAGAGAATAGCAAGAGAAAAGAAAAAAAAAAAGACCTTCCCTCCCACCCCCACTTCATCCTTGCGGATGGTCCTAAATCCTACACCGAGTGCGAGGACGACTTGCGAATCAAGCACGTCATGACATCATCAAGAAGATCATCGACCTGGTCTTGACTGTCGTTGAGCAACGACTTGAGCTGAGCCAACACTGAAAGCCCAGCAAACGCAAGTCACAACGTGAGATCTGGGGCGTCACTACGAGACTGATCGGAAATGATGTGCTCTGTTAATTCTTGCATGAGCCTGCGCGTGGGTACCGACCTCGGGTGGGGCTGGTTTTGGCAGCGAGATGCAACACGGCCGTGCAAGCCCGGTCTCGTGCCAGGCCGGAGCGCCAGTCACCGGCTGCTTCCGAAGTCATGCGACCCAGGTCGGCCAGAACTCGGCTGAAGCCCTCAATGTTGCCAGCCTATGACAATGACATGGTCAGGATTCAGCAGACAAGCAAGCGTTCCACTGCTCCTTGGCTACTGAAGTAGGACACTCTGCCACCCAATATTTACACACGTGTGCATCCAAAGCAAGAAGGTGTAGGGTGGCTTTGAGGCGCAAACTGGATTTCTCCTTGCAAAAGGCCTGGCACTCCTCAAAACACCTACAATGGGTTTAGACACCACCCATCATCAGGTCATCAATGGCCGAAATGGAAAAACATGAAAACATGTGCCTTGTTTGCATGCGTGGACTCAAAAGATCTTACTGGTATGCCAAGCGTGGCTCATCCATGCGCTGGCACAATCGTCCGAGATGATACCAATCGAGTTTGGTTTTTTCCTGTTTTGCGTGTCACCATTACAACGCCCAGTCAGAGCCACAAGTATCATCCTGTTTCGAGACAAGCCTGACACAAAGATGCAAGCACGTCAAGTGGGACTACTGCACCTTGGGATTGATAAAGGCATCCCGACCGCCGCGAGGCAAGTGCGTGGTCATGGCGTCGAGGTCGTCGAGCAGAAAGTTGAAGAGGTTCTCGAGCCAAAGGTGGACGGGCCGCTCGGCCACGATGGGCTCGGCAGCGTGATCACCGTCCGCTCCACTCCACACGGAGCCATCACCGAGCACGCTCTCAATATCACTGGTGTCTCCAGCTCCGTTCGCTCGAGACACACTTGAGGTCTCTGACACCGTGACAAAGCTGGGTTTTCGGCTCGCACTTCGTTGGGTCTCAGCTTCTTCAATCACCACGGAGCGTGGGGCGCGAGGGGAGCGCCGGGGCTTGTGGTGCACAAAAACCTGATCAACAGCCAGGCCCGGTCGCAGGCGCACAGCCAGGTTTAAGAACGCACGATTGCCAGGGGTGAGCCAGCACCCTGAGTTTTGACTTGCGGGGCTCTTGTAACAATCTTGGGCCAAGCGGGACCATTGGGCGCCAGCCTTCAAGTATCGAGTTACCTGAGACCGAAGCCTGAGCAGCGCCTCCCAGCCCTTGACAGCACGCATCAGACGGTAGAGTAGCTATAATAGATGGAACCGCACGCCATACGTCACCATGGCCAGTCGAAAAACACAAGCACAGGCGCGCTGGCCCACGCTCATGTGTTGTTTCCACATGACATGTGGTTTTATTCCATTTGACTTGGCATTTTTCACACCAGATCGCTGAGCAACAGCAAACTCACCTCATAGAGGGGCCGCAGAGCCAGGGGTAGACTGTCACCTCGAAGCGAGCCCAAGTGTCGATCATCCTGGAACGGAACCTGTCGAACGGGGCAGCGCAACAGGCCTCAGAAAACGGGCACAAAAACAGGGTCCTGGATCGTGACTCAGTGTGCAAGCTCGAACCTTGACTGTTGAGCGATGGGGCTTTCGAGCTTCAGCCATCCAGTTTTGGTAGATAATCGCGTGTAATGATGTGCGGCTGGCGGGTGGTGACGAGCGGAGCAGGACGCCTGGTGTGACGGTGTTGAGCGCAGCCAAACAGTGGCTTTAGAATGATCACCGCATCAGAGCCAATCAAGCACCCAGACGACCATGTGAGCATGTTGCTAGAAACAAAACAAGAAACAGAGTGTGTTGTTGGTGCCAGGGGTCAGGCGAAGCGTACGTACCGAAACCATCCCGCGCTCATGTAGGCCTCACACAGTGGAAACACAAATTGAAGGTGACCGCTGCCCAAAAAGTACGCACGCCGGGCCGTGGCAATGGCAGCCATTGGATGATCCTTTCATGGGGGAGGGGTTACACGTGAGCGGAGTGTGTTATCGAAAACCTTTGGCATGCCAGCGCAGACAAAATCAAGCCGCAATGAATATCTCACCTGCTGGCACAGCAACCTGCTTTGTAGTGCTAGAATCGGGGCGCTGTTCAGCTGCGACAGAACTGCAGCTTTTGTGGCGCGCAAGAGGGCTGCTTTCATGCGCTCGTCATACATCTGTGCAGCAGACAGGTCACTGAGATATGGCCGGGACGCGAGGGCTCAGCTCAATCAGGCCAATGGCCATCGGTCCACAGGAGGAACAGAAGCGCACCTGGCGAGCCGCAGAGCTTTCAACAGCGAGGGAAGCTTCAATGGCCCAGGCCTCGCCTTCGACATCCAAGCTGGAGAGGTGTCGACACAGTGCCTCCGCCTGCGCAGAAGGCCATGCGTAAGCCAGCCGAGAGGTTCAAGCGACCGGACATGCGTACTGGTGGTCCTCATGAGCTAGATAGGGCGCGTACCTCGGACAAATGTTGAAAAGCCAACAGGCCGTCAAAAATCAACTGGAAAACGGCATTGTGGAGCAGGGGACAGGCCGCTCGAAGACAGTACAGAGAGGAACGAAGCCCTTTGGCATCGCAAATGACCTGCAAGGGAATGAAAAGAGGGGGTTGCAAGGTGGCCACACTGAGCGGCAGACGTGGTGACGGGAGGCCAAGTTGGCGCATCAACCGAGGCCTGTCGCCTGACCTTGCGAAGGGCTTTACAAACAGCAGAGGCAAACATGCTGTCATGCAAGGGGTTGCGAACGAGGAGCGAGCTCCAGGGCGGTGCTTCATCAAGATCGGCATGCAGACAGTGCAGGGCTCGTGCCGTGCTGGATACGCAGGCGCGACCCCAGTCTGCATCACGAATACTGTGTTGTCGACCATCGGAATCAACCACAAAACTGGGGCGATAGCAGAGGGGACACAGCAGGCACAGGCCACACAGTTCATGTGTGAGATGTGGGCAAGGTCAATATCAGCAGATCCCCTGGCAAAGCCTCATGACTGGTGCCGGAAGTTGCGGGCTAGGCAGCAGGCTTTTGCTGAGTGAGCGCCGAGTGAGGGGCACAGCGGACCTGGTGAGTCCTCCAGGAAATTCCACTTGGATTCGAATGTCTCGACCAGCAAACATGTCATAGCAGCAAATGGTGCAGCGCCTCGCCTTGACCTGAGATCCATTCTGTTGGGTTATCCGCGCGCATGAAGGATTGAAGGGCATGAGGGGCAGTCTGGGCAGACTCGAACGGGTCGCCGGTCGAGCCGTGATGCTTGGGGCTCTGGCAGAGCATTGTGTTGAAGAGGGGGAGGGAAAGGGGAGCAAGTAGGCAAGACACACTTCAGCCCGGCGATTGCTGATGTAGCGGCTAACGTAGGCCGCGACGGTGGCGGGACAGCTGGCGTTGAGGCCTTGAATGTAGTAGTACTCCCCCACTTCCATGGTGGTGGTACGCAGGAAGGAGCGGGACGTCGACGGGACCGTCCACACTGTGTAGCAGAGATCAAACAGCTCAAAGGCCAAGTCACCACCTGGTGGCACCACGCACGCCGCCAAAATGAGACAACGAAGACGTTTTTCCGCGAGTGCACACGGCAGACAGGGAAGTACTCATGATGGCCAAGACCTGCACTCACGCGCTCGTGTTTTCATCTCCTCGGCGCGCCGGACCAAGGCTGCTTCAGCCTCAAGCTCAAACTTGTCCAAGGGGGATATATGAAGGAGCATTTTTGGTTTTTCAAAGGAAGCATTGATACACGCCGTGAGCTAAGGCGACTGTGGAAGAGGCATGTTTGCGCGTGTGTCTTTGGGGGTTTGTGGAGTGGTGTGCTGTAGAGTGCAAGAGCCAGCAGGCAAGGCGGTCAACCTGGAGGGGAAGATTTTTGCTGGAGTTGAGACCATTGATGGAGGAGCGTGTGGGGGCGTCATCCCCACCCGCACTGGATGAGAGGACACTGGCCATGATGTCAAGCTCAAGCGGTCGGCAAGGACGTCAATGACAGTGGGGAGGGAAATGAAGGTCCGAGCTCGTCAGTCCTGTTGATGGTGCATTGCCACTTGTCGCAGTCCGCCAACGTCACTGGGCAGCCCGAAGGATAGCTGGCTTGACCTATACTGGATGTGATGATAGGCGCTCACCTTTGCACTGCACCACGGGCAAAACACCCCAGGGCAATGCACAAGCAGGCAACGAGGTCGATGACGGACGCAAGTGATCAGTGTCGAGCACAGCCCGCTGACGAC